GGCCCGCAAAAGGCAGAAAAATTTCGACACATCGATGACTCGCGTCATCTCGTCAAATCGTCAATGGATGCGTTCCCTCCCCGAGAACTCGCGATGTTCCATTAACATGTCATTTAAATATCGCCTGCGGAATAATTGAAAAACAAATAAAAAACGACGTTCAATATTCATAACTCCCATTGGACTGCATCAACATCTTCGATAACGTCTGTGATTTTCCTCTCCTTTCGCTATATACCCCGATAATAATTTTGTGACTTGTAAATAACATAGAATATACCTCACATGTACCACAAAATGTCGCTCGTACATCTTGGAAATTTGGCATTTTTTTTTATTCGCTTGGGAAATAAAAATAATTTTCCTCTCCTTTCGCTATATACCCCGATAGTAATTTTGCGACTTGTAAATAATGTAGAATATACGTCATATGTACCACAAAATGTCGCTCGTACATCTTGAAAAATTTGCCATTTTTTTTTTATTCGTTTGGGAAATAAAAATAATTTTCCTCTCCTATCGCTATATACCCCGATAGTAATTTTGCGACTTGTAAATAACGTAGAATATACGTCACATGTACCACAAAATGTCGCTCGTATATCTTGGAAAATTTGGCATTTTTTTTTATTCGCTTGGGAAATTAAAATCATTTTCCTCTCCTTTCGCTATATACCCCGATAGTAATTTTGCGACATGTAAATAACGTAGAATATACGTCATAAGTACCACAAAATGTCGCTCGTACATCTTGAAAATTTGGCATTTTTTTTTTATTCGCTTGGGAAATAAAAATCATTGTTATCAAGAAACTCGGTATCGTGCCAAGTACTTCAATTTCACGCCTTTTAATGATAACATAGAGAATGATTTTCTAGATTCAACGTGAACAGCTGATCTCGCTTGTTTTGTGACCGTACTTGTACCCGGGTCGAGGAGGCTCGGTAAATTCGTAATTAAGCTAATAAATAAATGACTCGATAAATCCAGGGAGTAAAACGTGACGTCGGGATTTTGTATAAAAGTCAAGAGGCACCGTCTCGAAAATACACGAGTACATATCATTGGCAGAAACGAATAACATGTCTGGAGTAATCATCTAATTAGGCCTAATCATTAGGCGAAATTATCTTACGATGAGCATATGTCCAACGTATAATTTTGTACCCTCGTTATCGCCAGCCCAGGGGGTCTTATCAGGTCTTAATTTTATTTAAAGACCCACAAACCGGACCTACTTTCCATTGTAATCCCGATTTTCATTCCCGCCTTATCATCGGTATTTTTTATTCGGCCCTAAATGCGGAGCCGACATTGAATTATACCACGCTCCTCTTATCAGCACTACATTACGCAACGCGTGTGTACTCGTGACGATAATTGACACCCGGAAAAAGTCGAATAAAATGACTCGGTGTTTACCGAGTACCTGCAAATGTTTAAACAATCCCAAATATCTCCATTGTCGAGGGATCTCGCGATTGCAATCAATCGATGTATGTATCGAACCGAGGGATAATTAATTTCCCTAGTTTAACGTCACTCTTATCAATCCTTAATCGTTAATAAATCCAGACACATGGAAGTAAACGTCAAAATGACCGAAAGGAATTGAAATTCTCATAATGAAAGGAGGATTTATCCTAGGATTTTTTATTTTTAAATGCTTTGTACTCCGATAATGTACGTTTTTACCGGTCTAGGTTCACTGATAATGCCGACCACTCTCTCATTAGCGGGCTCATAACGAGCGGAATACGGAACACGGCGGTGGCTGCACTTTCACGATTAGGCAGCTGCACCGGTTGACGATGACGATTATGCGTTTCACACCGGCCATTTAGATCGCGGATAAAACCAGGTTTATGCAACCTGGGGCCCCTTTCGATAGCTTGTCACCGTGAACGTAACGATGCTCTCTCGTTGCACTTCCGTCGACACAGAAAAGCAGCCGAAACGGCCAATGTCGATTTCTCGGCCAATGAATGCAGATTTCACGTCTCGACATATCGCCGATTAATTCGGCCTGAAATCACGAAAGATCGTTTATTGCCTGAATTGTTCCAACAATGTTGTCATTCGAAAAATTTCCTCATAATGAACTTTTTCGACAGAGAAAAGAATCTGAAATGGCCAATGTCGATTTCTCGTCCAAGGAATGCAGATTTCACGTCTCGACATATCGCCGATTAATTCGGCCTGAAATCACGAAAGATCGTTTATTGCCAGAATTGTTCCAACAATTTCAAAAAATTTCCCCATAATGAACTTTTTCGACACAGAAAAGCAGCCGAAATGGCCAATGCCGATTTCTCGGCCAAGGAATGCAGATTTCACGTCTTTATATATCGCCGATTAATTCGGCCTGAAATCACGAAAGATCGTTTATTGCCAGAATTGTTCCAACAATTTCGAAAAATTTCCCCATAATGAACTTTTTCGACAGAGAAAAGAATCTGAAACGGCCAATGCCGATTTCTCGGCCAAGGAATGCAGATTTCACGTCTCGACATATCGCCGATTAATTCGACTCGAAATTATCAAAGATCGTTTATTGCCAGAATTGTTCCAACAATTTCGAAAAATTTCCCCATAATGAACTTTTTCGACAGAAAAGCAGCCGAAACGGCCAATGTCGATTTCTCGGCCAATGAATGCAGATTTCACGTCTTTACATATCGTCGATTAATTTGGCCGAAACCACCAAGCCAGAATTGTTCCAACAATTTCGAAAAATTTCCCCATAATCAACTTTTTCGACAGAAAAGCAGCCGAAACGGCCAATGTCGATTTCTCGGCCAAGGAACGCAGATTTCACGTCTCGACATATCGCCGATTAATTCGGCCCGAAACCACCAAAGATCGGTTATTACCCGAATTGTTCCAACAATGTCATTCGAAAAATTTCCCCATAATGAACTTTTTATCCCTCAAATCTCGCGATCGCCGGAAGGCTGTGGGGAATTTCTCCGAGATTGTCATCATGGGAAAACTCACATGAGGATTAGGCTCCAAGGGTCTAATGACTCCGGAATAGGAAGTGGTTCTTCGCGGGGGTCCGTTTAATTTTCCACTTTCGCCGACTTTCGCGGAAGTCGTCCTTTTTCCTTTTTTTTTTATCCGCGAAAACGATTTTTCCCGAGCAAGTCTCCTAATGATTTTTTTTTCATTTTCACGACAATTGTGTCGAGTTGTAACGACTAAACGATTTCTCGCAGTTCTGGAAATTGGGACGGAAAACTGTAACAGCGACGTCGGAAATTTACTATTTCCAGTTTTCACGCAAATCGACCTCTTTTCGACGGACTTGAAAAAAAAAAAAAAGAAATTAATTTCTCGAAACTACCTGTTTGCAGTTTCTTCGGCAAAAATTCGAGGGCGTTTAGTATATTTATAAGATTCAAGGCGGATCGGAGATTATGTTGTCAGGAAGGCGCGTGACAATTTTACTAATCACCGTGTCGACACTTGTGCATACAGTCATTCTCCGAGCGCCCATTATGCCCGTTTATCTTCCTTATTCCCTCTCAGTATTTCCATACTTGATTCGTTATGCAAAGAGGCGTTTAACGCGCTCACGTACGTTCCTATTGTGCACTTCGTGTTCCTGCAATTAGTGCTCGCGCCATCCTTCAAATAAATAATCTCAAATTCATCCTCGATCGCATAAAATTGAATCGCCCCCGACAATGGATATTCAAAAGCATACATTACTCCCTGCCCAATACTCATAAAACCTTAAATTCAAAATCGACTATTATTGAACACACAAAAAAAAAGAGGAGATGCACCGCTCTTGAAATTAATCTCAGCGCATGCAAAAGTGCAACCGCGAGATGTCAAGAAAGATGTGCAGACTTTCCAGATATATTATCCAAAATACATTACTCCCTACCCAATACTCATAAGACCTTAAATTCCAAATCGGCTATTATTGAACCCACAAAAAAAAACAGAGGAGATGCACCGCTCTTGAAATTAATCTCAGCGCATGCAAAAGTGCAACGTCGAGATGTCAAGAAAGATATGCAATTCTTTCCGAGACGAGTCGCAACGGAGTCATGCAAAAATAATTACACCATTGTAATCGATGTAATCGGCGCCGATAATGGCGAGCGATCGACATGCAGCTTGCACAAAAGTGCAAGCCACAGGTGCTTCGCCGAAACGCGGTTTACGAGCCTCGTAATGCAGCCTCGTTAAGGAAGTGAAACACTTATGAAATCAAACGTTTCACCTTCCTCGCGGAAATGCTTATTTACGTGACTTTCAGTTTCGAAATTGAATGCACCTCGCCGGTGCATAGCTCTGCCCGCCAGTCGGAATGCAGTTGCGATGCTCGCGAATGAAATAACGAAAAAAAAAAAAATTTATACACATATAAGAAGTGACCGCAAAGCTCGATTACGCAATGCGTGAAACGCGAGTCGTTAAACGATGCGTACATAAAATTATGCACTTCGTGTAAAAAGAAAAGGAAAAAAAAAAACTGCATCTCCTTTCGAGGGCGCGAAAAAGAGAAAGTCCTTACTCGAGCCGAGTAAAGTTGCATCGCGTTGCACGAAGTCTCAGATTTTACCGAACTTTACCTTAATTAACAATATTTCTCTTCTCTTCGTTAATTTAAAATTAGGTTGGCGTTTGTCACCCCGAAAAATGAAATTCTCATTGAACCAAAGAAATCCTTCTTGGGATAGCACCAAAGAAATATTTTTAATTCAAAGAATAATTATTTCGCTCTAACTGGAATAAATTGATTGCAAAGTTACTTCGGAATTACAACAATTTATTAGAGTCCCTTCGAGTGAATTAATTATCCCTTGAATTAACGAGATATTTCTTCGGTACCTTTTGATGAAATATTTCTTCGGCTCGATGAAAATCTTTCCTTCCCGGTGCATAATTGATGAATTAAGCTAATCACACGTCCTTCGCAGGTGCAACGTGGAATTTCGACGTCGCCTGGAATATCCGGAGCCTTGGCTCTCTCTTCGACTCACCTTCTGGAAAAACGTGTCCGCCTGCTTTAGTCCTTCGTTGTCGCCTGGAAAACAAATTGACCCCGGTACAGTGAATCGCAATAAAAAGGTAATTGGTAATACTCTTAAAAGTAATTAACCGAGATTCATGACTCTTATCCAGGAAGCTCGAGGAAAAAAAAATAAAAAAAAATCCATCGTTAAAAGATAAAGGCTTAAGGGGATGCGAAAGTGATCAATCGTTCATGAAACTTTTCTCTGAACCGCACCTAATCGATTCAAACTTTACGACGTGGATACAGAGGATCTAAGGAAGGTCCCGAGCCCCATGAAATTTGAATTGTTTAAAAATTAGTCTATACGAATTTTTTTTTTTAATTTTCTATTAAAATTGAGATTTTATACGTGTCCGGACCTTCCTTACAGCCTCCATATTCGGATGCTCCTTTCACATCCCCTTAATCATACTTTCGAATAAATCTATTAATCGTAACGCTCAGGGTCGACCCTGAAGATCGGCTTTCCCCATCCTGGCACCAGGAGACACCGACCTTGAAGCATGTTCTCCAGCTTCCGGCGTTCCACTCGGAATCGGTCCTGGCGAAGGTCCTCGGGGTCGCCGATGCCGAGGAGGGCCGCGATGTCGCGCAACTCGTCGCGGCTGTCGAAGCCGGACCTCCCGGAGACGCCCGTCGTCGCGGTGCCCTCCGACGTCTCCGACATCGTCTCCGTCCTGCGTTCGCTCTGCGTCACTTCGTTCGACATTTTCGCTCTTTCCCTCTTCCGCCTTCACCTGAAACGTTATCAATGATTAGCTCACCTGAGAGCACCTGAGTTTAGCGCCGAGCACAGGTATTTCCAAAAAAAAAAAAAGGTACTGCGATAAAAAAAATATGATACGGTACATTTATATTTATGGAATCCTCGTTATAATTCAACTTCATAAGTCACGGAACGAAAGAAAATATTTCTGCCCTGGTGATAATAAATTCCAATAAAAAAAAAAACGATTAACACCGAGGGCCTCGTTAAAAGTCCTGATAAATTAATTGCTCGATGAAACAGCCAATTAATAAATTAGGAATAAGTAATCGCCGACTCACCCGGTCGAGAGGCACTGTCTAAGAATATACGATTTATTACGATTAATAATGCTATGTATTTTTACAATCTAAGAAAGCACATGACGGTGCATCCTTCCATCCCTGATAAGCGAGTCCTTGACCGAGACGAGGCGGGTGATAAGGAGACAATCCGCATGATACGATCGGAGTCGAGTGAATTACAAGGGGAGATTGCGTTTACCCGCGACCGCAGAAGTAATCGATAATGACTTTTTATCTACTATATAAAGGACCGCTCGCCTACTCCGAGACTTTCATTAGAAATTCCAGAATTACGCAAAGAAAATTAATTATTCCCGCACCGGAAGTATTACACCAAAGGATTAAATATACCACCTAATAAAGGATTGCCCTGAAAAAGAAATTCCACCTAAGAGGACCAAAATTCCGGTTAATTTACCTGGATTACAGATTATTAAACACATCCGATTAAAAGCATCAGTTACTTCGGCCACGTTAACTTCCTCGTTAACGAAGCGTCTATTAATATTAATTTTTTTTTAAATATACCTCGTTAATAAAAAAATGGATTAAATATACCACCTAATAAAGGATTGCCCTGAAAAAGGAATTCCACCTAAGAGGACCAAAATTCCGGTTAATTAACCTGGATTACAGATTATCAAACACATCCGATTAAAAGTATCAGTTACTTCAGCCACGTTAACTTCCTCGTTAACGAAGCGTCTATTAATATTTTTTTTTTAAATATACCCAATCGTTAATAAAAAAATGGATTAAATATACCACCTAATAAAGGATTGCCCTGAAAAAGGAATTCCACCTAAGAGAACCAAAATTCCGGTTAATTAACCTGGATTACAGATTATTAAGCACATCCGATTAAAAGCATCAGTTACTTCGGCCACGTTAACTTCCTCGTTAACGAAGCGTCTATTAACATTAATTTATTTTTTTTAATATACCCAATCGCTAATAAAAAAATTCACAAGGGGGGTAATATCTGAAGAAAAAATTCCTGGTTCAAACGGAGTAGGAATAATAATTGCGCAAGGGGCGAGGGGGGTCGTAGGTCGTACCTTCTTCCTCGGATTCAAGAATTTGCACTAATTTTCAAACTCGTGACGTTACTTTTCGAAGGCGAACCCCTTAGAGGGGGGAGGAGGGGAAGCCCCGCGAATCCGTTCGGCGATATTTGGAACGAGATTCCGGAAAAATGCGGTTATTTTCGCGGTATAATGACACGACCACGACCTACCGCGTGGAATAAGACGCCGAAACTGCCGAAACTTGAGATTATTCCCCGTAGTCGTTTGGCCGTTTGTTGTCCGCCTATTAGCGGACTGGACTGTTGTCGGACTGGGCGCTCGGGATCAAAACAATGTACAAGAAATTCCTCGCTTTCGGCTCCCGATACGTCCCCGAATATCCGATATTCGTGTCAACAGGATATTCGACGGAGGAAGTCGCGATACCCCCGATAATGGTCAAACTGAATTTCGGGTGGATTCTTACCCGTACTCCAAAATGTTACATTTTCGAAGGAGGTACCAATTGGGATTTATCACTGAAAATACTCGATTTTCAATGAATTTATTCGGGATCGTATGACCTGGCATAAAACATTTTTTTTTTAAACCTTTACGTCGAAGTGAGATCGTCTAGTCAAGATATTCGACTTTTAATTAATTAATATCCCCCCGATAATCGTCAAACTGAATTTCGGGTGGATTCTTACCCGTACTCCAAAATGTTACATTTTCGAAGGAGGTACCAATTGGGATTTTTCACTGAAAAGTATTCGATTTTCAATGAATTTATTCTGGATCGTATGACCTGGCATAAAACATTTTTTTTTTTAAGCCTTCATCCCGGAATGAGCGTTTAGTCAAGATATTCGACTTTTAATTAATCAATATCCCCCGATAATGGTCAAACTGAATTTCGGGTGAATTCTTACCCGTACTCTAAAATGTTACATTTCCTAATGAGGTTTCGGTACCAATTGGGATTTTTCACTGAAAATATTCGATTTTCAATGAATCTATTCTAGATCGTATGACCTGGCTTGTACATTTTTTTTTTTAAGCCTACATCTCGAAGTGAGATCGTTTAGCCAAGATATTCGACTTTTAATTAATTTATTCAGGAACGTATACATGATTATTTTCTTTCTTTGGACAATTGAACTTCGGAGCAAGATTACCCGGTTAAAAGTTCGATTTCTAACGATTTGGTTTAGAAATGCACACGTGGAGGTGATATCAATATTCGAATCCGAATTTTTCTTTAGATTTCATTTCGGAGCGAGATCGTTCATGTGAAAAATTCCATTTTTAAATACGCATAATCTCTCATAGAATTTAACTGCGAAGCAGAACCGTTAAATTAAAAAATCGCATCCAGACGACATTTGCTTATTTCGTATATTTCCACGGTCATGGAACGGTAATAATGGAAAACTGGAAATTCCACATTTTTCTGACAATATTTATAAAACAGTTGGGTAAGAATAGTAGTACTCGTAGACTTTATCGGGAGCGCTATGAAATATTCACCCAGAGCGACTCAGCCGATGGGATGTCGGATAATCGATGTCGAAAATCGCGATCGATCGAATACATATCGAAGGTCAAGTCCGAGCTGGAAATCAACACGAGGAATACCTGTTCGTATGATAAAATCGGAGGGGGTAATCGGATTAGATTTCGAATTTTGAAAATCCAGCCGTTAGTAGGATCGAAAGAGTCAGAATAACTATAAATATATCTGAGAAGTCAGATCGTTGGTGGAAAGTATTTATCAAATCGGTACCCCCAATTCGATTGAAATTTCACCACTCCAATATATAGGCCCTAAAGGTAGTTCCTGAAACTCATGAAATTTCATTTTCTCATCGAAGATTTATTAACTTATCATAGACTAGAACCAACATGGCGTGGTCCGGGCCCGCTTTCAATGTTTTACGCTTCTTGGAGACTTTGAATAAAAAATGAAGAGTTTCAGGATCTAGCTGGAATAATTTAGAATACCGTAGAAATGGAATGTTACAGAGTCGGATGGGAAAATGAGGTAAATACTCTCACCAACGATTGCAAGAGAATACTGGCTTGTCCTGCGGCTGACGCGTGTTTTTAGAGCAAAAATATAGTTGCAGCTAAACGTCACAGATGGCGACGTTGGTTCGTCAAAATATAAACAGTCATGAATTCATGGGATTTCGGCAGTTTTACATCTATCTTTTTATCATTACTTTACCGAAATGACATATAGAACCCTTCAGTTCGTATAGTTCTATAGATAAATTTAACATTATCGACGTCGATTAAATTTCTTAGCGCTTTTCATATCCTCTTAAATCCTCGACCCTTCGTCTCGGGAAATATCGGCTCCAAAAGAAAGCGCAAGCGCGATTGGTCGATAGCCGTCACGTGACCAGGCGGTCACGTGACGTGGGACATTTTCAAACTTTCCTTTTAGGTTTGATTTCCCGCGCAGGAACATTAAATTGAGAACATTCTACACAGCTAATCCGTTCGCAGGATGAACGAGTAGTGGTCCCTTGAGACAAGGAATTATAATTGACAGTAATGCGTCCCTAAACAATAAATCGTCCTGTCGGTGAAGGAGGAACCGTCCGATTCGGGAGACTTCGGCACCGGTCATGATGCAACCGAATTAATTTTTACAGAATCTCAAGTGGGATGAAAAAGTACGTGCATAACGGCTAACTAAGCAGAGGATGACGTCTCGAGGGTTTCTCTTCCACGTAACGGAGGAAGTCGTGGAATTAACGTGGAAAGTTTGAAAAAGCGAGTACGTACCTTGGGGTGCGCGTCGCAGGGTCCGACGATGGCGCCAACGAGCGCAGCCAATGGGAGCCGGCCCTGACACGTGGTCGCGGATCTGGACCAATGGCAGCGCTCCTCGTCGCGCGTCTTTCCTCCGCTGAGCGGCGGGTCACGTTGCTCGGCAGTTCGGTCCGACCGGGCCCGACACCCGAAAGCGATTCCAACCAACCGGCAAGGTGGAGCTCGTTATCGCCCAACGCCCTCCCGAGTCTTTCCGTGTGGCGCCTCTCTCGGTCGCCATTCGAACTATGCCCACCGATCGCTCGAAACGGTTACCCTGTATCGTAATTTCAAACGAATAAACGCTTAAATAACAGGAATTACTCTGAGTATTTATTTCGTAAATATTTCGTATTTATTTTCCCGGAAGGTGAGACACGACTGACCAACTTTCCGATATTTCTTTTATTGAGTACCTTTTAACAACGGGCTCGTATTTATTGCCAAAAATTAAATTAAGTAGACGGTTCGTCGATTCGTTGGGGAGCACTAATGCCGGCCACTGTACACTGTCGTGTTCGACCTGACCTTAAATCACTTTAAGGGCTCCTTAAGGCCAGCCCTCTTCCGTCTCTCGGACCACTTTCGTATTTGAGGTGGTCTCGATATCCTGTGAATGATTTCCACATTTGGAATCGAAAAGAACATCGGCCGGCTATTTTGAAAAATGCCGAGTTTTACGAGATTTTACAAGTATGCCCTCGGAGGGCTCGGCGCCGTAGGTAGCGCCTACTTCGTGTATTATAATATGTACGGACATCCTGAACAGGTGCAAGTTTGCAATTGGACCTCATTGGAGTACTCAAGGAAGTGGGACAATAATTGGGATAGGTTAGAACGATAAAGTTGTACAATTAGATTATTAGTTTTATTTAATATTATCTGACCGGTAAGCACTGTATTAAAATTCATGCATCGGTTAATTAAATTTATTTTATCATAACCTTAAACTCGACGTTGCAGAAGAGACCCCAAAAGTTTAATGAAACCGATGCAAGTAAGGAACGAGGAAGACGAGAATAGGTATAACAAACAGCTGGCCGCTTACAAACCTAAGGCCGTGAAACATTATTTTCTTATACGGCACGGACAATATAATAGAGATGGAAAGAGGGACTCGGAGAGAGGACTTACTCCTCTAGGTTAGCGCGCAGTAATTTGTTAAACGTTGCGAATGTGTAATTTTTAAGGACTGGATAACATTTTTATACATTCTTTATTTTCATATAAAGGCAGATTGCAAGCCGAAGCGACTGGGAAGCGCTTGGCCGAGCTGGGAGTACCTTATACATTAATTGTTAAATCGACGATGACTCGGGCTCAAGAGACTTCAAAAATCATAGAACAGAGTCTCGCGACTGTAAACGTTGAACACGATAATCTTTTAACGGAGGGTAATCCTTATCCCCTTGACCCATTATCTGGAGTGTGGAGGACGGAGAGATCGGTGAATATTTTTTATCCTTTATCTCTAATCGATGTGAAGAAAAAGAAGATGAGAAATTATTGCAATGATTTACTTTTACAGTACTTTGTAGACGGCCCCAGAATAGAAGCAGCTTTTAGGAGGTACCTTCACCGGGCAGATCCTAGTCAGAAACAAGATTCCTATACCGTTCTCGTTTGCCATGCAAACGTTATTCGATACTTCGTCTGCAGGTACAATGTTAAGAAATCATGTTGAGTTTCTTGCACAACCAATAATTTCCTCGATTCATTCGTGATTAATTAATATTATTATAGAACAAAATTCATTAGCCTCGTTTGGTTTTTCAGAGCGCTTCAATTACCTCCTGAAGCTTGGATTCGTATATCCCTAAAACATGGAAGTATTACAATGCTCAGTATCTATCCCAATGGGAAAGTAACGCTACACTTTCTTGGAGACTGTGGACACATGGAGCCTAAATTGCTAACGACGTAATTTGTATTTCTTTTAGTACCACGCTGTAAATACACAGTTCTATAAGAAGAAATGAGTTTAATTTTCAATCAACAGGTCACGATCGTTGAAGTTAACGTAAAGAAGACCTACACGAAAGACGGATCAAAAGAGACTGCCGACTTCTTCGATAACATGCTTTGATGTGACGAACTTTACTTAATTTTGTGTGACATCTGTATGATACTTACCAGCAACGGATCTTTTTTTTTACATTTCAGTACCGAACTGACAGATGTGACAGAAAACAGTTATTAATGGCGTATCACGGTCGCTATCGAGTGTAGAGCTATTATTTAAATCTGGTATTTGATACAATTCCAAACGGAAGAGAAGTCATTAATAACTTGTACTACATTTTGTATTTTATATTACTAAAGTCTAGAATAAAATTACTTTTAATTTCCCCATTTTTTATCAATTGAACAACACGGTTATATGGTGTCATTCTTTGTTGTTTACATAATTAAAATTAATTTATACAAGAACGATTCACAGTCTCCACGTACCGAGTCGAATATCGCATTTAAGATGAACTGATAATCAATTGGACATTGACGGACCGTCAAAATATTTTTTTCACGGCATCACGTGTTCTTTATTTTGATTTTATCGGAAATTAAAACGATTGTATATTTTTTAGCTTGGCGGCGCTAGTGTCGCTTTAGATCATTCTCGAAGTCTGTAAAAGTTTTTTATTCGAATTGACCAATCACGTACGAGATTGTCACGTGTACTTTTGCGCATGCGCATGACGGGACTGAAAACTTGACACTAGACGCGACAAGTAAAAACATGTTACACTGTTAATATTAGGGCAGTGTAGCAAGACATGGACGAAGAAAGGTTAAAAAATAATAACCCGTGGACGAACTTGTCAACCTTAACAACTTTTGACAGAGGTATGTAAAATAACCTCACCACTACTGCCAAAACTTTAAAATAATTATAACTCCAATTAAAACGAACCAAAGAAAGTAACTTTTAAATATGTTATTAAATACTGTTGTTAATAAAAACACTTGTTACGTTTTAGTTAAAATATTTTATAACTCCAAACCGTTCTCTCGCTCGCGTATGATGTGCGAATTGTACGAAGGCATTTGTTATTGTGAAATCAAACTTAACATTGTTTTACCAGGAAATGACGCGTGGATAAGCCACTGCACGCAGAAAGCTGCTCAAATACAAACTGGCGGAGAAATTGTTCGTCGGGTTTTCCCTTCAACGAGTTTTCTTATCGAATCTTTAATTCAACAACTATGTGTGATGTTCGAGGAGGACTCAGTTCGCAGGAAAAGACTCTATATCAGTACTGAAATGATTTTTCTCACTTGTTTTTTAATTTAATCAATGAGTACGCAAAGATTTATAAAGCGTACAGTATTCATTGACTGTACAATAATCATGATTAAATTAAAAGCAATTAAAACCACTTATCCTAGTGCACTGTAAATGTTTTTTTTTATTTTAGAAATTTGCAACAAACTGCATCAGATGAAATTAATCGATGGTTCATATAACATGGCAGAGTTTGACACAATCCGCAGCCAGTACCAAACGGCACTGTGCCAACTGGTATCGGTTGCAAGAGCTTCGACGGGAAGTGACAATGCTTTAGGACTTTCTGGGTATCAATTGTTCCATGTACATTGTATTAATATTCTATTTCACTGTGTTTCATTTACTGGTGATAATTTAATCTGCTCCATTACCTTTAGACAGGGTCTTTATTCTAATATTTTCTATAAATTCTAAATTTATATTTTCAGACTAATGTTCGGATGGTCCCGCTACTGTAGAGAATTTGAAGAAATCGAATTCATCGCTCGTGGTGGATTCGGTTGTGTTTATAAGGCCTTACATAGATTAGATGATACCGAGTATGCAATAAAAAAAATCGTAGTGGAATATAGCAGAATGAATACCATTGTACAACATTTAGAAGAAGTTAAGACTATAGCGAAACTCAATCATATGAATATAGTGCCATACAAAAATGCTTGGATTGAAATGGCATTCCCATCAACTTTTGGTCCAAATGTTGTAAGTTATGAACAGAGCAACAGAGACCAATTACAGCCATCTTCTGAGAATAACAAACAAGCCGACTATTATTTAACGAATCATCGAATGCTCAGTTCGTCGATTTCTCAGTCACTGGAAGAGAATTCCTTCCACATGCGTGAGTATCTCTCTACTAAACCATTCGAAAAAATCAATTTATTATGAGGTATTCAAATATTGTCTTCCACATGCACAAATTTTATTTAATTATAGGTCAACAAACCGTTGAAAACAATCAATCTCAACAAACTGAAGAAATGAACTCTGACGTTGTATCTTTTAAGTCTAGCTCTAATAGAAACAATATATTTAGTCACTTTAAGCAACAAGAATCTTTAGTTACAAATAGCAACGATAGTGAATCAGAGGAAGAATCTGTTAACGATGGTCAACTGTGCCCATACAATTCTGGAAAGGTTAGTATCCCTTACATTATAAATTAAGCATGGATTCATCCACAAAATCACTAAATTAGTAATAGTTGCCTATTTTGCTTTAACTAAATCTACATCGACCTACATTTTATGTCTTGTAGAATATCCAGTATGTAACATTGTATATTCAAATGGCACTTTGTGAGAAGACGTTAAGGCAGTGGTTAGACAAAAGACAGGATTTTACCCCACAATCAGTAATATCCTCCATATTCACACAAATAATCCGTGGATTGGAATATATTCATTCTCTTGACATCGTTCACCATGATATAAAAGTGAGTACTCGATACTTTGTGCACAACCCCTCCCTATGCCACATACATGATTTTGTGCTTTTAATAACATCAATATTGCTTTATTATAGCCTAGCAATATTTTCGTGTCTTCATCAGGACGTTTACAAGTTCAATTAGGCGATTTTGGTCTCGCTTGTCCATTACAAGGGGGAACTCATTATTCCGCTATCGGTACGCAGATGTATGCAGCACCGGAACAATTGCAAGGCAAATGTAGTTCTAAGGTAACTAATTCATTCACTGCATCATATTGCGTAAACAAAATATATTAATAAATCTAATCACTAGAATATTATAAGGGTAAACAAATATTAAATATCATTTTCTCACGTGATTAATTCCAGAGTGATATTTATAGTTCGGGAATCGTCCTTTTGGAATTGCTAATTCCCATGCAAACCAAGATGGAATGCAGTCGCACAGTTGACGCATTTAAAAATGGACAGATACCTACTACACTCACCGCTAGATATCCAAAATGGGTAAGTTTGATCGCAATCACTTTCAACGGTGAAAATTATTCTACATACATAATGTTGCAATTTGCTTTCAGGCTTCTTTAGTCAGTCGATTAATACAATTTGATCCAAACAATCGTCCATCTACTCATGAACTCTTGCGAGAATTAAGTGATGATAAGGACTCGATAATATCAAGACTAAAAAGCGACAATGAAGAAAAGAACGTTACAATACGAAATCTGCAAGATCAAGTTGAAAGGCTGGAAGCTCGAATTTCAGAGCTCACTTTCTGTTCCAGTACTCAATAATAATTAGTACCAGCGAATTACTATATACTGAACCGTGACTATAGAAAATGCCGATTTTTTAATTGTTCAATGTATTCGCTTCAAATTTCATATTTTTCATACAAGAGATTTTTTCCACAGCTTTTTTGTGATATTATTGCCTTGCAGTAATTTTGACTGATTCTTATAAGGCAACGAATAAGTCTCAGTTTACTGCGAAGCAGAATTAATCAAAATATATAAATATTATTGAACAATTAAATTTCCGGGTGAGGCTGTAATTATTTATAATACTATTTAATACCATTGACTTTAGATATACTTAAATTACACTTGTAAATACATATTAATTTGGAATGTTTACCTTAGGGACGGAATTAAGCTGTACATACAAAATATTTTAGTAATTTAGATAATAAGTATAATTTGTAAGCATTTTTATGATTGTCTCAACCCATTGTATATTGTACCCTTGTCCCCTTTCAATGCCTGTTTATTAAATACGATTCCATTTTTTTTTGTACTTTCCGCTTTTATTGTTTAACATTTTTCACTCTTACGATATGTTGTCCCTGCTTCGGTTATAACAGTATCGAGTAATTCTTTAAGCTGTTTACCAAAGGTTATTCTATCATATGACTGATCAGGTACAGCGCACTTTCTTAACAAGTATTCTAAGATTGGATACTTTTTTAAAATCTGTTTTGGAATGTCATGCAGAAATCCTCCAGGGAAGAAATTAGTGCTCGTTTCTGGAGCCAGTAAATGCTACAATGAGAAAAATACAGTAAAACCACTATTTTTGCAAAAAAAAATTCTTATACTATCTAAATATTTACAGCTACATATATTAATTACATCCAAATCTAAAGCTTATGTACGAAACCATGCCTGACCTTGCACAACGCATAATAATTGTGGTCACTCAAGTAATGACTGCATATTTCTTTTGGCGAAAAAACAAAGCAGTTATCACAATCCGGGTCTGCTTTGTTTACTTCTACTACTTTCCAATCTTTGGGTTGATCTGAATACATAATAGCGCATTACCTTGATAAACAGCTGATAAGTTGAAACATTAGATTTGTTCAAGTTAAATATAATCATTTTCGCAAAATCTACAAGAGATCAAATATATTCTAATATTGCACATACCCTTAATTGAAATTTTCTTATCGACAATGATCATGTCTTCCAAATCGACAAACTTTGCTTCGTCTCTGCAATTAACAGCAATATTCTCAGGAGATATATCGGTCAAGTAGAAGCTAAATTCGGTACTTCTAAATGTAAGCATATGGACAGCATTCAGTAAGCTAGAAGCTATCGAAGCTCTACGAATCCAGTCTTCGTTATAAAAAGAGATTAAGGGTAAACCAATATATTCTTCAACGATTAATCTGCCACATGCTCCTAAGTATTTAGGCACCGGCCAACCATCTTCTGCTCGTAGAATCTATTCAGAGGTAAGTGTCCAACCTTAAACCAAGAAAGATTTTAAAATCCATGCAAGATTAAGTATTTAACTACCTGAAGGATAATTGGTTCTGGGTTAATTTTAATTAATGTCCACAGGTGTACGTGAAACGTTGAATTTTCTTCATTCAAACCATTCTCGAACACGCTATGGAAAAGCCTTTCTGTATTGTCAGAATGCGGACAAACTAGTAACCCAAATTTACCGCTATCGGTGTTTACAGCAAAATAAGTTACTTCATTTATAATATTTGCATATAAATTATCTTCTACGTTGATTACACTATTTTCATTGGACTGGCTAGACTGTGTACAAAGATATCTCAAGTTCGGCTGGCTACAGAGCATCTCGTCGAAAGCTTCCAACTCCCACGTATGAGCCAGCTTCTTCAGGACGACTTCTCGCCCTTCGTCTTCCCCGTAATATACATTTTTAATGCCGAATAAATTGGAAAATAATGCGAGTACGCTTATATGTTTCACTTTAATCCTATTGTTCACTGCATCACACGCGGACAAGCCATAACACGCAGGACATTTGTGAGTTTCTGTCAGTAATGTGAGGTTAGGATGCAGCCAGTGTCCGACGAATTTGATTCCAACGACCAAAAAGACTAATCCATACACCAATACTTTTCGTTTCTGACGCGTGAAAATCCTCCGAATACGAGACATAACGATCAATTTAAATAAATAGCATATCTCTCAAAACAAGGTTACGAGAATAAAAACTGACATGAGCAGAATTAGATGATTGTTCACGGGCAGTCGCGCGATCGCATCCTATGCTGCCCCCTGGTGGCCTTCTTTCGAACGGACGGCCACCTATCAGAGATGAGTTGGGTATCGAATACAAAATGGCGGAACTTTTTAAAAAGAGTGTATCACGTTCCTATTATTTTACCGTATAAAACGTTCCGTTATAATCATATCATCACCCGCTGATGGAGAATGGAACAAAATTTGTACTTTCTGACCCAAAATGAACGCTTCGGAAGAAACGATACGTGCAAAAAACGAATCCGCTTCCTCCACTTCTTGGATAGCTTGTCTTATCGGTAGCAAAGTCAAATCATTTCCTAGACGTTGGTAAAGGCTGTAAATACTGTTGGCGATTTTTCATGTTACTCAAGCCCATTTTACTGATCGTGTCCATATATTCGGAGTAACCCGTGAATGGCGCCGCCCACAGCTCGAACGTTTTTGGAACTGAAAAAGGTTCGAAAAAAATAGCAGGAACCACTTGCGACAACTTACATTTTTCCTGATATTTTAAAACTATTTACCCGCAGACATATCGATGCACCTGGGCGGTCGAATGTGTGGCTTATCCACAGCACTGTGTCTGAATTTCGTTGGGTCTTTGTAGCCATTTTTAAGGTCCTTATTAACCGAACAAATGGGAGCTCCAACCGGTGAATCAACGGCCGCCATTAGCTGTTTGTATTCCGTGAATAGTACTCCTGAAATACCATTTAATTTTAATTAAATCCGATTAAATTGAAGAAATTAAGTCAGTCCAATTCTTCCTTTCTCTCCCACCTCACCTCGTTTCTCGTAATCAATCTGGTAGACGCTTCTCATTGCCTCGTCACCCATGTGGCAGACGTTCTGCAAAATCCTATTTTTTGAATTATCCACTTTCCGATTTTCCGCGATGGCACCCTCGCGGGATTTTTGCTCTTTATCAGCCAAAGTCTTGTATCCATTCGTATCAGTTTGAAAACCTTCAGCGGTACATTTGCAACCGTCAGAGTGGAATCTCTGTATGTGCAGATCCGCAGAAGGATTCATAGGAGGCTGTGCAGGTTTTGCCATCAGTGGTTTCGGATAAGGCCACGTGTAATCAGCGTGAGTGTTCGTCACGAAAGTCTCCAGAAGGTTCGTCATCTTGGGACCCTCTAAAATGCTTCTTCAACTTGGAAATTTTGAAATTAGGTTAGACTCGAGAGAGAGCAGGGTCCAGAAACAGCATCCAATCACTTGCCAGAGCCAACTCGATAAAGTTGCGAATTTTTAGCAAAGCCATTTTTACTTCGCTCTGAAGATTAATTCTCTGACTGCCACGGATGGAATTTAAAAAATACACTTTATTCATTTTTGTCATCCAGGTCTTTCCGATGTGGGATGACTACGTGGCACGTGGTTATGGACACCGGATCGGAACTTTTCCTAGAACTTTGATTTTGAAAGCGTTTCCCTCGTGGTGTATTTTGTCCTTTATGATAGCATATCCTGTCTTTCCGATGACGTCTTGATATTCGCTTTTCCATGGTGGCAACGGAGTCTTCCTGCCGATCCCTTCGTCGTCCCATGCACCAGAGTTTTTACTTTTTTTCTTCTCATCCTTGTCACATTGGGATTGAGTTCTTCGAGAATGCTTGTCTTTAGGTTTCACGTGAGGTCGACATTCTGGCTCTCGCAGCGAATCTCCGGGGCCTTCTCTTGGTGCAGCCTCCTGGTCCTCGAATGCACGATCTAATTCTAAAAAGATATCACATCATTCAATATTATAAGCTCAGTTTTAACTACTTCACACTCCAGATAAATAGAAAACAAGAACTGCAATTACGGTCATGGCAGTAGTCCGTTTGATAAGTGGATCTCATGCGAGCCTTGTTAACCCGTTGCATCAAGTCTTCCGGAGGACTGCTTTTCAGGATGTCGTACAAATATGGATATTTTTCTTGAATCTATAAACAGGAAAAAATCACAAAGGTCGACGAATAACATCAACGTATGAAGATTTAAATGCGAACCAGCGTACCTTTTTCATATAGGCATTAGGTTGATCGAACCTAGTAGCTTCTGCTTCCGGGCTGGGACCAGTTCTCACAGGATACTCTTCGACTTGCGTAGCTGGTTCCCTTGAGAGACTTTTTCCAAAAGTTTCACACTTTTCTGACAGCACGTGTTCTCCTGGTTCTGCACCGCAGATGCATGATACGACACGAGAGAACTTTTTCTCCTTCTACGGCATTACAACGGTTTGTCAATATGATGTGTATGAGATAAAATGAATCGCAGTACAGATTGTTCGGTGGTGGGAAAGCTTGACTTCTGGCTCGCAGGTTGCATCCTAATGCAGGGCCAGAGGTAGTCCTTGCGGTAGGTCGACAGGTACAGGTCCATCTTGATCGATGATCTTTCTTCTAATCACTTAACGATTTGGCTTTGCACTCTTTCGTCCACTCGACAATTTGCGCCTGCATTTCATCGCACTGCTCAAATTTTTCTCACGAGGCGATTTAACGAATCTTATGCTAGGTCCCAAAGACAAAGGAAAGCCGACGACGTCTTCCAGGTGTGGCGATTCGCGAAATTTACCAAAAAGACAAGGTCACCCTAGTGTTTTCTCTAACCAGAAAATTCCTATACTCTCGATAATGCTAATTCGACGACCAGGAAAGAAAGGAACAATGGAATTCCATACACACATATATAATTGTCAAGTGCGTTTACAAAAATTGCAAAAACCAAACGAACTGTTTCTTATCTAGCTAGTAAAGGAGGAACGATATTGTTCTTAAAAATATCCCTTAGAGAAGCTATGAGAGACCCCAAATTAACGAATCGAAGAACTGTTTTACAGTCGCATAAATTAAGTCTTTCAATAGTTACGAGGATATTGTAATACTTATATTTAGTCGTAGAAGGTCGAATCGTTTTGCCACAAAATTGTCATTCCCAATCGGAAGGTGAAAGGTAAACCGATCAGTGACAAGTCGTGTGAATATATGTCTATGTACCGTTAACATTAAGAATTTAATTACGTTTATGCAAGCTGGAAATAGTTCTGTTTCGCAACAGGTATCTAACTAGTACCACAAGGTTTAATTTAGTCGTTAAACATGAACGTACATGTACATACATACGTTGCAAAATGCCAAACCTACTAAATGAAAAATACGTAAAATACTTTATAGAAACTTAACTTCACATAGAAAGACTCTCGATTAGGTCATCATTCGAAAGTGTGCGCCTAAAGTACATCTTACTGTAATATATTTCCTAATACTTATTATTTATACTTTAATTTCCCTAAGTAGACCCTTAATTCTTACGAAGTCAATGAAAAAAATTATATCAAGGCTAAATAAAAAGTATCAGTATTTTAAAGTTCTGCGACAGAACAAAATATCACGGAAGAGAGGTTCTTGAGTCATCATCGACATAACCTAAGACGTAACTATTTCTGTAAATTCTCTTCATTTCCACTTGGAGGCTGTTCACCTGCCTTCCTGACCTCCTTCATAACAGTAATAACTTTATAAACCCCGCTCCTGTACATTATACAATTAAATCCAGTACTTTAACACGTATACCACCTTACCCAACCCTTTGAAAGCATTGAAAAGTTTGCAAATACGTACTGAGAATTATAAAGAGTAATTCAAGCTGATGCAAGAGTCGACTCGATGCCATATAAATTCAGGTTTCTCTCAGTTAAATTACAGAGATACCGTGCAAAACCGTAAAATCCCTTGTTCGATCCTTCAACAGCTGGATCTGCATACAACAGCTAGATTTAATTGGTTTTCCCTGGCACGTCTTCATCCGTTGATTTAACCTTATTAGCAACAGTGTCAAAATCGATGTATACCGAACGCTCACCGAGCAAATGGTATTTCTACTGCGGGGGAGGTTGGTATCCATACCCTCCGTACTGGTTTGGCGGAGGAGGTCCTTGAGGGCCAGGTGGCGGAGGCATGTGTCCTCCAGGAGGTCGAGACGGATACTGTGGATAACCTTGTCCAGTTGGTGGTGGTGGATAGCTCTGTGGCGGATACTGAGGATGTCCATAATGCTGCCCTCCCTGCGGAGGGTGCGGAGCGTAGACCTGCGGTTGTCCTCCAGGAGCCGGTGGAACATAAGTTTGAGTCGTAGCAGGATGAGACTGTGGAGGTCCATAACCAGCCGGAGGTTGAGGAGGTCCAGGAGGCGGAGGAGGACCCTGCGGAGGCCCAGCTGGGGGCTGAAAACCACTTGGAGCGGAACCGGATGATTGCTGTTGCTGTTGCTGGGACTGGGGAGTCTGAGACTGTTGTTGTGGCTGTTGAGGAGGCTGGTGAGGTGATTGGTGCGGTGGGGGTTGGTGGCCCGATTGATGAGAAGTTTGGTGCGGGGACTGATGGGGTTGATGCGGAGGCTGATGAGGAGATTGATGAGGAGGAGGGTGTGGAGGCTGATGAGATGACGGATGAGTCGACTGGTGGACAGCGTACCCAGAAGGTGTTGGTCCTGGAGGTGCATATGGTCCACCTTGAGTAGCCGGAGCTCCACTGCTGGGAGGGTAGGTCTGCGTAGAAGCTGAAGGAGTGCTAGTTGGCTGACCGCTCTGTGCATAAGTGTTCGCACCACTAGCTGAGGATGTACTGAACGGTGGCGACGTGGAAGTGGGACCATACTGCGTTGGACCTGTTCCGGGTCCAGGACCTGGACTAGGTTGGCTGCCGTAATTTGGTTGAGGACCAGCATTCTGTTGAGGCCCTGGTTGCGGAGGTTGCCCTGTACTGGACGTAGCTGGAGGCGCAGAGTAACTCTGCAGCGTGGCGTTGTTTGGATAACCCTGGGATGATGGCGGCGGATAATTGCCAGTCTGAGAAGTATTGTATGCATTTTGCGGTGGTGGCTGAGAAGGCGGTTGCTGATAAGACGGTTGTGGACTGGGGCTCCCGTACTGTCCAGGCTGCTGTTGCTGCCCACCGGAAGGGAAATTCTGCTGAGAGGCGTTAGGAGGAGGATAACCTTGCTGACTTGGTGGAGGTGGACCGTAACCAGCAGGAGGCTGAGCTGCCCCAGGTGGTGGATAACCACCCGGTTGAGGACCGTAACTGTTAACGGTTGTTGGAGGTCCGTAACCTGGTTGATTCGATGTTGGATATCCTTGTTGTTGGGATGCATTTGGCGGTCCATATTGATTAGGTTGCCCAGAAGCATAAGCAGTGGTCTGAGGGCCCTGATAATTTGCCCCTGGAGTTTGGCCAGCATAGGGAGTTGGGTAACCTTGTTGAGTGGGTTGCTGAGGATATCCCTGTGGACCTCCCCTGTATTGCTGCGGACCAGGAGCTGCGGTAGGACCTAAAGAACCATTACAGTTACCACGATATAAATTTTGAACTCGAAATTATCTGTAATTCAATATTTTAATAATTACGGTAACAAATTTATATAAACTCACGACTAATGGCTGGTCCTTGGCCAGGCATAACCGGTCCTCTGTAACCTCCTTGCATCGGCTGACCTTGATTAAAATTGGTCATGGGTAAACTTTGTTGCGCACTCGGTGGTATGTCCCCGCCGGGTCCTCCCGATACTGCAGGTCCAGTGGGCGGACCCTGAGGTCCCATCATCTGATGCTGGGGACCGTTTGGTATGGCTTGCGGTGGCTGTAGATGTACATACATGATTACTTAATGGATTTTGGTATCTTTATCATACCAAATGCTCAAAAATTAGATGATTCATCAAATTATGGAACTCTGGCATGTGTGCAATGCTTTCCACCATGTTTATAAAGAATGTTCAAATATAAGAATATCTTACCGGGAGCAAAGCTTGTATATTTTGATTTCCATCGGCAATAGTAGCCAAATATACTAAATTACGGTGCAAGACTTGCTGATACCTAGAAACAATGAATATTGCATTAAATATTCCACTAATTTCTACGATGCGACAAACTGATATAAAAAATATTACAGACAACGATTTACTCACTGAATACATTCTTGTGGTTTTCCTTTGTTCTGATATTCCTGAATTGTCTGTATCAGATGACTATTTTCATCCAGCATCTATTAAAAAATATTACTTAATTAAAATGTATAATAATGCTCAAAGAGTACGTCAACTTCCTTTAGTTCCAAGGCACCTCGGTATGTAGGTACAAATAAAAAACTAGATAATAACCAATACATTCTGTTTTAGAACTGATTACCTTCTGAATCTGAGCTGGAGTCGGTGGAGGTCTTCCACGTTGAGCAAATGTTACGGACATTATTGCGTTACTTCAATAAAGAATTATATATCGCTGGATAAACGACTTCTTCGGAAACCATCCGCAGGTCAAAGAAAAAATGTGGTAGATGCTCTTTCCTCACATCTCAGGAGATCATTTTAGGAGATTGCTCGATGCAACTGCGAGGTTATCCTTGTTCGTGGCTTTCGGAACTGTGCAAGAATTTCGAACGATAGTTTGGAAGATTCGTCAACAATATATTCGACAAAAGGACACAACAATTCTCCGAATATCAGCAAAGACGGTAGAATGGAACTTCGCTTCCACAATAATTCCGGTATATTCGATAATGCAGCTGAATGTGTGTGTACCCACAATAGGACTAAACGGATATCGTCATGGATTTATTAACAGATAGATGGAAGAAATTGCTCCACGGATGAAGCTCAAGACGTAAGAGGAAGGAAAGATGGCGGCCATCTTGCCTTGCTAGTGATCACGCTTTTTAAAGGGAAATAAAAATAATTTAAAGTACATACATACACAGTAATTTACTGTCGTTGGCGATTTTTATGTCCTTAAAAATCGTGTTCAACACAATTTAACGATCTTTATACCTTTTGGCACGCGTCTTATCATGCTTCAAAAAAGGCGCAGTACGCACACTTGTCGCCGTTCACGAATACAAGTTGTTTAGCGCAGCTAGACAAGATGGCCGCCGTCTCCTCGCCTGAAATTTCACTCACTGCTACTTTCTAGCTGTTCATTTTTCTTTTATCTACGATGCTAGACTCACCAATGACTTTCCAGAATATATCGGAAATAACCAATGGGATACGTGAATGTCTTCTGGTGGCCGAATTATCCAATCATTTCGCGGAGTTAAGTCGGAGAATTAAAATGACTTTCTGACAACGTGTACTTCGCTGTGTGTGCAATCGGAAAGCTAAATTTAAAGCTCCCGTAGTAGTTTCAATATGGTTTCAATGATTATTAGGTACTTTCGCGAGTTATGTCAAATTCCGAGTTAAAAAGACATGCTAAGCGTAGAATATGCTTTTCCCGTTAACAGTGAGTTAATGTGAGATGTTAGCGTGAAATACATTATTTCGTCAAACGAAAGTGCAAATAATTTAACGAAGGTAAATTGTTTACCTTCGCTTGTAGAGCAGCTTAAGCGAAAGGTAGATAGGTTATCAAAGGGAGATATCTTATTCGTCCAAATAGAAAGTTTATTTATATCGCTGCCATTTTTCCTGTTAATAAATATCGCTCAAGATGCAGTGCAAGATCGATGATCTGCCCGATGAAATTTTGGAGTACATATTAAGTTTGATACCACCGTACAAGGATCTTCGGAAATGTATGCTTGTCTCGAAAAGGTGGTGTCGTGCTACTAAAAGTATGTACTTCTCTTATTATTATTTCACAATCTAACAAATTGTTTTTGCATCGCTATGTTATATGCTCTCAAGCAATATTTACTCGCTACTCGATACTTTGTGTATTTTCTTTTATCAAGAAAAATGATTTTACAATGACATTTGACCGTATCGACAGATGTGATCGAGCATAACGAGACACACTTTCAAAAGGCTGTGGCATTTGGTTCTTTGTTTTGGAATGCATGGTCATCCGAAAACTGGATGCCTGTCATTGGCAAGCGACATTCGCATTCCGCTTGCATGTACGAAAATTCAATGTATGTGTTCGGTGGTTGTACCGCAAGTAGTACGACGTTCAATGACTTGTGGAGGCTAGATTTAGATACGCGAAGATGGGTTCGACCGATGACTATGGGAAGTTATCCATCCCCGAAAGCCTGCGCAACCATGTTATATTACAAGAAGAGTTTTATTCTATTCGGTGGCTGGTCACATCCTTCTCCATATCCTGTGCACCAGGTATTTTTATTGTTTGAAGTTTTGTATAAACATTTATACTGAAGAGCCTTTTCAAAATAAGTATCAAGCATATATGCAGTTGTCTCTGAAAAAATTTATTTACAATTCCGTATTAATCCTTGAAAATGGTTTCTCTTTAGCAATGGAGGTTATTTAACGAGCTACACGTCTATTCGATAGAGTCCAATAGATGGAACGCAATAGATGCATTCGAGAGTCCACCCCCAACGTCTGCTCACTCGGCAACTATACACAGAAACCTGATGGTCGTTTTTGGGGGCGTTTCCGATGGCTATATGTACTATTATTTATTCTGTACTTTATATACTTTGTATTTGTTATCGAGTCATAAATCTGTTTGTGTTGTGTCGAGGTAGCTCCAATGAAGTGTGGTGTTTAAATCTGGACACTTATTGCTGGCATAGACAAACAACGTCATATTTCCAACCTCAACCCCGATATGGCCAGTCTCAGATCGAGCTCGATGAAAATCATCTTCTCATATTGGGTAGGAAAAATGATAAAGTGTGAAATTCCCTTCCTAATATTCCTGGTTACATGGGAAATATTTTCAGGGGGTTGTACAGGACCTAACATTGCCATGAATGACGCATGGTTATTGACAATGGAAGGACCATCGTGGACATGGAGGAAAGTGAAAATGCAACATCCTGCATGGGCGCCTACTCGAATTTGGTGTCATCAAGCATGCAAAGTGAGTATAATCCTAACCTCTTCCTTTAGTTAACGGTTCACGATTACAATTCATCAGATATACTCATTGCATCCCATCGATCATGACTTACATGTCATCGAGTAACGCTGTGCTTCAATTACCTAGGTGGGAAATTATATCATTGTCCTAAGCAGGAATAAAAAGAAAATTCAGACAAACGAGATGAGCATTTCTTTAGCAAAGGTTGGTTGCCAGCTGCCGATGCCACCGCAGTTATCTAATCCCACAGCTCTTTACGAAAGGTACGTCACCCATGTGTCAAATTCTGCTACACATGATCGTCCCATAGTTGACGTTGCAACTATTTCCATCCTTTCCAGGCAAAGGAATATTCCACATATAGACAAAGACGAGAACGTAAACGGCAGACGTGGTTCCCTGCCAAGGTCGCCTTCGTCAAGAAGTTCCAGCTCTCCGATACCAAGTTCAACGATGGCAAGAACACTTGCTCTCCGCAGTCAGAATAATTTAAGCATGGCTGCATTTCGCGAGGAACCGTCTCGTACGAATCCTAACGCGAATAGACAGCGTCAGCTGGAATCTCTGCGAAGGATGGAGGAGAGAATCCACAGTCACAAGCCTCAATGGAAAGTTACCAAGAAGAGTTCGGACAACACATTGGCGATTTTTGTGCTGGATATAACAAACGTGTTAAGTGAGGAATGCTCTGCTTCCTGGGTTCCGTTGAAGAAGAATAACCAGTCAGGCCCCGATGAGAGGATACTTTATTCGCTGGTTCTTGGAAGAGGAGAACTGATAGTGTTCGGAGGGATCAGGAGGGAACAGACCACCATACAAGGACAGACCGACGTCGACGATTCGGAAGTGTACAACGAACTCCATTTTATAAATCCACCTAAATACGTTATATAGTAGAACGCATCGGTGGAATATTTTGCTAGCGACTGCTTCTACACAGTCTTCGCGGGATCGCAAAGTTCGTTTCGTTACCTTTTGTATATATACACAGGATTCACGGCCGTAGATCGACTATCCGTTTATCGAAAGTTAACGGGCACGTATTTTGCACGCGGTATAGTTTCTTCGAACGATTTAATTGGACTCTGGAGTAATCTCAAGTTTGACACAACTCGCTGTGATGCGCAATGAAAATAAGCGTCATAAGACTGTTAGTGTATTTACTCGCGCTAGTTCTGCCATAGGACTCCGTCGTGTTCAGTGATGAGTTTCACGCCGTATACATTGGCACCAAGCTGTGAATCGCTCTCACGATTTGACGTATACCGAGAGCATCGTGTTCTGTTTTTGCAATTTTTTTTTTATCAATCGAGCAGAACACGACACCACTTTTGATCACTAGATCCTTCGACAATTGTGACAAGTTGTGATAAAGCACTATAAATGATTATATAACTTCGGAAATTAATAATATTTAATATAAAAAGGCTAATAAAAGTGCATTTAGTCGTTTAAACATAGTTACGTTTATTCCGTAGAGTTACGATGGATTTACTTCATCCGATGCCAATCGTTTTTGTATTATTCTGAGTTATGTAAACCTGGTAGGCTGCGGTCTCTTATCGAGTGACCTTTACTCGTCTTCGTTCTCGTCGTTCTTCAAACTACCAAAAACTTTCGACGGTATAGCTTGCTTCTCGACTGGTATGTCTGAAACAAAGTGGCAATTCGCTTGTGATCTACACTTAATGTATCAATAAATTCGATATAGATCTTTCTCTAATTACCCTCCTCCATTTCTGCTTCGTTCTCGTCGTTGTCTTCATCCTCCTCGTCGTCGTCGTCCATATTAATATCGATATCGATCTCATCTGGATTCGCTACTTGTGGCTTCGCTTTGCCATCACCTTCCGTTACCCCACGAACAAATCTGATACTGTCCTTTGGTCCAGGTAGAGGATTAACTTCTGCAATAGATATTCACGTAAGTTTTCTGTATTTCTTTCTATATCGAAGGATCAAATTTCAAAATTAATGTGAAACTAACCTCCACCGGGTACTTTACTGTCCAACAAACGCATGGCATCGATGGGCTGCTCCGAAGAAGATGCGTTGTTTAACATTTGCGCAGACATCATATTCACTTGAGTATTATACATAGCCTGCACACTCCTCTTTATCCTTAACATTTCCCTCATGGTATCCTCGTTGCCATGCCTTACTTCAAACTCTTTCCAAATTTGCCAAAAATTCGATGTAACCTAGTTAAATTACAAATCATTAATCCAAGTGCATTGATTTAATTTTTAATTCGTAATGAATCAGGTTAGGTTAGGTTATCATACCCTTGGATCGCATATCTGACTGCAATGCGCATAAATTGCTCTTGCACGATCGACTTCTCCTAATTTCGTTTCCATCTCTGCAAACCGCAGACACATTTCCCTGGTGTTTTCTTCGTTCAAGACTTCTATAGCTTTTTCGTAGATCTGGCGCGTTTTTGGCACTCCATAAATATCGGCAGCCTTCTTAATATAAATGTTGAACATCTGCAAATAAAATTGTATCGATATTAACAGTACTGACATTTTTTCGCCGTATAGAAAAATATCAAACGATGATTACTTCAAATTTTTCTTCGGGCAGAACTGCACTCGTGGCTCTTTCGTAAACTGACATTGCGTGTCTAGCCAGACCGTGTTCTTCTTCCAGCTTTGCGTATAATAAATATAAAGCTGAAAAGAAATGAAAGATATAAGGAACCTAATCTCACTATCGAAGGAGATGTTCGCAACAAGTGATAGGTGGTTTGATACCTTTGGCATATTTGGATGGGCAGTGTTCAAGACACTGTTCGAATAAATCTCGAGTACGTTCCAATTTTGTCCCTCCGTAACGATGTAAAAATTTAGTGAGGTATGTATTCCAGATATCGTACACGTTGGGCCATTTGAACAAAGCGATTCCTTTCTCATATGCCTATGAACAGATTTACCAACAATTATATTCTGTCTCTTTGTAATTGACTTTACGCTACATATTTTACACTTGTATTTATAAGAACCAGTTGTTTCGACTCACCCGAAAGGCTTCCTCGAAGTAATTATTTTCTTCTAAGAACAGACCGTAATTGATGATTATCTGAGGCGTTGCAATTTTCAGGTCTATAATTTTGTCGTACACAGCTTTGCATGTCTGTTAAGAAAAGGACAGTTTTAGGCAAGAACTCTTATGTCAATGAAATAAATAGTTTTATCTAGAGAATACCTTAAATGTGCCGAAGCTTTCTTCCAAATCTGCATACATGGACCATACTTTCAAAGATTTATATAACCTCATCTGTACAGTTTCGGTCTCGTCATGGTATGCAACTTTTCTTGACGGCATAGCTGTCGCTTTGTGCATAAGCTTTAAAGCTTCCTTACAATTCCTGAAAAAAAGGCTTCTTTAGACACAAAGTTTGTTACAGAAATCCTGAATGTGATATCGACATAAAATATAGTTTTACCCATGACGGATTTCCATCTCCGCCCACTCACACCACACAGATGCGAGGTCGTCAACTTTTGTGTACGGAACATGAGTTGCTTTTTCAAAGACCACTCTAGCGTCAGATATTTGTCCATTCTCTTCGTAGAATTTAGCAAATGCAACCCATAATGTGTGCAATTTGCCAACCGCTAGCTGAGGCTGTACGGTTTGCACTGCTTCGGTGTAGGTATTAATTATCTGTAATAAATACAAGCTTTAAAAACAGTTTATCACTTTCTGCATCAAATAAAAAATTAAAATCAACGGTCTTACTTCGTGAGGTTGGCCTTCGTACAACATCACTCTTTTGTGCCATTCTTGTACATTGTGAGGATTTTGCCTCAAGAGGACTGAATTTAGTAGCAATAATCTTCGTTCCATGAGATGTTCAAAACGTGCTAAACGTAACTCCAGTTCAATGTCATCTGCGGAGATCACAATATTATATTAAATACGAACATATATTAAGTATAACATTTCTATGACATACCTTCTTCAGTTGGGTTAGGATTTTTTGCAGCCTCTTCCATTCGTTTGCTAAGGCTAAGTTCTTCAAACTGAGCGTAAGCGTCGAATACTTGAGTAAAGTCTCTAACGGTGGTAACGGTTTGAATGGCTTCTTCGTAAATGTCACGAGCCTACGTATAGAGAATTACAAATTGGTATCAGAGTACATAATTATTTGAACGCGAGAATAATAATTCCACGTACCCTTTCGAATAAGCCACTTCTGACATAATAATCAGCTAAAGAGTTCCACAGAGGACCCAACTGATCGGTATAACGTCTCAAACCTCCTCTGATGATGGCATCGACGTTAAGGGATTTTATTTTTGATGGATTCTTTGATATTAAGTCACATAATTCATTCCATAGTTGATGATTTGATTTACCATGCTTTGAAATAAAGTCATCTTGGTTGACTATGTGTGCTAGCTTCATAGCAGCTTCGTCTAATCTTCCCACAGAGATCAAATACTCTATATATTCCTCTGTATCTTCTGGAGCTAACTTAATTTTAAAACAGATTACAATTATGCAATTGAAAAAGTTGAACATTTTCGACACAGTAATAAAAATAGAAATAAGATTTGATACCTTTAGATATCTTCTGAACACCCTTACCGCAGTTTCATAAACGTTATGCTTTTTTAGAAAATCAATGTAGAGGGGCCAAATACGATGGTGTTGAGTAATTGGTAACGCTCTTAGGGACCGATCAAAAACCTGACGAGTACGAGTAATATAGCACTGATCTGTCATAAGGATGCAATAATCCATCCAGATTCGAGGCATTTTATGCATAAATACTAACGCTCTCTCGAATGCATTATTCACGTCTTCATAAAGAGGATCTGTTATACAACGTTTCTTCAACTGGTTCACTCTATGACGAAGGTAATTATACCACAGTTTATAGCTGAAAATAAATGTCAGCAGTAAATAGCAATTTCGAATTAATGCAAAATAGAACATTTGTTAACGACAAATGTGACATGTGGAACTCGTTCCTTACCTTCCAGGTAGTTCTTTCAATGCACGTTCATATACAATATTTAAATTACAACTTTTGGAACTCTTTAAGTGGTCTATGTATCGCTGCCAGTGTTTGACGGAGTAAGGATTCCTTAAAATCTCTTCCTCATAAGGTAAATCTTCTTCATTCTGGAATGTAAAAATGTGTAAACAAAATATTTATCTTGTAAAAGGCGTTAAAGTTTAAATACACAACTTAGAACGTACGAAAACGTAGGAGTTCCCTTCAGAATCTTTTCGTTCGAGCATTTTGCCATGAAACTTTTTACAATACGAGAGGAATTAGGAAACATCCGCAGACGTTTCAAACGTCGTTACGACATAACCTCGAACAACCTCGAACAACGCGTCGACGTTAAGCATAGAGGTTACATCCTGAAAGATGAGAAATTGCACAGTTCTATATTTTCTCTTTCAGGAGATTGCGCTATCTCTCGGTAAAAAATATTGTGGATTTACTTCGCCATTGAATTGGAGGTTAAAATGCAATTAGAAACCCGCCTTGACCAGGCGCTACGAGCGCTGCTAGTCATCTCTATATCTAGATAGATGTCTACCGTCCGATCTAACCTTACTTCTTACGAGGACGAACAAACAAATACGTCGTAGAGTTTAATGGGAGCGAACGTAAATTATCCTGTCTTAGGATCCTCTGTTCGAAAGAATATGTCCTCGCCAAGTGATACTCCAGGTCAGCGAGCATTGGAAGTGGCTAAAAGCAAAGATGTGGCGATCTTCAAGAAGCCAATAGGCGTTCCTCGTACGTCCAGTAAGTTTCGGCCAAAAATCCTGAGCGAGGACGCATATATCGAGAAAATGGGAGAAATCATTCAGAAGGACTTCTTCCCTTACTTGGAGAAACTTAAGGCACAAAATGAGTTCCTGGATGCTTTAGAGCAGAATGATGTTAAGCGAATGCGTCAGCTTTATGAGAAGTATAGCTCGGGTCGGCCAGTAACGGAGAGACCGGTCAGTCCTGCAACGTTTGAAACTCCTCTGCGTGATGATAAAACGATGAACGATGAGGATAAAACTATCGAAAGAGAAGCACAGGCACGTGTCAAGGCACCGAGTAAACGCGAGGAGCAGGCAAAGAATAGAATTGGACTAGATGCTTATTTGTATAACCATACCAGCGAAGATAATGCCAGTTTCGAAGAAATGATGGAAGAGGCACAGAAGCGACACAGATTGAAGTATGCATGGCTTTATGAAAATGAGGAAAAGTCTAAAGCTCTTATGATGAAAAAAGAAAATGACATGCTATTGCCAATAGAAGGAAAAGGAACCAGGCCTAGTCAGTTGGATAGCTGGAGTTATACAAATAAAAATTATATCATGTACATACCGGACGGAATCGAGCTGACGCCGGAAGAGAAAATACAACAAGCAAAAAGTAAACAGGAAATCGTTTACGACAATACAAGGTTGAGAAAAAATCCTTTCAACGAGCAACAGAATAAGGAAACTATTGATGAGCTAGCAAAGACTCAGTCGAAAGCTAACGATGGGAAAATTGGAGTTGACGGTAAAGAGGTAGTCAAGAGCAACACCCCGCAAGTGAATGGATTCAGTTTTGTAGCGACGCCTAGTCCAAGACCTGGAGAATGCGAAAGCCCTCTGATGACATGGGGAGAAATCGAGGGCACTCCGTTTAGATTGGATGGTGGAGATACTCCATTGCTCAGAACGAGCCAGGGACCCTCGTTTAAAATGGCAGAGCCACCAAAACGAGAGCAGCTTGCTTTACAATTGGCTGAAAAGGCCGGAGAGAGGCATAGAGACAGAAAAAATAAAGCGTTGGAAGCTGCACGAAGATCTCTAGCGACGTAAGTAGATTTTTCCCTCCTTTCTAAGACCTGCATTATCCAATAAATTTTCATTCTGACTATGAATTTCTAATCACCAAATTCTTCACTTCCAGACCGTCTCCACAGTCGCTGTCAGCTATCGATCGTCTGAGCACCATGTCACCAGCAGCGAGGAGACTGGCAACCCAGAGACTAAAAATATCCACCACCCCATCTCCCAGGAAAATTCTATCGAGAACTCCGTACATCGGTATCAAGACTCCGAGTACCCCCCGAACAAGAACACCAGGTTTTGGTGGAAAATCTCAGACCGTTAAATCTTTGAGTGGCAGCGGTCTACAGAACCAAGGTCCCGTCCTGACGGACAACCTGTTGAACCTTCCCCTGCAGAGGCAAAGGGCTTCGGACTTCTTCGACAAGTGAAACAAGTGGACAGTGGTTAATTCGATAAGCCTTACATCGCAGCCTGTACATATAGTTCCATTCCACCATTCTATTCTCCTCGCTCCAACCTATGCATTAGACCGAAGCTAGCATCAAAGGACCTCGAAGAGTGGGAATAAAGCCGACGCAGTGATAAGTATTTTTTGTAGATCTTTTCATTTATTCCTCGCAAGTGTCACAGACGCGTCTTAGGGTCCAGCGCTCTAAATTACGACTAGTTGCACACAAGAACCCCGTCCTTGCCCGTGGCGTCAACGTCCTCGGGGAACGAGGACCCTAGTGCTAGCAGGTAATCCTAACGGCGCGACTCAAGCGTCTTCAGGGTCTTCGGAGTCTCCTTCCGTCGTTCTTGTCATCGTCAACGTCTCGATTGCTTTTCAGTGCGAGCACCCGGGAGAACATCCGCAGGACAAGGGGTTGATTGAGAGAATTTCCTGTCCGTGGGTGGAGCAAGACCCCTTCTTTGGGGGCTTCAATCTGCTGAGGATCCCGCCGGACAGAGCGGAGGCCTCGCCGTCGTCGTCCTCGTCGCTATCTCCGCCGTCGGCCTCGCCACTTGGAGCACCATCGTCGCCACCGTCCGCAGGTTCGTCATCGCGAGGAAGCACGTTCCCAGGAATGTATCCTGGGACCGGAGGCCCTAGGGGTCCGCACGCCGAGGTGCGACCGTACCCTGGGAGTCCCAGAAGACCACCGAGGCCGAAGGGACCGGCACCACCGGGTCCACCGAGGCCGAAAGGACCGCTACCAGGTCCACCGAGGGCTATCACGCCACCCGGAAGAACTCCGGCTGGTAAACCTCCTGGAAGAATTCCACCAGGACCACCGAGACCACCAAGACCACCGATTGGAATCACTCCACCCGGAAGACCGCTGCCAGGACCCCCGAGGGGACCCAACGCTCCCGCGGGAATCACACCTCCAGGTCCTAGCAAAGACCCTAAAGACGTAGCCGGGATGCTGTTGATGAATGTGTTGCCACTAGGTCCTTCGGGCCCGTAGCCGAGGTCACTGGAAATATTAGTAATGGCGTTAGGTAATCCTTGTTAAAGAACTCATCCTGGATCCTGAAGAAGCAGATGGTAGTACACTAAACGCGCAGAATTTGCAGAATTTGCAGAAGAGCGAACCATCTTCTAGAAAACGCAGATGCCGAAGAGCTGGCACGAAGGTTTACCTGTAGCTGATAGCAGGCAGAGAGGGTGCCGAAAGACCGGCCAGAGCTTCGGCTTCCTCTTCGAGTTTCTGCTGCTCCATCGCCGCCTGCTCGGCCAGAGCCTCTTCCGCCACCGAGCAAGGTCCTTTTCCTGGAAGCCCCTTCAGCTCGACGATCGGTCGGTCGACCGCGAGGAGCTTCTCCTCGGGGATGTCTGGCTTCTTCTCCAGCACCCGGCCGTCCAGGGGCGTCTTTTGCTGGCCGTAGGCCAGCTTCTCTTCGGGTACCACCTTGGAAGTGCGTCTAGCCAGACCGAAGGCTAAAGACAAGGACACCGGGTCGGCCGGGACGTATCCCGTCGGCAGACCGTTGTAGATCTTCTCCTGGTCGTCGAAGGGAAGGCCTGCGGACAGAAAGCGTCAACTACTAAACGAACCTGGACAATGGCGTGGCTTTTACGTAGAGAAATCGCTGCCACGTTCTTCCAAGAGAAGAGTTAATGGACCATGGAGCTGTTTCTTCGGATATCGATTTGAAACTATGAAGACTATTGGAAATTTAAGATGTCGATTGCGAGGACTTACTGTCCGGAGCATCGAACGAGTTCAGGTCATCGAGAGGCCTCAAAGAAGCTAGGGCTGGCAGAGGAAGGAAGGGACCACCAGGCCCGAGAAGGGGACCATCGGGACCACCAAGGCCTCCAGGACCTCCAGGACCACCGGGACCACCGGGACCACCGGGACCAAAGGGTCCACCAGGGCCGAATGGACCACCAGGCCCGAACGGACCGCCAGGACCGAAGGGTCCTCCAGGTCCTCCCACTCCACCTGGTCCACCGGGTCCAAAGGGTCCTCCAGGTCCACCCAATCCCCCTGGTCCACCAGGTCCGAAGGGTCCTCCAGGTCCTCCAAGTCCACCCGGTCCACCGGGACCGAAGGGTCCTCCAGGTCCGAAAGGCTGGCCAGGTCCACCGAGTCCTCCAAGACCACCGAGCCCTCCAAGGGCTCCCAACCCTGCAGTTCCGCAGGTCAGACACCTTGGTTTCCCAGGATACGCCGGAGTCACCCTGGGATTTCCGGATTTGCCTCCAGGACCGCCTGACCCGCTTCCAGGGCCTCCTCCGTTGCACAGGTCACCCGCTGGCCCGCCGACCGGGCCGAATCTGGAGGTTTGAGTCGATTAAAATTAACTCTTAGGATCTGAATTCATTATTCAAGGGTAACGCAACCATCTTACTTCGGCAGAACTCTGGCGTTGGGACCGAGGGCGAGCACCTCCGCGGTGGAGAGTCCCCCGAGAAGTGGTACCGGTTTTGGCGGCAGATTGGAGCAGCCTCCGGAGCCGAAAGGTCCACCAGGACCGAATCCACCAGGTCCACCAGGACCGAATCCACCAGGTCCATATCCACCAGGTCCATATCCACCAGGTCCATATCCACCAGGTCCATATCCACCAGGTCCATATCCACCTGGCCCATAGCCACCCGGTCCGTACCCATCTGATCCGTATCCACCTGGCCCACCGAATCCACCCGGACCACCGTTAATGCCTGCCGCAGCGGACGCAGCGTTTGCTGCCGCCCTCGCTGCCGCCGCCTCGTTGATCACGTGGGGAGCTGCGAAATGCGCTGGTTTCACCACTTTCGGGGCCTTGATGACTATGTCCCCGTGCTTGGCACAGGGGTCCGTTCCCGCCCCGAGGCCTCCGCAGGTGCACTCGGGCTTCCCCTGGGCTGAAGAGACGGCGAGCGCCACCAGCAGCGCGGCGCTCAGGCAGGCCAGCCTAGAGGTCCTCATCTTGCTAAGACGCTGATCGGACGGCTTACTGGCCCTCTGTGACCTGACTTCCACTCCAACCTCCAGTTCTTATACCCCGAGCTCCCAAGCAACCTCACCTCTTCGTTGCAAACAATCCGAACCGACTTCCGCATCGATCGCCGGATTTGCGAAAGACGCCGCCATATCCGACGCGGAGACGGAAGCGTTCTACAACGAGGTTTCGCCAGGGTCTTGGATTGTTGTTGCTTCGACGATTCTTCGAGCCCCGGACGAGCTGTTGGTGTTTTCGTTCCGCCTTGGGGGCCCCCGGAAGTCGGCCCGCGCGATGCGCAAGACGCCGCCATCTTTGATTCGCTGCGACTCCAAGATGAAATCCCCGGTTTATTGAGTTTCCTTCTGTTGGGCCGTCGATTTCGATTGTGCCGTAGAATTAGGATCGTACTTTATATCTTCGAGGTCTATGATAAGTGTATGGATGAATAGATTCGAAATCCAGGAGATTTTAAGAAGTCGAAGGAGACTTCGACGCTCGGCGAAGAGAAGCGAGACGCGGTGGGATTCTTCGACGGTTCGTTTTGATATTCGTTAAGACTTGTTAAAGTATATAGGGATAAAGGTAATTTGTTAAGATATATCGACTGCAAAAACGGTTCCCACCCCGGCGGGTGAATTTTTATAAGAAAATGGCGTTCTGCTGCTACTTGTTGAAGGGTGGAAAATAGAAGGGGTCTATTGTTGTACAAGATATTTATAGATCGGTTTATTAACATTTATTCCCGATTACAGGTACACAATGTGCTGTGCCATCGTTTTCACATTGCGACACGATCGAACAAAGCGATTGAGGCTTCGATGCGAGTATTATGTAAGACTGATATATTAATTAGCGTTTATTTCGTACTTTTGACACCTATAACGAAAGGTAATATAATCCACTCGACTTTCAGAAGCTCTGCGTTGCTTTTTACGTATACACAGTATACACGGTATATGTAGGAATTTGACGTAAATAAATAACGCTCTGCCTTTCAAACTCAGAATTTAAATTCGAGTTTCGTCTTCGCGGGGCAGCGTCGGTCGGTCCTCTGCAAGGCGTTGACTTCCGGCCTAGAAGAGTCCTCCGATTTCGGGAACACGTTCACCACGAGTTCCACATTGGTGATGATGTCCCCGACACGCACTTTCGCCCCTTTGTACCTGACGTTTCCATTCATTATACCCAGACGCACGCAATGAGTCTCCTGCAATGAATAATGACAAATATCTCTTACATGGATTAATATAAAATTCTTTCCAACTCGGTAAGAAGGAAATGTTAATTTTTATTCCCGAAACGTACATTGTTGCGGGTAAGATCATAAATTGTTGCGAGGGCTTAATTTTAATCGGGGTCATTTTTTAGGGAGGAGAGAAAATCGACGCACCTGAGCGACGAGCAGCAAAATCGCCAGCAAGACCGGCTTCATGACTCGTGTATAGAAAATCTCGTCCTGGAGTAACGAGGAGATATTTCCCTCTCGACAAGGATCAAATGTTAATTCCGCAGTCGCCGGGGTTTGCGGAAGTCCCGGCGAAAACATTGCGCCTTCGTTTACATTCGCGTACCTTATTCTATAAATATTCGCGATTTCATTGCTGCGACCTACGAGATCTGCAATTCTCGCGCCTCTTCGCGATTCATTTCTGCGACCGAGTTTCGAGAGCCCTGCATAATATTGCAACGAACAATGCTGAAGGAATGCTCTCCGTTCTCCTTCCGGCTGGGCGTATGATGGAATGTTTAAACAACCTCGAGGCCGAGTTGCCGAAACATTGCAAAACGCTTTGCCGATCCGGAAACGAGACGGAAGTGGAGCTCGAGACCGCGTCGAGTCGACTTCAATGCGCGGAGAAGAAAGAACGGGAAAGTGAAAAAGGAAATGGCATCGAAATGCTCCCTCGTTCTTACTGTAATCCTGTGCGTGTCCTACAGAGTGAGTCTTTTCATCTTAATTTAATTTGTAAATTGATCTCAGAAATGTAGATTATCTTAAGGGGGGGTGGGGGCGAAAGTTTACGGAGGGGTAATTCATTTATGAAATTTTTCTCCGATCTGGGTGTACCGAATCGTTTCAAACTTTAAAACATTAATGCGGAGGCTGTAAGGAAGGTCCCATGAAATTTCAATATTTTGTAACAAATTTTCAAAATGGCTGTACATTTTTGGCTTGAAATGGCCAGTACTGAAATGGCATCGAAATGCTCCCTCGTTCTTACTGTAATCCTGTGCGTGTCCTACAGAGTGAGTCTTTTCATCTTAATTTAATTTGTAAATTGATCTCAGAAATCTAGATTATCTTAAGGGGGAGTGGGGGCGAAAGTTTACGGAGGGGTAATTCGTTTATGAAATTTTCCTCCGAATTGGGTGTACCGAATCGTTTTAAACTTTAAAACATTAATGCGGAGGCTGTAAGGAAGGTCCCATGAAATTTCAATATTTTGTAACAAATTTTCAAAATGGCTGTACACTTTTTAAACATATTCTATGAGTGGTGAAACCTTTCCGAGGGACTCTTTATTCACGTTGTAAAGTTTGAAACGATTCGGTACACCCAGTTCTGAGAGGAGTCATAATCGAGACCTTTGCCGCCACTTTTGCATCGCCTTAAGAGAGAACCGTGATAAAAATTGCGAGATTAGGAGGTTTTTTTTTTTATTTCAGGCGACGAGTGCACCCAGCGTCTCCTTCACGTCGCAGGCCAAGGCTCAAGAGGAGGAATACAGTCCTGGGATTTTCAGCAACATGGCCAGCAAGGCGATGGGAGCTTTCCTGAAAGCAGCGTCTTATATCTGGAAATGGCTGCCATCGCTTCCAGAAAGCTTAAGGCCTCCACCCCCTACTTTCCGATTCGTCGATTCGAAGAGCGATTGCGTTCGCGACATCGAGGTCTCCCTCGAGGACTTTCAATGATCTCTGAACTCGCTTTAGCTTGCCAGTAATTAGAAATAATAATTAGAAATTAATCTTACCGATGTACAAGAAGCGGCCGGTAAACCACTCAGGCACACCTACCGTAAAGATGGCGCAAAGCTGTCCTTTCCGAGGAATCTTTTCCTCACGAAGAGATATCTAAAAAGATGTCTGGGCACGCGTGCGTAGTATAGTAGATTACTCGTTAATTAAAATTACACCTTGTATTTGTACAAATGACATAAATTATATTCTCAATACATGGTCTGGGAGATTGTCAGCGCGCGAATGTAAAGGGACGAGGGTAAGCGTTAAGCTCTAGAGAAAATACGCCGAGGGGGTCGTTCGGTTGAAGTTAATCTTAGTTTTACAAATCTTAGATTTTAATTGCCGGCTCGCACTGTCGATACCGTACTCGCAGCTGCCTCTTGCAGCTGCTTGTTCAGGTTTTGCGTGGCCTGGACGGCGATGTCGACGGCTTGCTTCGTGAACTTGGCGATGTCTTCCTGCACCTTCTCGGAGTTCTGGGAGACGGTGGTGGCTGCCTTCTGGGACTCCTTCACGAGGGTCTGCACGCCTTCCTGGAACTTGGCCTGCAGCTGGGTCACCTGTTCCTGAGCTTCAGGGATCTGGGCGTTGATGTCGTCGATCGCCTTCGTCAGCCTGGTCTTCACGCCCGTCCACAAGTTCTCCAGCTCCGGACTCTTCGCCTTCACCTGGAAATTAAAAATTAATATAAAAGTTAGAAACTCAACTAAATACTAAACTCAATCGTCGGCTTTCAGGTACTCAGAGATAACGCGGACGAAGAAAAACGAGGAGATCGTCCCTGGTACACTTTGCGAGCACGAAAGGAGGACGAAGACGACCGAAGGTCGTCGACGAAGAGGTCAGGAATGCATCGAAAAAACGCACTACAAGGAATCAGGTCATTCGACACTAAATTCTCCTGGGAGATTTCAGATCGAAGTTTATTAACACGAGTCGAATAATTATCCGGGAGTCTTCAGGTACGGAAAAAGTGATACTAAAAATATCTAGCGATTAAAAGAAATATTTTGTTAATTCCAGTTTAATCGACTCAATAAATTATTCTTTGAATTAACAAATTATTTCTTGGATACCGTTCAAAGGAATGTTTCTTTGCTTCGATAGATTTTTTTCTCTCAGTGTAATTACTCTCTTTACGTCGCTCTTCTAGGTCTCTTTTGGAACTCACCTCTTCGGAGACCCGGTTGATGTAGGTCTGCACATTGTTGACGAGGGCGGTGCTCTGGTTCTTGATGGTGTTGACGACGGTCTCCTGATCGGGGAGGTTGATCTGCTCCTGGATCTGCTTCCCAAGGGCGTTGATGTTCTCCTGTGCCTGGGTGATGAGGTCAGCGAGGGCATTCGGCGTTGGAGTCGGGGTCGCCGCCGTCGCAGGGGAGTCCCTCGACCTGCGGGCGGTCGCGCCGGCCACCACGAGCATCGTCACCAAAGCCACTTTTAACAAACTCATGTTTTTCTTTTATAGGGACTCTCCTAGACTCTCTGAGAACTGATGCGACCAACGCGGAGCTACCCTCTTATATAGCGGAGCCTTATCGGGGGAGCTGGGCAAAGTGCCGATTATCGCGCCGCGGTGACAACGACTCGCTCCTCCGGCAGCTTTCTTCGACCAGTTGCAACATTTCCCTGGTTAAACCATTACCTGAGTATAATACAAGCTAACCGTTACATTTTTCACGCCTTTTCCGGCTCACCTCGGGCATTTTTCATAGTTTTTCATGATATTTTAGGGGGACGCCGCAAGCATCCAAGATGGCGGACGCTTTCCTCTCGACAACGGATTAGTCGCCTAATCCTGCATCTGTAATCATTAACCTGCGTTTTCGAGTCATCGGAGACTGTCAAAACTGCGAATATTGATAAGGCATTATTTGTCCATTATCAAGTAATTGACAATTAGAGAGGGGCTGACGACATCGCGCTCGGTTGTTGCAATTCGCCCCTTGGAGTCCATTTTTCGAGGCCGTGTATTTATTGTCGTGTTATTCAGAGGAAAGTTTGTAGTTCCGACAAACAATCAATTGTATCTCTAGTAATTAGTCATGGATTGTGTACAGGGGGCAACGAGACGGCGATTATCTGAGTTGATGATGACGTCTCGCTCTTGAATTTTGATCCTGAGTTATTTGTCCCGTCAACTTTTCTCCCTAGATATTTGTCATTAATCTCCAATTAGGAAATTGCATTTCGATGTGGATTTCTTCTCTTTTTCCAAACCATTTCGAAATCGCGCGTGAAGTGCACCTCTTCCAGAAGAGTCGCACTTTATCGACCTTGAGAGGGATTTCTCGATTTCGAAGGTCTCTGGGAAGGTTTTTTTCTCACAAAGCCGTTATTGTTGAACCATTTACTACGTAATTACAAGTATTATGCGAATTTGCCTCGGGGAAGTTCGGAATTCTCTTTTACAGACGCGCCTTTATTGCCGTCAATGTTGCAATGCGTATATAGCGCACGGAATGACGCATCGCGAGGACAAGGTAAAAGGAATTGGAAATAGAGCACTTCCCTGTACACGTAATCGGAAATCACCTCGGACAAAAGTTGTAGCCTAGATTGTGAGGAACATCTTTCATGGGGAACATTTTTTTTCTACCATGCGCGGTTAATCCAAAAAATCTGAATTTTCCATGGGAGATCGGCTATGTTACTTTCCAACGGTGCAATAACTCTGGGCGCTATCTTCTCGACCAATTCGGATTTTCGATGTCGTAAGCGTGTATAAATCGAGTCAACACACATGTGCATTTAATAGTTATCAATCCAACTTAGGATGTAACCTCTGGCACCCGTGGTCATCCTTTGATCCATGTCTCTCCGTTATCGTTATCACAGGGCTCTGCGCCCGCTGATACTTCACCTCGGTTCGGAGAATACCGCAGGATAACCTTGGGACTCGACGTTCCAAAAAAAGAAAAGAACCGGATAAAGCTTCTAGTCCGAGGAAAAATCCTGAAATAGCGTCAAAAATGTATATTATGTTATTTTAGGGAAGAAGGAGGCGCTCGAGGGTGGTTTTACATTTTTAGTTTATTTATTCGATCGGCCAGCTGCTACGTGTCATGGTCACTGTCAATTCTACTTGTTTAAGGATTTATTCTAGCATAAGTGGCAATGGTGGAGGTCCTATTTGTCATCAGGGATCAGTTTCTTGGCCTCGTTGATGGCCGCGTGGGAGGCGTTCTTGATGATCTCGGTGCCGTTCTTGTACAGCTCCTTCATCTTCTCGCTGTTGAAAATCTCTTCAAATCCTTTCTGGATATTCTCTAAAGTCCTTTCCCACTCATGGTGATCTTTGACAGAAGTGCTGATGTCTCCGTCTGGCACAGGACTCGCCTGCAATTAAAAAAAAAATGTCTGAGGTGCATTGTTGCATCGCGCCTTAATCGCCTCAAACAAAATAACGTAACGGCGAATTACCTCGAAAAATCAGATAATTGTACTAATGAAAATTATTCCTCGACAAATTGCGATATCTTCATTGTACATTTTAACCGTTTTAACGTTTCTACCATATTGCAAATGTTAATATAAATTATGGAATAATTTCGTGATACCTAAGGTCCATGTAAAAAAAAATTGTTTCATTTTGAACTTTAGCGGGCAATTGTCTTGTAATTGTAGTATCGTAATTTCTGTGTACGAATGGTAATTTCTTGATGCTGTTTTAGCGTAACTACCTTGGTCACGTGGAGCAGGAAAATCGCGGAAACCGCCAGGACGAAAAGGAACAGCCGGAGACTCATTTCGAGGTGCGATTGCTGAAGAGGACGCCGAAGAACCACAAACGACTGATAGCAACGAGACTGGTCGAGATGGAACTACGATGCTCCCAAAGAGAGCTCCAGGTCAAAGGTCACCTGAGCTCCGTGTCGTGCATACGATTATTTAATTCTCGTGATAGTCTATCTCCACGAGACGAACGCAAAGGTCGCCATTTTGGCGCGTAAACTTGGAACTGTCCGCTCGTGCAAAGCGAGGCAATTTGGGTCATTCATGTCGGTGGAGATTAAAGGAAATCGCCGAAATTCATGCACACGTTATCCACATTTATGTATAGACCTCGGGGAGAGTCGAGCACGGAGATTTATTCGGCTTTTATTTATTTACTTATTTATTTTCCGCCGATACGCCGCGGTCATCTTTATCGCCATTTTACTTACCCCTTTTGTGGGCAGCATTTGTGTATCGGTAAATTTATTAATATTTCACTTATCCGAAGTGCTGCCATGTATTGCGACCGTCTATCAATTATTTATCGCTTCTTTATTTATTAAGTAATTTCCTCGTGATATTTAGAAGATTCGCCGGGAGTTACAAAATATCTACACGAGCGGTTCTGCACCGAGGAAAAAAATTTCATTGTACCAAAGAAAAATACTTTATTAACCCCAAGAATATTTGACTCAAAAAAATTCAATTTCTTTGGCGCAATGCAATTCTTTTTTTTTTCAGCGTGCAGGTATTGCGGTTAAGTTTGTTAAGAGTTTTATTTTTTACGCTTAAGTGGAGATGAAAAGTAAGTGAATTTTGGGATTGTTAGAGGGGACCTTACGTTTTTAGGTCTTTCCCTTTATCCGTCGTCCTCGGGGTGAGGAATGGCGGTTTTCTCGCTTCTTCGAATGGCTCTGCGCAGATCCGCCCTCGAGCCCGCGTGGAGGGTGTCGAGAATTCCCAAAAAAAGCTCCAAAATCGGCCGATGTTGGTGTCTTCGAGCTCGACGGGTCTCCAGGATCTCCTCGGAGCTGGAACTCGCCCACGGCGCGGTGACAGAAACGATAAATAGCAGATTTATAGCAATCAAAAGCCACCAAAATTTCGCCGCCATCTTGGATCCCGACAACGCATCTCCTCGCTTCTTTCCGCGTTTTCAATATACTAATCGACCTCGCGATTGTTCGAGGCCTGAAGAGCTCGGAATTATAAATTGTCGACTCAGCCATTTTTGTATTCCGACTTACGAGGGCATTCCACTCGTGTTTACGCAAATCACAGGCGAATGTTGCAAAATTCCAACGAAGGAATTATTCGTCGCAGCGACTCTTAATAAGAATAAGAGACACGGAGAGATATGTAATTATTGCCGAATAATGGGGTGAAGGAGGAATGCCAAAGCGTTCATTAAAAGTCAGCTCTTTATTAATACTAATTCCCAGTATCTCTGGGCCTACTATATACAATCTATGATAACCTACTACATTCGTTGCTAATAATTATAACTATTTACAGAGGAACGCGACTAGGTCTAAGCTCTACCAGATCGCCCAAAATGGAACCCCGGTTGATTAAATACAGTCTGATCTCGTAAGAGAAGAACCCCGAAGATGCATAGAACGCATCCTGGACACGCCGTGTCCGCATCCCCATCCAACCCCAAACGCAATGGCGATGCACGAAATTCCCGACCACACCAAAAGTGACGAACCGCAAAGATGCCGATTCAAAGAGAAAGAGAAGGTATCCACCTCGCGGAATAAATAAATATTTAAATAATGACGGTGAGACGATGACCATTAGGTGCAGCATATCGGTGGCTTCGTCGCGTTCCCGGACAAGGAAGTCTTTCGGGCCGAAGAAGTGACGTCATCTTCAGCCCTTGCAGGACGAGCAGAGGTTCTGCGGTACCAAGAGGCGGTTCTTCGGCATCGACTTCAGGGTCGAGGCTTGTGAATATTCCTCTGGTACCGTTTCCAAGAGAGGTCAGCAATTTTCATCTATCCCTTATGCACCGCACGAGCAGGGCCGGCTGAGGCTGGAAAGGTGAGAAAATTCCAGTGAAAGTTGGGCAAATGTGACGCGTGTAAACTATCGACCAGTTTAAGAAATGGAGAAGGTTGAAGGGTAAATCACCGCGGAACCTAAAACTGAAGGTTGCACGTCGGTTGATAATTTGTTGTAATTGTTTCTAGGAATCGTACCTTCCACTTGATGCTCCACTAAAGCTGGAAGACCCAACTTGGTAGGAGGTCGGAACGTAGGTGCCGGTGTAGGTGGTAGCCGGGCTCATTCCTACGGATGATTGCTGAAGAAGGTAGTAGTTCTGACCTCCGGGTAGCTGGGAGGAAGGATACTGTAAGGTGTACTGGAAGGCTGGACCACTGGGTGCGGAAGATCCTTTAATGCCTCCGAAATGTTTGTGGCCGTGCGACGAGCCGGGGCTGACGGGTGGAGATGGTGAAGGTAGAGGGTAAGGTCGAGGTGGAGGTAGGGGTAGAGGTACAGGTAGGGGTGCAGGTGCAGGTAGAGGTGCAGGTAGGGGTACAGGTGCAGGCAGAGGTAAGGGAGATATCGGGAGAGGTCCAGGTAATGGGAAATGTGGAAGGTGAGGAGGATGATGAGGAGGATGATGAGGCAGGTAAGGAGGTCGGTGTGGAGGCAGAGACGGAGGTCCACCCACAGGTGCAGGTTGAGGTGCAGGTTGAGGGGCAGGTCGAGGTGCAGATTGAGACGAACCCTGCGCCGCGGAACCAGAACTTGATAGATTATTCAACGCCGAAGATGCCGACGATGCCGCCGAAGAGGCTGCAGCCGCCGACGACGCTATGGAGTCCAGGAGGAAGCCGAAGACCGGCGAGGTCGAGGACCCCGACGATGAAGAAGCGGAGGCACTGCTCGAGGAGGAGGAGGAAGAACCAGAACCAGAGCCAGGAATTTGCGGGATGCCGGGGATACTAGGAATGCCAGGAATTTCAGGGATGCTAGGAATGCTGGGAATTCCAGGAATTTCTGGGATACCGGGGATACTGGGGATGCCAGGGAATCCAGGGATTCCAGGGATTCCGGGGATTCCAGGGACTCCGGGGACTCCGGGGACTCCAGGAACTCCAGGGACTCCAGGGACTCCAGGAATGTTCGGGAAACCTGGCAAGCCAGGGATATTTGGAAGACCTGGGAACCCAGGTTTGCCAGGAATATTAGGAAGACCTGGGAAACCGGGCTTACCAGGAAGTCCTGGTAGTCCAGGTATTCCTGGGATGTGAGGGAATCCCGGGAATCCTGGTTTGCCTGGGAGTCCCGGGAATCCTGGTTTGCCTGGGTGTCCCGGGAATCCTGGTTTGCCTGGGAATCCCGGGAATCCTGGCTTGCCTGGGATAATGGGTGGTTCAGGGGGTGGTGGTGGTGGAGGAGGTGGTGGTGGAGGAGGCGGTGGTGGAGGAGGTGGCGGAGGTGGAGGTGGTCCGCATGGCACGGAACTTCCACCTCCATAGGACGACGCCGAAGAGGATGCCGAAGCCGAAGAGGACGAAGACGCGCCAGATCCTCCTTGGGGTCCTGGGTATGACCCCTCAAACCCTGAGGAGCTCGCAGCCGCGGAAGCCGAAGCTGCCGACGATGCCGAAGAGCCCTGCGATGGCGCCGATGGACCGGAGATTTCAAGAGAACCGGAATATCCAGAAGATGCCGCACTGGAAGAAGCAGCCGAAGAAGCTGACGAGCCACCGGACGAACCTGGTTGCGGGTATGTAGGACCCTGAGGATATCCTTGGTACCCGGAGGATGACGCACTGGCGGATGCCGAAGACGATGCCGAAGAGCCAGAGGTTGGTCCATAAGGAGAGTACGACCCTTCCACCACGTCGTCGTAAGAGCCCTGGACGCTGGAAGATGCCGAAGCGGATGCCGAGGAGGAAGATCCACCAGAAGGTCCAGGGTAAGGAGCACTCGGGGCGGATCCTGGATAGGAAGCGGAAGAGCTCGAAGAGGCGGCTGCAGACGACGACGAAGAGGATCCTGAAGTTCCTGGGTAGCTTCCTCCTGGATAGGAAGGTCCAGATCCTGGGTAAGATGAGCTCGAGCCTGCAGATGCAGACGAAGATGCGGACGATCCACTCGATCCTGAAGATCCCGGTCCGGAGCAAGGCGGTTCCGGATAAGATCCTTGATAGTTGGAGGCAGAAGAACTCGAAGAAGATGCCGAGGACGATGCCGACCCACTCGGGGATCCTGACCCTGGGTAAGTACCCGAATAGTCAGAGGATGAACTCGAAGCAGACGATGCAGAGGATGACGATGATGATTCTTCAGGGCGTCCTGATCCTGGATACGGCAGCGGGAATGGCAAGGGTATCGGCAACGATATTGGCAGTTGCAGTTGCGGCGCAGATTCCCCTGATGCTGGTGCACTGCTTCCAAATCCTGAAGACGATCCACCAGGAGACGAGGGGGTCAGGAAAGGAGCGCTTAGAGGCACCGATGGCAGGGAAGGAAGCGCGGTCGGCATTGCGGCGAGAAGTGGAGTGATCGTTGAAATAAACTGTTCTATTCTTTTAGGATTCGGTGAAGATCCAGGAGATGAAGAGCCAGATCCTGATCCTGGGAATGATCCAGATCCAGGGTACGATCCAGGTCCTGTTCCTGGATACGATCCAGGTCCTGATCCTGGGTACGATCCAGGTCCTGATCCTGGATACGATCCAGGTCCTGAGCTTGGATATGATCCAGATCCAGGGTACGATCCAGGACCTGATCCCGGGTATGATCCAGATCCAGGGTACGATCCAGGTCCTGATCCTGGGAATGATCCAGATCCAGGGTACGAGCCAGGACCTGATCCCGGGTATGATCCAGATCCAGGGTACGGTCCAGGTCCTGATCCTGGGAATGATCCAGATCCTGGGTACGATCCAGATCCTGATCCTGGGTATGTTCCAGATCCTGGGTACGATCCAGGTCCAGGGTACGGGCCAAATCCTGACCCTGGATATCCTCCAGATCCCGTGCTCGGATACTCTCCGGCACCACTTGGGTAAGACTGAGATCCAGGGTACCCTCCAGCAGGAATTAACGGCTGCCCCGATCCTTTCCTAAGATGTCCATGTCCACCAGGACTCGGATACCCTGCAGAAGTAGAAGAGGCCGCCGAAGAGGCCGCCGAAGAGCTGGCCGACGACGCCCCTCCAGCTGAAGCTGCAGCTCCAGCCGAGCTGCTCGCCGAGCTACCCCTCAGGTGTGACAATCTAGAAGACCCCAACAAATCATGCAACCCTCCACTCGACTTCGAAGACGGCAACTCCAACAGTGAACTCGAAACTGGCGATGAGTTGATCACGTAGACGGGAATATTCTGCAGGCTCGAGGTCACTCCAACCGGCGAGCTGGGGAGGCTGACGAACGTAGACTGGAAGGAAGGTCCTTGAACAAAGTCCAGGCCACCCTGGCAGGTGTCAACCGCAGGTGAGACCCTCCTCAAGGCTTGCAATAGTTCCCTCGCTAATTTCACGTAATCCTCCGGCGACAGCGACTCGGTGGGCACCTCGTACTGGACAGATCCTGGAGATCCAGAGTCCGCAAAAATGGCGAAAAATTGACCGGACTTCTCCACGTCCTCCGAGCCGTCAGGGTAGGTCAATCGACTTATGGTGAGCACCTGGTACACAGCCCTGATGGGAATTCCTCGACCTGCGGGCCTGACGGTGATGGTGCCCGTGATGGCCACGTTCTGCCTTCCGGATGAGTCCACTACCGGAACCTGAATTTCCCTGACGGTGAAGAATCCTCTCTCTCCACTGTTGGATATGTACGTGCCCGTCTTCTCGGTCTCCTGAGGACCACCTCGACCGTTCAGGTAGACCACCCTGGTGATGATGTACGCCCCCGTCAGCGGGGCTCCCCCCGAAGAGGGCGAAATCGTGTAAGTTCCAGCTGTGACCAGGTTGCTGCTCGGCACGGTGATCTGCTTTTCAAGGACGGTGAACTGCCCGGAAGGAACTTGTCCAGGTCCAGATCCAGGTCGTAAAATCGAGAGTCTAGGTCGAGGCAATCGGGATCCAAATCGAGGACTGTATGCTGATCCCAAGGATGGTGATGGCGCCAGCTGGATGGTCGTAGGGCCGTATGGAGAGAAGGATGGCGAGCCATAGTTCAGGGGTCCAGGAGAGTAGGAGACCGGTCCAGGACTCTGCAGCACTGGTCCAGGACCCTGGAGAACTGGTCCAGGTCCCAGGGGAAGCGGGGACAAGCCAGGAGCGAACGGTCGGGACCCTGAAGAAGGACTTAGAAGGGAAAGTTTCGGCTTGGAGCCTAACAAAGATCCAGACAATGGAGATCCTGGTCCAGATCCCAGGGAAGGCAAGGACGGCAGTCCTCCAGGTATCAGCGACACTGGTGAAGATAGAGAAGGTAAGGACGGCAATCCTCCGGACAAAAGCGACCCTGGGGAAGCTAAAGAAGGCAAGCCTCCGGAAACCAGCGATATGGGCGATGGCAAGGACGACCCCGGCGACGTCCCTACGTCGTAAGCTGGTCCTTGAGGACCTGCTCCAAAATCCTGAGGACCGGGGGAGGAGTCTCCAGAACCCAGACCCTTTCCGCCCTTTCTGCCCAGTCCAGAGCCCTTGTTCTTTCCGGCGTGGAGGAGCTCCTTCGATCCCTTCAGGATGTTCTGCAGGACGTCAGGCTCGTAGTTAAAGATATTGGAAAGCGCAGCCAAGTCGGAGATGTCCGTGATGTCGGCGAGGTTCGTGATATCGGTGGAGTCGGAACCGGGCAGACCAACGCTACCTCCGAAGGTCTTGCGGAGGTTGGAGATAGTTGTGGCCACGCAGTGCATCAGCATCTTGAACTCCTGGACCACGCTCTCCATCTTGTCGACCTGGGAACCGCCGCCGTCTTCGTAGGATCCTCCATCGGAGTCGCATGGAGGTGGAGGCGGTGGAGGCGGCGGAGGTGGTGGAGGTGGCGGAGGTGGCGGAGGTGGTGGAGGTTCGCTACACGGTGGAGGTGGCGGTGGTGGCGGTGGTGGCGGTGGTGGCGGTGGAGGTTGATGCGGACACGGACTCGTAACAGCGGTACTCGCCGCTGCACTGGAAGCTGCGGTGGACCCAAAGCCGGAAGCTGCACCAGTAGCGATTCCAAGACTCGATCCAAAGCCTTCTAACCCAGCAGTGGTGAAACCGGAAGTGACGGTGTCGAAGATTCCCTCGGTGCCGAACGAAATCGGGACCTGCTCCACTGGCAGGGTGCTCTCCTGGTGCTTTCCAAATGCGAGCGGCAAGGCCGAGGTCAGGCCTCCCGACTTCCCAAGATGGCGTTTATTCAACGTCGGGGGTTCCAACTGCAAGAGATCAGACAATCCAATCCACACCGGTGTTCTCGTTACGATCATCAACGTCCTCTACGCGATCAACCCCACGCAGGGACTCAGCCCGCGCACCTGCAGCCTGCCCCGGAACAGGTTCGAGAATAGTGCGACTGCGCATTTCCATAGATTCGTGAGCCGGCCCGCGTTAGTACGAGGTGGTAACAAAGATGGCGCCGCCGTCGTCGGCTCGTCGCGCCGAGGCCTAAAAAGGTCGCTCGCATTTTCGGCCGGATCCGTCTCCATGGAAACGCTGGGCGTCCAGAGTAGGTCGAATACCTCGCGGTAGGTTGGCGCGACCGTGGTCATTACCTGTGCGTAGCTTCTCCTCCGCTTGGCGGCGCTGGCCGCGGCACTGGCCGCACTCGATGCCGCGGTACTTCCCTCTCCTGCCGCGCTGGCCGCACTAGCGGCACTGGCGGCGCTGCTGGCGCTCGTAGAACCGGTCTCCCCACCCCAGCTCTCCGTTGCGCACTGCGACTGGTCCGTGGGTGTCGGTGGTGGGGAGGGCTGCGCGGTGATTGGCTGAGGCGGCAGCGGTGGTAGGGGTAGACTTGGCGTCACGGGTGGTAGTGGGGAGCTGCCCTTCAGTTTCAACAGTTTCCCGCCGCTCTTCGGGGTGGACGGTGCAGGAGCGGCGGGAACCGCAGGTACCACAGGTACCACAGGAGCCGCAGGTATCACAGGAATCGCAGGAGCTGCAGGTTGCGGCGGCGCAATCGGAGCCTGCGACCCTGGTAAGCCGCTCACGATATTCCCTACGTTCATCAGCGACTTAAACCAGTCCTTGGAGGCTTCTCTTCTAGCGGTGTCCGCCCTCTCCGAGGTCCATTCTTCCCAGGCCATCATGGGGTCCAGGTTCGTTCCCTGGGATAATTTGGTAATGTGCTCGGATCCCTCCTCGGGCAGCCTCTTCTGTCGCCTCTGGATGGTTCCTCCTTCGTCATCCTCAGGGAAAATTAACGCTTCTCTTTGGATTTCAGGACTCTTCTCGGCGGCCTCGGACTGGAGATCCTTGATCTCGGATGAATATCCTTGCTGGATGCAAGGCGACGAGATCAGGACCAGGAGTATCGCTGCTGCACCGCGGTGCACCGCCGTTGCGGATGCACCTCCGCTTGCACACCTCATGGTGGAGAGCTGGATTCGTTGGTCTCGACTGAGGTCCCCGGCTTCATATACCTTGAAGACCCTCGCCTTGGCGAGAGATTCGGCACGGACGATCGTGACGATTGCGACAACATCGCTGATTGTTGATCTTGATAGACCTTAATGACTAATTATCTCTGCTTACTGTCAGCAGATCTCCATTGATTACTCTCCTGTGTCCCCGGGAGGTCGTGACCGTCGCTGTGCCCAGAAGATGCCCAAATCGTGATTCCGATTTTGGTGACAAGATCAACATCGAGATGGACTCCAGGGTGGCGAAGACTCGATGTCCCCGTGTTTGCGATAATTAAAAAAAAATGCGTGAAGGATTTTTTGTTAATTAAGATACTTAGGAAATTATTTCAAATGTGTTAAGGAGTTATGTAGGAAATGATTTCAAATTTTGAGGTCCTGAGCGACGAATTTTCAGTTTCTGCGACCGGTCTTGTGCACAGCAATTTTATAAAGGCTAACTGCAAAGGGTTCGTTCTTGGGATTTTTATTAATATTATTGTTCTTGGGGGATTTGGCAAATTTGAGGTATTGAGAAAATCAGGGGTTGTTAAGTCGTCGAATTTATTGAATATGTGGCAGTCCATTTATTGGCAGGTCGATCGATGAATTGATCAATTAATGTAGATCGAACAATCAATATTATGTCTGTCGCTAATTCCGGCATTGTTGACGGGGCGAGGAACAACCACGATTGAATAATAAACAAACACCGGATCTGCAACGGAAGTCCTGCCAGCTCGACTTGGATTATGTCAATTCGAATCGTTTATCCTAATAATCATTATTCATTGTTAAGATCCCTCGGCTTGACTTCTCGAAAGTTAAGGATTACCGTCTTAAGTCTAATTAATAATAACTTAGGAGATGAAAAATTCGGCAGAGGTGTAAATTAACAGTTTTATTTGTATCTCGTTTTCTTGTACAACAATTAGTATAGAGGAAATATCCGCGATATCAGCGGTGCCATAATTTTCAACCACCTTTAATGTATATTTTGGTTGAATGACGACGGCAATTGTTTAAGGTGATATGCAAGTAGCATCTGAGAGGTCGAACGTTTATGAAACTTTTCTCCGAAGTCGAGGCACCGATTCAATTGAGATTTTACAACTTGAATAAAAATGTCCTAAGGAAGGTCCCAACATTTTATTTTTTGCAGCAAAAAAATCTAACCGGAAAGCTTAAAATAAAAGGGAAGTTTCATGGGCATGAGGATTTTCCTTAGGGCCTCCATATTCACGTTTTAAAATGAAAAACGATTCGGCCAAACTCAGTTCGGGGAAAATGTCATTATTGAGATTGACACCACTTTCATGTCACCTTAAAATCAACGCCAGCGGTGGAATTATAATTGTTACATTTTACAATTTCATTGCAGGGTTAATAACAGAAGGGGACAACTCGTTCCCTGGGGGCTGGAGGAGGCACGGAATCCGCTGGGATGAGGAACCTGTCGATGACCGGGGATAATCCTGGCAGAAGTGGAGGTGGAGGCGGCGGAAGATACGAAAGAGGCGTCTGGACGTCGAAAGGAAGATGGCAGCCTCCTGGAGGTAGGAGAGGCTCCGCAACTCCTGGCTGCACCTTCACCGAGTAGTCAATGGCGAACCTGAGGGAAAAGGTTTTAAATAAATGTATTACAATGCTACCGACTGAAATTAATGTATTACAATACTACTGAAACTGAAAAATCTTACGGCTTCGCAGGCGCCAACCTGGGGATGGAAGTCTGCACGCCGACGTCGAACATTCTGAACCCCGGAATCCCGGGGGTTCTACTTATCGGTCGCTGTACTTGGACTCCGTAATCCCTCCCCACCAAAGGATCTGGCTTTGGAAGCGGAAGAGCCGTTAAAGGAGTTTGCACTTGGACGGAATATTGCGAGCCGAAGTTTACAGGTGCCGAAGGTGCATCTTGAACGCAGTAAGAAAAGTCGCCCAAGGAACCGTCGGGTGCAGCGGGTTTAAACGGCACCAGAGGCATCTGCAAGAAGAGGATTCGATCTCAGTAAATTCATTGTTAAAGCGAAATGACAAAGTACCTAGTTATGCATCTAGATGTGCGGTGTAAAGTGGAATCGACCAACGAAAAAAAAAAAAGAGAAATTTGTTTGATGTCGAGATGCGTTGTCAAAACACGAACGTGGATGCACGGCAAACACGCGGCGGGATAAACGCAGGATCGAGATGTGATAAGCAATATTTGGAGATAACGACTCGAGGATTCGCCTCGTACGTTTGTTGAGTATTATAAACTATTGTTAATCTCAGCGAATATGGCGAGGTAGAGAAAATTTAAAGTCACGCGACGAGGTCACTTAATCGTACCCCGTGTACATTTTCGTCGTTATGTAAAATTGTCACATTTAACGCTAGATTTTAATGATTTTAAATAGCTACAAAATGTGAAGGCGGTTGTATTAATTACGGGGACATGTTTTAGGGCTGCGGGAAAAATCCCCTTCCTACCTGGACTTCATAGGGCAAGTGCTGGACCCCAGGGTGCGGATTCCCGTAGGTGATGATCTCCGGCAGACAATTAATGGACCCCGCTTTGCAACAATTCTTCAAAAAATTGCAACAAATCAAGACAAGGGCTGGGACCAGCAAGGAGCCCAAGGAAGGTCTCATCGTGCGCGAAATTTTCCTGCAAAACTGCCCCAGGGCTCGCCGTGCTCTAGATATAGACGCGACATGTTCACATCCTCGACTTCCTGTTTACAGGACGAATTCGGAGTGGAGTTACCGTTTACCACTTCCGACGCATCAAGCAGGGCGAGATTGTTGTGCATTGCGTAATTTATGCCACGAGCCAGTTTCATTAACTTCCTCTCGTGATCCGAGAACTGCACCTCTCGACGAGGCCGAAGAATGCACCCACTGACCTTGTGCAACTTCCTCTCTTTACTCTTTTTTTTTTTCATCTCTACTTTGCGAGGCGATGTGGCCATTGGTTCTCTTAATTTTATATAAGCCATTAATTGTTAATTATTCATTCGTAAAAAAAGCGTGTCGTCAGAGGTATCTTCATGAAACTCTTCTCCGTGTACCGTGTGTGTGTGCCGAATCAAACTTGACAATGTGAATATGGAGGCTGTGAGGAAGGTCCTGAAACCCGTGAGACTTCAATTTTAAGACAATTTATTTATAGCTATTTTCAAGAATTTTAATAAGAAATTAAATTTCGGGAGTTTCAGGACCATTAGGGTCTCCTTATTCATGCGGTGAAATCTGAAAGAAATTGGTACATCCAATTAGGAGGAAATTTTCATGAACGATTCACTCTTAAGATGCCACTTTCACATCCCCTTAAGGGGGAGAACATCGAAATCTTAAACCACTGCCGCTTCTCAAAATGCATTCCTCTTGAGTGTCTCGTCACTGAAAACGCAGTTTGGAGATACAAGAATGTAAGGAAAAATTTATTGTTTGCCAATCCATGTTATGCGACATCGCGACGGGAACATTATGTGAACAGCGAAACAAAGCGAGGCATTTTACGGGGTAAACAGACGGCGGTTTGCGACGTTTTCTGAGGAACGTTGTCAAATATTTCGTTTTCGAGGACGTGGAATCTTTTATTGGGAGTTCCAAGTGTCCTTTAAACCGCCGTGGGAATTATTTCCTCGGGCACGCGGCGATTAATCGTAAAATGTTTACGCAAAAGCTTAGTAACTCTTCCGACTTCTTCGGGATCTGTCCGACTCGTCCACCTCGTACAGGGCGTTCCATTTCCTGACGATGCTTCTGGTCCTGTCCGAGATGAAACTATCCACTTGGCCGAGCACGTTGACGAACTGAATCATTTTTTCGAAATTCCTGTTGATCCTCTCGGCACGTTCCAGCTCGGTTTCCTCTTTTTTCGCCGGCAAAGTAAGAGATGGTTTGGCGCTCTTCGCGTCGGTTTTTATCTCTTGTTGGGCCAGGAGATTCGAAACCTTCTCCAAAAGGACTTTGTGTTCCTTCGTGAACTCCTCGGCGAATGCCTAGCTCGAGGGAGACCAAATGCGCGGTTAAATTTTATTTTAAACATTATTTTACATGCCTCGGATTTTATTTTAAACATTCACGTACCAGAAACGATGTCCAGAATAGCAAATAAATGATCGCCCTTGCGGAGGATGTCATTCCGTATGTGACACTTGTTCAATCTTCCACCAATCCGTACTTTCTGACACACCGAGCCGAGTTTTGCTCGGCCAAGTTGATTTATTGGGCCATAGAGAGAAAAACGCAGCGTCAGTTGAATATGTAATCCGGTGAGCTAACCGAGGGCACGTAACCTGCATCGATATTATTCGGAGAAGAGGACGCCGCCATCTTAATTCATAAAATTCATAAAAAGTCGCAAGAAAAAAATATTCCACTACGTAATAAATGCTACACTGAGAAGAAAAAGACTGTTCACTGGGCCAGAGAATTATTTCTTCGACCGGTACCAAAGGAATAGTTTGATAATTCAAAGAATTATTCTTTAAATAACCAATGTATTTCTTTGGTTTGATGAATGTTTATTCTCGGTGCGCGAAAATAAGGAACGTGGTATTTTCCTTTCTCTCACGTTCAACGATCAGACGAGTTTATTTAATTAATCCACCGGAGTACTCGTTCTCTCTTGAAGATTACAATACAGTCGGACGGGTCTAGTGCTATATTTGTCTTTGATATTGCATGATTTCGCCTAGTCCGAGTCCCTGTTTCATACTTTAAGTGTGTACGTGCAATTACTAAATGACCACGAGGGGGTCACTTGCATTGCTGTAACGGATGCACAGAATTTCTGGACCTCGAGTTCGTTTAATGGTTCATGTGATTCAAAGGCATCTGTGGCACGTATTTCATGCTGGGCCGGAACTTGTACTGGGCACACAACCGATTGGACACGGAAGTCTCATATCCATTTCTGAAATAAAATAAAAAATCAACGCCCGAAGAGATTTAAAAAAAAAAAGTGATAATTTAAAACAGTTTCAGGGAACCTTTGCCATTCGGAGCAGGGACGTCTCTCCTCGAAACAGGTGATCTGGATGACGTTGAAGAAGAGCGCTCCCAGGGTGTTCGCCACCTGGGTGTTCAAATTTTGCAGACAAGTTCTCAGCTTCGTGTCGCACTCGCAGTGAGACCTCGTAAACGGGGAATTGTTGCAGATCCCATCGATGCACTGGTAAGGCCCGATAATTTTTGGACAATGATCGTGCTCCCTGCAGCAGGCGTCTTCCCTGACGTGGTACCCGAGCTCGTCGTAAGACCTTGCCGTGTTCCCAGGTCCGCACCATTTGGTCCCAGGGTAGATCAGTCCGCTGCCTGGAGCCTGGTTCTGGAAAATGAATATTTATCAGATTTTTTTTTCAGCCCCGTGAACTCCTTTTCGGGGTCCTCTTCCTCGGGACGAGCTGCGGCGACCGCGGGGAAAATGATCATTTCATGGCTTGGTGTAAACGTGAAGAGGTAACAGTGAGTATCTTAAGCTTCCCTTGAAATCTTTACCTAATCCGAATTTATGAATTACCTTCCCTTTGTCTCGAGAGGCTTTGCAGGTCTCCTCGAGGTCGGCCACGAGGATGCTGTTCATCTGGCGAACCCTCGTGGGCTCGGCTCCGTGCACCATCTTCTGGATGACGCCTCTGTCCGTATAAAGTGCACAGAACGGTGCATCTGCATTCAGCTCCACCATCCTGGACATCGTCGTGTCGGTGACCAGGACCCCGGACTGGGCAGCTTTGCAGGAAAGTGCAAACACCATCAGCAGGACCTGGACCACGCACTCGGCGGTCGCCATCTAATTTCCACATAAAACTGTTAAACATTTGCCAACAGTCCCGAGGACCTTCTACCTACACCTCAGGCGAGGTCTATTCATATTTTTAAAGAGACTGCAACTCCGTAACTCGTTCCACTTTATTTATTTATTTTTTACTTTCTTTTAGCGAAGGCACTTTAATCTCGTTTAACGTCAGCCCTGGAGAGCGGTGGATCAGGGAATGATTATATCCTTATTAACGCGATTGACCTCACATTCTGACCTCTGAAATGGTCCTGACCTCCCGGCTGTCAGGCCACGGTGTTCCTCCACTGGTCCTATTGTCACCAGTCGGTGTTGTAACGATAGGGCTGATAGTGACAACGAGGGACGACAGGATACTGATGTTCCTGCACGTATGCGGCGATGATATACGGTAGTTAGACTAGATAGGTACAGTTCCAGACATCGAAGACGGGACTCGATTGCGAGCCTTCGGCGGTTTCGCAATATCTGGACCACCTGAGTCCGCAGTCCCTCTTCTATAAAAGAAAAAAAAATATACATCAGCGATCAAGACACAATAATATCGCACAATAAAGATCTTAACATGTCCGCGGCACAGCTCATAAAAAGCGAGCAACTACAAAATTCTAAATCAAGGTATTAGCTCAGGTAATCCCGTACTCACATTTCTACCGAGAGTCATGCTCCGCATTTATCTCCCGTGTTTATATTTATATGCGCAACTTGGATTGATTTTTTTTCTGCAGATGCGCAGAAATTGCACGCAGCATTTTGGGAGCCGATCCTGCATCTGCAAGAAAGGGTTCGCTGGAAGTAATGTCTCGGGGTGTACATCTATTCATGGAGATAATAATCGTGATTGAGGGTGATCCGGTGTGTCGAGCCAGAATGCGTCAGCCTGAAAACATTATGATTGAGGCCTTTATGTTTGCAGAACCTTTCAAACCGAGTTGCAGTCTACTATATCTACTCCTAATGCGGCAATTTATACTTAGCCCCAACTTGCTCGAGCCACTTTCCATGGTTTATTTCAGTCCCAGGCATTTGCATGACAATATTTCAGGATCACCGAATGTAGGAGAGGACTCAAGGACTTTTTCCATGGAAATATCATGGACCACGACCTAGATATGACTAAATATACTTTTGAATGAAAAGTCTCTGTACTCGTATGAAGGTATTAGACCTTCTACCGCATCCCCTAGCTTGAGAAACGGTGAAAATCGAGAATTTATACAATTTTAAAGAGATTTTTCAGGTGTTCTCGTGGTTGCGAAAGAAGCTGTGCGGTAGAGGTGCGCGGTAGCACGTGGCGGGCGCCCACGTGACTTGGGCATTCAAACGACGCGGTCGCCATGGCAACCAAGGACGCGTTCCTCGAGAAATTGCGATTTATTCCATAAACAGCTGATAGAAATTGACAGGATCTTAAGATTAGAGGAACGGATATCCAGGTGGTTGAGTTTCATGGTACACTAGGTTATAGGCTAGAATTTATTGATGATCGATGGTTTCACAGTTTTTATCGCGGAATTATAAGAAATATATCAACAATATATTTAATTACTCTGTCAGTGTACATGGTAATTGGTGTCACAACAATGTCACGAAGATTACTGCCGTCTGAGAAGCCTCAATGGAAGGTGCAATGTTTTCTACGAACCGAATTTATTACTCCGTTAGATCCTTCGACTGTATACACTCTAAAAGCTGAAATTCCTATTCTACTGATTTCCTTGTTTATCTGTTTATTCATTAATTCATTAGGATGTTAGAGTTGACAGTACCTATCGTTTATTTAATTCGTTCTATCGCAATTAACTAAATCTTCAAAATATTTCATTGCTTTCTGCATCAATAACTTTCAGGGCTGCAGCACGGTGTCGAGGAATTTCTTGATGTCCCGCATTTCCTGGAACGAAGGAGAAGCCAATTATTAACCCGGTTGCCTGATCTACGGGGGATTTTTAATTAACGGTGTCAACTTACCTCTTCGCTCGACGTGTGCATCATTCCCTGATAAGACTTAAACTCCGCCTTCGTCATGAATTGTTTCAGAAGAAACGCGGTCATCTGTCCCCACTTATATGGTACAAGAGGATCGCAGTTGCCGTGGCACTGAAGCAGAGGTGTATTCCTATTGCCTATTGCCTCCTGTTAAACAAACTGCAATGAATTCATGAAAAATGTAGCAGGGCATCCTACAACATATGTGCAGAACTTCCACGGAATTCAGTCTTCACCTTTGTGTATGATTTTTGAGTCCCTTAATCTGTAACATAACCTAACATGTCATTTACCGCAGGGAATTTTTGATGCAATGGCAGCCACGCTGACAGAGCTATGACACCTGCCAAAGGCTCAGGGAATGTGAGAGCGCTGAACATCGCCAATGCACCTCCTTGACTAAATCCACCAAGGACAATTCGTGATGTCGGAATGCCTCCTGCCACTTCGTCAGCTATTAACGAGTGAGCCATCTCCGCGGCTTTGCGAATTCCCTCCTCGTCTTCGGGGCCACTTGGATCCAAGGTGCGCAAGTCAAACCTGTTTCGATAAGCCAATATAAATCTAAGAACAACTGCTGAAGCCTAAAGTTACTTTTTTCTATTTTTTGCTCGTCGGTACTTATTCTCATTTGCATTGAGGTAATGAAAGTATGAAAAATAGAAACGCAACAGGGGGACAACAATGCAAGCAAGAAAAAAGTAGTCGAGTCTCAGCTCTTTTGGCACTGGAGAACCTTGTTAGCACTTCCATCGTTAATTGGAGGATTCTCGCTTGAACGATATTATGAAGAGACAGAGGGCGAATTAATAAATTCTTGTGGTCAAAAGGGATGAGCTCGTTATTACCCTTTCTTCTATTTTTAATTCGGGACAAGTTATAGAGGCAGGGCATCGATTTCATGTAGCTTACTAGGCAATGGCATTCATTGCTGTTTCTATTAATGGGAAAATTGGAAGACTTACCAGGACGGCATTCTGAACCCAGCATTCAAAGTAACTGGCATCACAGGACTGAAATAAATTAAGCATGGCTTTTAACATTTTTAATGATAAATGATTAATTAGTTACTAGTGATTTATGTAAATAATTTTACATACGCAGTTGGGCACACCACCTTTGTGTGAGGAGATCGCACTTCGGCCATAGAACTGGCCCAGCCATGTCTGCAAGGAAAGTGCGATTAGAAACACATTGTATAAAAATACTTTTACCGTCCTGTGCAAAAATATACATCTTACCCAGTATCACCAAGCCCATGGAAGAAAATAAGCTGGAAGCATAACGAGTTTTGTTAAGCTCATGGAGATTTTTTTCTCCTTGTGCGATTACAGTAGGTATAGTCTTCTACACGCATATATCTGATATTCGTCGGAGAGATGTATCAATAAAAATCGACACTTCTGGCAGAGCAAGAAATTATTATTATTATAATGTTTCCGCTCTACCATTTAAGAAGATATTACTGTGCAAACAAGATAACTTCGGTTACATAAGACATTTCCACATTATTACATGTAGGAGTCAACTTGACCCGAGCAGATCTGGTTAATGGTTAACTGTTTATAAACAGCAGATAAGAATATTAAAAAGATTAGTAATACGGACCACCGGACCACCGGTCATGACACGTATTATTTCTTCATTCTCTTACGATTTCTAATCAAAATTACATCCTACCTTGACGCAATAGTATATAAAAGCAAGGATCTACTGAACTTTTTCATTTCTTTTTTCAATTTTGGTTTTAAATTCACGGACTGAGTAAGAATAATACTTTAATGAACTTCATCCCCCATAGCGTCACTTAGAAATGCGATACTTATCAATTTAATGTTTTGTAGCACATAGTGATCGAAACTTTGTCCATATTAATATTTTTGATTTTTGATTTTATATTATCTTCGAAATTGTAAACATCCAAAACAACCAGAAACTCTACTTTTGCTTAGTACCAAAGGTAAATCCATTTAGTATTAATATTCTTTCAGTTAAGCTTGTTAGGTACAGGTTGTCATTCATGACATTTTAATAGCTAACACACAAGGTTCAACGGGCAACTATTTAACTCCTAGGTTAGACCTCTGCATAAAATTGCACACATCGATTTAATTTGACGAACTGATCTCAAATATGGAAACAACAACCAGCAATAACGATGGATCGTGCTCTTGAATTTTGCTGTACGTGATGACATTCATCAAAGTATCATCCTGTTCGTGGCATCAGAACGGCCTAAATGATCATTGTCAATAGTGCCCGATGGTGACATAAAGTTCCAGTATAATCCCATTTTCTGAAAATGTTGCCAGGGAGGATTTTCAGCGACATTTATAATGTGTCATTATAAATAGTCAAACGTAAGGTTATGTATTAACTTTGAGTGGTGTGACACACTTACCGTAGCAGTGTGTTTCGTAGTCGCAGGTATCACCACAGGGGCTGCCATTTCGCAACACTTTCTTCGAAGGGCGCAAAAGGGCCGAGGGATTAAATTTTTTAGCAAAATCTTGACTTTGTCCCAAAATCTATCATCAAACTTGGATTTTAATCTAAATAAGCGAGGGCGAAAATTAATGGTAGTTGGCCTGACAACTGATAGATGGCGATAGCGTGAAAACGCAGAGAAAAACCACGTGTTCGACGTGAGCGGGCTCTTGACGAGTTTGATCGTTAATTAAAGGCTTGTTTACAATTTTTGGAAGGTTTCTATTTTTTCGAGTTACACGGTAAGCTGTGGTCTCCTAAATCCGGGATTTAACGGGTCAGGGCGTTTATTACGTATATCTGACGAGAGCGCTCACTTCTCGCACTTTCATCTCACATGGGTTTATTCGCCGAATTACGTATTCGCTATTATGAAGGACAAGATCACTAGCACTTCCGGTCTAGTAATATTGAAATAAAGGTACATACCTTGGATAAAGGTACATAACCAGGATTTCGTAAAGTAGCCAATCGGAAACGCGTTTCATAAGAATGTACCAATTATTTACTCCCGCTGATTTCAAAATGGCGGACGCAATGACAGGTTCATTGATGGACGAGCAATGACACACCTTTATTTTCGTGTCTTGCTCATTGCCCACGTTCCCGCGATGTAAATATCTGGACACGGAAGTTTGTGAAAAAAAGAGGATTAGGTATTTGAGCGCAAAGAAACTCCAATTTCAAGTATTATCGAGAATTCCATGTGACTCGCAAGTGTGCCACGGTGCTTGCTGGAGAGGAGACATGTGCATTTTTGACATTCCCGAAATTCAATTGATACATATTTTCTAAAATAAATCATGGCTGAGGCGGCTGCCAAAAGGGAGGCCAGGAAACGGCGAATTCTGGAAAACTCGGAAAATCGACTTCAACGAATTAGATCCAATTGCGAAGGCAATAATTATGAAGGTGAATTTTTTACTAACCATTTGTTTACAAACATGCCTAACCCAACTTCAGCACTGACAATGTTTCCACATTTTATTTCACACACTATTTGCCTTAATACTATGATCTGCATTTGCACAAAGCTGAGGAATATTTATCTTAAATATTTATACCTTCAGGAGTGTCAAACGACGTATTCCATGGATACGTTCAGTCGGGTAACTCTAAATTACAATGTAAAGGGTTGTCAGTTTTGGATGCAGTTAACGGGAAAGAATGTGCCGGTTCTTTGATCGATGGTGAGTTTTAAATATTTTCATATTTCATTCATTTGATATGACGTGGAAGTATTTCTATTATAGGTATAGATTCGGATCTAGATGGGCAATATTTTGGGTCCGATACATTTGTAGATAACAAAGAAACGAGTTTCTCCCAAAGTTCGGTGCCTCACAGGTTCCAAAACCACAGAACAATGCGAGATGACACATACATAGACGGTCCGCAATATCATTTAACTTCAGAAAGTCAAGCTAATTCGCTTGCATTCGTTGGCCAATGTTACGACAATGGAAGTCAGAATGATTTAAAAGAACCAACAGTCAATATTTCGCTGCTATACTTATTGAGGAGCCAGATGATATACATACTACTTGCTGCTATTGCAAATGTACTATTACTGTCAAAGCTGGATGATTCATTTGGGATGGTAAGACACAAGATTAACAAAAGAAATTGATTTAGCTTTAAAACATTTTTAAATGTAATGATTTTTTTTCAGACTATTGTAATACCATATTTTGTAACGGCTTTGGGTCAATTATTAATACACGATCGTAATCAAGAAAGTTATGAAGGCAAGCTTCTTGTGGCTGCTCTCATCCTATGTAATGTAAAACCTGATCTTATTTATAGGATAAAGGCATTATTAACACTCGTCCGCAGAATTCTGGAAAACTTTGCTATATATATCTTTAGTTTTGTATTAATACGTAGCATCATCGCCAAATATTGGTATGACTTTGGCACTGTACTTTATGTGAATCAGGAAGATAAATATCCAGTCGATACATAGGCAGAAGAAATTTATCTCAATAATAATGTACACATTTTGTGAAAGTGTTTATTGATTGTTTTTATTTCTGCCGCTGGGCTAAATAATGTTACGTTTGACTGTTTTTCTTATTGCCAGCTTATGATGCAGGGTGAGCTAAAATTACCGCCATTCCTTTGACCAGCGTGATATCGTGTGAAAGATTGAATAAAAATGTTTCTTTAAAAAATATAGGACCGACAACTGACTATCTTTGTTCAACAATTCCTGTCATACTTTCTAAGGGAAATAATCGAGTTCCTGTTTAATCGATGCTTTGCAGGATGTATTAATAATGTTTAAAATGTACAGATGTACATATTTAATAGTGATAATCAAGTTGTATTTATATTACAACAAAATACAAAATTATAACTACATTCTGATATATCAAGTAGGTTTAACTTGTATATCACATTTCACATACGTCATCTTTCATCTGGTAGAATATGAATTGGCTGCACTCCATGTTTGTTGTACAATAGTCACACAATATCTTATAGTAGTAATGCAGTGGATTGGACAATTTGTATTTCAATGGATTATTTTTTGTTAGTAATTTACATAAATATTAAGGAACTGTAGTCAAAATCCAAACTATGTGTTCTTTGGTGGCCTAGAACATTTCATGAAATGAGTGAAAACATCGTGCAATGGACAAGTGTACACAACTGGATGAAATATCTTCAAACTCACGATTTATCAATTAGTTGTTCTAAGGTCTTGTTTCGAATGTAGTCTGTGTAGCCCAACTTTATCATTTGTTTTTCCCATTCAAGTAACGTATGTTGATATTCATTCCATAATTTTTTATATTTATCCGTATACATTTTTTTTTCGTCCGTTGAAAGTATTTTCCATTTGTTCCCTACTTCTAACATCACCTTCTACAATAAATATTGAAATTGTATAAACAATGCAGCAGAAACATTTCAAAGAAAGGAAATGGACGTTTTAGTGCATAAAATTTCATTCTTAAAAAAAGATTTAAGGCAACGTGATTTAAAGAACGTAATGTTACTATTTTTGTACAAGTCATTAATTTTACATACTTTTAAATTGCCGCTGATATTCTCTTTTTTCATATGATCCATTATGTACAGTCCAAATGCAGATATTGGTTTCTTTGGTCGTCCTAATTCTTCCAATTTCTAAATAAATAAAAAAAATACAAAATGTACAGCAGTTATTTAATTCTTTGCAATGAAACATCGGATTATTTAATACCTTCTTAAGTACAATTTGATTATGTCGTTGCTCTGCCTTCTTCTTTTCCTTTTCCACTAGATTTCTTTGTTCCTCGGTGATCGATTTATCATATTCTAATAATTCATTGATATAGTCATTCATGCGTTTTTCATATTCCTTTTGCATATTCTTTTTTTCAGCTTCATCAATTTGCGCCCATTCCTGTGCTACTTTTTTAACAAAGTCTGTATACTTCATACCCTCACTTGATTTATAGTATTTGTCCTTATGATCTTGAATAAACAGTAAGTAAGAATTTGCAGGCTTCTTTGGAGGAATTGGTATGCCTAGCTTTTTCAAAATTTTCTTATCCTTTATGGTGATAAATCGCTGGCTTATGTAAATGTTACTAAAAACAAAAAATATACAATCACATGGTAAAGTTCTCTTCAGCGTAATAGTACTTTAGAGTTAAGCGGAGAAATTACCTAGAAGACGGCTGTAACGCACAAACGGGCATTTGCCAAAGATTGTTATAACTTCCGACACCGTTGTTGATAAGGAAAATTCTTCTAAAGAGGGACATCTTTTATTTTTTATTAATTTCATGTACTTATAAAATTTAAATCACGAATTTTTTATTAGAAAGCGTCCAAACGCATGCAAAGTACGAGAATGTCGCCAAGTTTACAGCTTTGGTTTAGAGGTTATGCGCGCTAAAGCACGATCTCAAATGCTCTCAAACCGCTGGTTTACTTTACATACTTTCCATTAGAGGCGCTAGTGAAACGCGCTCGACAAGTATTTACCGCATGGTTCGGCGTCATTTGTTTGGTTAGGTTTAATATTTCAGATGTTTAAACAAATCCTGTAAGTAATGCATTATTTTCATTATTTAGTAAACGTGGAATACTCTCCACATTTTACAAGTTATGTTATGATGTAGTTTGCGACTCAATTTCGTATTTAAGGTCATACAATAAGGAGAATCATGGTACGACATAATAATCAACTTCCTAATAATCTCCCACAACTGCAGAATCTTATTAAACGAGATCCAGAATCATATAAAGAAGAGGTATATGAAGTTTATCTTTAATAGGAACATATTATTACATGTGGCATTACGACATGAAGCTAACGGTAACTATTTTTCAGTTCGTACAGCAATATCATCACTATAAATCCACATTGGATGTATTCCGTTTAACGCCCGATAAACTTAACAAAACTCTCGATGAGCTAGTAATGTTTCTGGCCCAGGTGAGCATTTTAACTCGATAAATAATATTTACTATGTGTGCATGGCCTAGGGGAAAATGACAGATTCAATCGAGAGAGTAAAACGATGTCCTACTTGTTTTGTTATTTGTCTTCCAGGGTTAAAATCCACATTTTTTGATTCAGAGATTGACAAAATTTGTAGTGATTTCATTCGTATCCAATTGGCGGGACGATTATTCATTGTAATCTTTGGATGTCATCTAGGAACAATGAGTTCTGACATGGAAAAGTATTTGGTGGAGCTAGGAAGTAAAATTCTGTGTAGGAATAATGTTTTGAAGCAATTGTATTATTTAATCGGAAACAAAGATGAACCGAAGCCTGAAAGTATATTCCTGTATGGGCATGTCTCGACAGGAAAATCCTTCGTTATTGAGAATTTACTCTCGTATCTAAAATATAATCATTCTATTATAAATTGTATCGAGTATCAAACCAGTAAGCGGATATTCGAATATATTTTGGTGGATTTATCATCGCATAAGTTAAGTTCAGAGGATAACTTTGCTGTGTATAAAAAATGTGATAACTTTTTGGATTTTATACTTCAACTCAAAGACATCGTGGGGAGTAATGGTGATCCTGTCATTATTGTATTCGATAAATGTGAAAGAATGAGGGATATGGATCCTAATTTATTGCCAGCATTTTTACGATTAAAAGAATTGTCAGGAATTAATGTCTGCACCATTTTTGTGAGCGACATTGTCTGGGAAAAGTTTCACTCAAAGACAGGAATGCTTGAACCTATAAAAGTTTATTTACCACAGTACACTCGGGATGAAATGGCTAAAATTTTATTCTTAAACAAGCCACAGAGTAATGATGACAGTTTTTATAAGAATTATATAAACCTTTTTCTGTCGGTGTTCTTTCGATTTTGCAGAGACGTAAATGAACTCCGATACATGGCTATGATTAATTTTAAAAAGTATGTAGAGCCTGTAGAAAGTGGTCAGCTTGATAGCAACGATGTGAGCGCATTGTGGCGTAACATTTCCAGTATTTTAAAGAAAAATCTTGAAGTAATTTATTTAAGAGTGTCAACAGATGATTTTCAGGATCGTGCTCAGCTGTCGGTAGAAATTGAATCAACAACAAAGTTAGCTCTAAGCTTCGAATTACCATTTTATGCCAAATACTTGCTGATAGCCGCTTTCTTAGCTTCCTATAATCCCGCTAAAGAGGATAAACGATTATTCTTGAAGCAAAGTTCTAAGAGAAAAAAAAGAATTCCTACTAACAAAAAGCCTATCATCGCCAGGATGTCTTCAGGCCCTCGTCAATTCCCACTGACTCGAATGCTTGCAATTTTCTGTGCTATAATCGATGAGAAAGTAGATCTTAATGCCAGTTTACTTGCACAAATACCAACTATGTGCAAATTAGGTTTGTTAGCTGAAATCGGGGATAATAATTTAGATGAGCCCAAATTCAGATGCTGTGCTGGTTACGATTTTATTTTAGTTATCTCTAAAACGGTTGGCTTCAGTATTTCTAACTACCTATATGATTTGATACATTAACACTGCGTACATTAATATACACTTTTCATTGTTGCACTCAATTTGATGTAGCTTTATTTATTGTGCCAATGGCTTATAAATTGTTTTTGTACTCTCATCATGTATGTACAATAAACAAAAGGACTGAAAATTGGTGATTTATCTTTAACTCATTTGTCGTATCATTGCATGCATAATCACCTAGTGTATTAAATAAATTATTTTAAACGAAAAATGTATTTCTTAGAAAATCAAGGAACAATTTAGTACTATTCTCGAGTCTTGGTATTCTTTTCTATACAGGTGGCCCACTGTTATTCAGACATTCTAGTGACATATCCACAAGAACTAGTCGACATATTGCAGACACACAATACCATTCTTGACAGTGAAATGCGAATGGTAAGCATGATTACATTGATGTGATTGATAGCTCTAGAAATAATTATTTTTTTTACTAATCGAATACTATGAACTTGTTGCAGACTTTTTGCCGAGCCCTTATTTTGCTACGTAACAAAGGACTTTTGGAACCAACAGCACTTTTGAGTTTGTTCTTCCAGTTGCTTCGATGCCAAGATAAGGCACTGCGTCAGTTTCTCGAAACTCATATCATCACAGACATAAAGAATGTTAATGTAAAACACAAGAACACCAAAGTGAATACCGCCTTGCAGAATTTTATGTTTACGATGCTGAAAGACAGCAATAAAAGGGCTGCTAAGATGTCAGTCGACATCATGATAGAATTGTATAAGAAAAACGTGTGGAATGATGCGAAAACTGTCAACGTTATTGCAATGGGTTGTCTTTCTAAAATAACGAAAGTCATGGTAGCTAGTTTGACATTTTTCTTGGGAACCAATAAGGAGGAAGAGAACAGTGATGACAGTGATAGCGACGATGAACCCAACCTCAAAGAAGTCGTGATGGCTAATAAAGTGAACAAGAAAACTAAGAAGAGAGAGAAGCAACTAAAAAAGGCTAAGCAATTATTTGCAGTAAGTCTTTTTATTGCAGTTTTATTGTGTCAGTGAATATTTATTTTAACAAAAGTCTGATCGATGATTTTTTCTCTTTTAGAAAATGAAAAAGAAAAAATCGAAGGCGCCTCAGTTCAATTTTTCGGCGTTGCATTTAATCCACGATCCGCAGGGATTTGCGGAAAAATTGTTTAAACAGATGGAGAAGAATAACGACAGGTTCGAGATCAAGCTTTTGACTTTGGATGTAATCTCCAGACTCATTGGCTTGCACAATTTATTTCTCCTTAACTTTTATCCTTATTTGCAGAGATTTCTGCAACCGCATCAAAGAGGTAATATCATGAGAAGGTTTAATCCTTTTTTTAGTCATTCTTTCTATATTATTAAAACGTATATTTATCATCTTTGGATTTTTAGAGGTAACAAAACTGCTGCAATTCGTAGCACAAGCATCTCATGAATTAGTTCCTCCAGACGTACTGGAACCTGTTCTGAAAACATTGGTGAACAATTTCGTTACGGAGAGAAACTCTGGGGATGTCATGGCAATCGGGTAGATACTCAATTTTACGTTAACTTGTAGGTTTATTTACAGAAGCAATAGCGAGTATTAATTTCAGATTGAACACAGTTCGTGAAATTTGCTCCCGATGCCCACTGGTGATGAACGAAGACCTGCTGCGGGATCTAGTGCAATACAAAAGCTACAAAGAGAGGAGTGTCATGATGGCAGCTAGGTCATTGATTGCACTGTTTCGAAATACAATGCCAGATATGCTTCACAAGAAAGACAGAGGGAGACCTACGGAAGTCTCCGTTGCTTTGGAACCTCTGAGGTACGGTGATGTGAATGCGAAAGAATTTGTACCGGGGGCTGAAATTTTGTTAGAAAATGAACAGAACGACGATGAGTCTGACAACAATAACAGTGACGTGAGTGCAATTGTAGCCTCTAAATGCTTCGAGAACTGTGCTGCAAAAGAATTATATTCTTTATTATGATTTTTATTTTTTATATTCTACACATCAAGGATGAAGATGATTGGATTGATGTCAGTCACAGCAGTGACGAAGAGAATGAAGACTGGGTAACCGATAGCGAAGATGAAGAAGAAGAAGACATTGACAGTGAATCCGATGATGAGCATGAGGTCGAAGACGAACAAAGTGGTGATGTTTCTGTGCGAAATGAGAAAGAGAATAAGAAAAAGGAAGAAGACGAGGATAATAATGAGGAGAAAAATACTGAGACTTCGGAGGCTGCGGTGGAACAGGTTGCAAAGGACCCAGCTTTAACCGATGAAGGAAACTGTCAAGTAACGAAGGATCAGAATAATCAGCCGAGGAAGGGAGGGAAGAAGAAAAGAACGAAGCTCGACAGAAAGAAAGAGAAGATGCAACGACGGGCAACTTTCAAGGCTGAGGCTAAGCAAGAATTGACGGCAGAGAAAAAAGAAATGGCTGCGAAAATATCGGTAGAACGCTTGCTGACGGACGATGATTTTAAAAGGATAGATAAGGCTTTGGTAAAGCAACAGATAACGCATGCCAAGCGTGGTGTAAAGAGGCCTCTCGAGGAAGATACCAGTCGAGGGGAATTAGTGAAATTAGGAGACATTGAAAATATATTCAAGAAACGAAAACACGACAAGCAAGCTCGGCTGGAGAGTGTCAAGGTATTCTTGAATAGTGGTGCTCGTATGGCTTTACTTTTAAAATTATTCAGAGTATCTCATGCTGTCTTTTTTATTACAGAAAGGACAAGAAGACAGGGAAAAATTCGGATACAAAGATGGGCGTCAAAACCCGCTGTGCAGTAAGACAAATCGAGAGAAGAGGAAAACTAAAGCTTTCCAGATGGTAAAGCACAAAATTAGGAGCAAGGTTAAACGATCCTTTAAGGATAAGCAGATAGCACTTAGGAATCACCTCATAAAACAGAGAAGGATGAAATAAATGTATTTGATACTGCGTTGCGAAGTCGTTCACTCGTCTTTTTATGTACACAATAAAGAATCGTTAAAATTAATGGCACGAGTAAATCTGGTGAAAAGTGAAAGATCGAAAAATTTGTTTTGCGGTGCAACGCAGTTCCGCGTGTTTTTCGAAGATGGCGCCACGGTCTCAGTTAAGAAATTCAAGATGGCGTCCGCGTCATGCTGGTTGACGATAGCATAGTGGAAAGGGGGCTCGGGAACTGTTATTGACGTGTAATTTGAACGCGACATGTTTGGTTAAGTTTCTTCTGCATGCTGGTTCTTTGAGCCGAGGAAGAGACAAGATAAGTAAATATGCTGATAAAGGAGGAGTCCCAGTGGCCCGAGTTCGACGACACCGATTTTCCGACCTTTCCAGAACTCGGATCTTTGGGTACGTTGATTGTCGGCACTTTTATGACTCAGAGTCGGCTTTTTCCGCGTTTCACGCCTCCCCGTTATTCCATTCTAAATTCATTGTGAGCCTAGCTCGTTCATTTCGTAGAATTTTTATAACCTCTCCGGCGAACGGCGATAACGCGTCGCGAACTCCCATTAATGATAAAAACTTCTCTTTATCACGTCTCTCGTTGACTCCTCAATTTTCTTTTATGTTTTCCTTCCATCCATATTTTCTGCCACGCTCACAATTCATTGAAACCAAAAACAAAGAGGTCTGAAAATAGAATATACTTTATCGCTGGGTATGATGCGAGTTTAAAAAAAAAAAAGAAAAAACATTCAAGCATAGCTTCCTATCTCTCCATTTTACTTAATTTTTTTTCCTATTTCCAGTGTGCGTTGGCTTTATCGAAACTGTCGTAAAACCACCTTATTTGTCCCACTGTATTTATCGCCTCTTCAGTCCCGGACACGGCACTGGGACTCGTTATCTTTAGCATTGCACATGTTTATCGGTTTCCTCCTCCAGGATGCAAACCGATAGGACCTTGAGTTTACGTTTAACAGTCCTTAAAATTCCCCATATCCATCTTTTTCTAGAATTACCTCATCCGAGTGTGTTCAAATAAAACTATACCACTTTTTCAAGTAATCGTGTAAGATCATGCAGATACTCGACCACCTTTAGACGAACCAATGAGACCCAGGCCATGGAAAGTTATCTAAGAAATCAAGCGTCTGTCCAAACATCCCACTTCCGATCTGTCCTCGATATCTTTCATTATTCAAAGCACATGATCTTGCATAACGTGGACTGCATATCTCCAAATAACGTAACGACGGGCCACAGGAGTTATCCATCGAGCTTAGACAGATCCAACATGCTCGGACAGCAAAAACGCCACACTTTCCAGCTCTCCGCCCCAAAAACCAGCAAAGAGAATTCACACGACCATCCTCCTCGCCCAATCAAGCGCATACCATTTTCAAGACCATGGGACCCTTCCGCCATCCCTTCACTTAAATGCATCAAGGGCTTAACGGGCTTTGGTGGGGACGATATCCCCCTTCCTGAGATTTAACTCCTCCGAAGCCCCAACGGAGGAAGGAAGAACGTTCTCTAGAGCTCCTGGTTCCACGCAACCCCTGGAAATGAAGATTTAAATTAGAAGTTAAATATCATCCGAGCCAGGATCTATCCTTTGGCTGATTTTACATTCAGAGGTCCTCGCATGCAAATTAGGGGACTCGTAGAACAGCGAAAAGACAGGAATTTAAAAAACGAAGAGTTCCAAAGGAAGATCCTCGCTCTGTCGATCGATGCCCTCGCCGGCGTAGGTAAATATCCCGCTGGCGTGAATTGTTTGTGTGGAGCGAAGCCGTCGTGTAAATGCTTTCTGTGTGGAAAAGCAATGGCGTGGATACTTTGTGTGAGGTGACGGTGGGCAGTGTGCGTATGCGGTGTGTCGTACATACATAAGGTAAAAGGTGGCTCGCCAGCTACAGTCGAACGCGCTCGCTCACTGTAGGACCGTTTTACGGTATCGTCCCACTCATTACCGCTGGCTCTTTCAGCCTTTCAGAAGTTCATTCCTCCGCGCTCCCTTTCGGACAGTGTCCCGGGGCCTCTTGCGTCGTCGCGTTTCACGGACGCGAACCCGAAGCGGTTCAACGTTTCCCGCCGTACATTGTATTACACGTTACATGATGTAATATACGGTCTCATGCTTTACGAAGTGGTTAAATTATTAAATTTCGCAGACCGCAAATCGGTTAAATAAATTATTTTTCTTTTACAAAATATAAATACTTTCGTACTCCTGCAGTGATCACGTGCTACACTTGGATATTTTGCAAGCGCTAAAATTATCGAACTTCGCAGAAAACGAAGTGGTTGAAGGAAATTATTTTTCTTTTATAAAATATAAGTATCGCGTGCGGTGCGTAAATTATATAAGCGAAGACATTATTTTTCTTTTATAAAATATTAATATTGCGGGCGGTGCGTAAATTATATAAGCGAAGACATTATTTTTCTTTTATAAAATATAAATATCGCGTGCGGTGCGTAAATTATATAAGCGAAGAAATTATTTTTCTTTTATAAAATATTAATATTGCGGGCGGTGCGTAAATTATATAAGCGAAGACATTATTTTTCTTTTATAAAATATTAATATTGCGTGCGGTGCGTAAATGTACGATGGATCGGTGGATCGTTTTCTGATGGATTCGACCCAGAAGAGGAGTAAATGAGGAGGAGGCTGGAAGATGAAGGGATTGTCCGATCATTGCATTTTGGACATGATCGACCTCGAGCAACGCGAATGGTTGCTAGGTAAATGATTTTCCTGATCGGTCAATAGGATGTGACTTTTCATCGAATGTAGCATCATTTTTTGTTATAAAATTTGACGTTATCATATGTGCCCATAATTATGAAAGTGGTCTAAGTCATGTATTTTTAGTTTCGAAATTACATTGAATTAATTTAGTTTGAAATAATGTGGCGTGAAATAACTGATAAACTCATTTTTTTTTTTTTTCAATTTTGACTTAGACCACTTTCATAATTATGGGCACATATCTAACTCCTAGTTTTAAGTCTTGTTAGTAACTATTGAAACTTCGCCAGATCCGGGACGGTAAATCGTCCCGATGCCGAGTGCAATGCGATAATTTCCCTGATAATTAATCTCGGCGATATCGAGGGGAAAAAAAAACTCTATTTCGGTCTCTCTTTATCGCCGACTTCGACCAGATGGAGTCTAACTCGTCCCATGGTGTGACATGTAGAAAAGGGAAAAGAAAACTGGATAAGAATACGCCCACCGACTGGAACCGCTTTATCGCGGTGTCCCTTCGGAGTCCTCGATAAAGGCTTCGATAAGGGGCTAATTTTATTTATACTCGAAAGTACGAAAATAAATTCATTGCGATGAATTTTCTGAATCCGACCACGTGGAGGTCTTTGCCGATAAGTCGTTGCGGGTCTTTAGAGTCTCGTGTTACGGCCACGCAGAGATATTTTTATGTCCGGTAGTTTGGCATTTCGACGGTCAGCATTTTCAGTCCTCGCTTCCTGGACTTCGACACTCCTTTGATTTTTAATGTCCACCGAGGTAGGATGAAATAATCTTGGAATGTGAATAACGAGAATTATGGATTTCGGTTGCAGATGACGAGTGCCCTTTGCCTCCCGATGACTTCCTCGAAGCGTTGAGTTCGGAGTTGGAGATCCCTCTTCTCCTGGGTGGAGAAGGCTCCCCAGGGTACGATGAGAGTCCCGATGAGATCATCAAAGGTGCCACCTTGGAACAGGTCTTGCCCTGCCTGGAGGACCATGGGCTGAACCTGAAGATACACGCCGTGGACGAGTTTGTTAATACCTCGAGAGCTGGTGAGTCCTGGAATACAAGGATCGGTAGATGTATCTTGACTAATATCAGGAATCTAATGCTCGAGGGCTTTTATTAATTAATAAACAACCGTCAACAGACTTTAGAATAAAAGCCGAGGTCAACGATGACATCAAACTCGAGCCTAGGACCCCTAGGTCCCAACTACCACCTTCTCCGAGTCCTAGCCATTCGGACTCCAGCAACTCGGAATGGCAAAGCGAAGTCACCGTCGCCTCTCCGGGTGATGCAAAGGTACACCGGAAATGACGACGTAATGATTGTTTAGCGGAAGGTGACCAATAATTTTTACCATTAATTTTTCTAACCACTCTTTGGGGTCTCAGTTCACCTTGGAGACTCCGCCGATATCTCCACCTCGGAACGTCTCGCCGTCGACGTCCCCGCAGACGGTGGGCAGTCCGTCTATCTTCCAGCAGCTCAAGTTAATCCCCAGCAACCCCGAGGAGAGGCCCCCGAAGTTCCTGGTGACCAAGGGGAATGCTGCCAAGCGCATCTGCATCCAGCCGAACGTCTACAAGCCTCGGAACGCCTCGCCGTCGACGTCCCCGCAAACGGTGAACAGTTCCTCCACCTTCCAGCAGCTCAAATTGATCACCAGCAACCCCGAAGAGAGGCCCCCGAAGTTCCTGGTCACCAAGGAGAACGCAACCAAGTGCATCTGCATCCAGCCAAGCGTCGATAAGCCGGCTGCACGTAACGAAGGTTGGTACACGCGTTGAATGGCCATTTTTTAAATTAAATTTAAGACCAGGGTATACTTACGTATTTAATTCCTAACTTCCAGATCAGTCCAGGAAGACGATCGTCCTCAGCGCCCAGGACTTCGCGGCGCTCACGCAGAAGGTGAAGAGCGGCTCCTCGCAGCCGGTGAAGCTGCAGACCGTTTCGGTGAACAGGCCGATCAAAGTGCAAAGCCCCAGGCAGGGTCAGGGTCCTCGGAATCTAAACACCGAGGCTGAAGCCATCCAGTTCCCCGGGCAGAACGTCAAGATCCTGAACGCCATCTCGGATGTTCGGATACACGCCACGGATTCGGTGGTGAACGTCTCCGGGTCACCGATCGTTATCAAGAAGGAGAGCCCCTTGGTGATAAAGAACGAGACGACGGACCTGATTAACTTGGTGGGCAGGCAGGAGAGCGAGATCAAGGCCCTGAAGAGACAGCAGAGGATGATCAAGAACAGGGAGTCGGCCTGCCTCTCGAGGAAGAAGAAGAAGGAGTACGTCACCTCCCTCGAGAAGCAGATCTCCGACCTGCAGGAGGAGAACCGGCAGCTGAGAGTGGTGAGCGGGAACCTCTGCAGGGTCCATTGTTTTATATGATATATATTTTTTTTTTATACGATATATATATATCAGAAACCATTATCAAGCCGTTCCTCGTTGACAGGAAAACAGCGCACTGAAGCAGAGGCTATCCGCCGTCGAGGAGACGACCAGCTCCACCCGGAAATTGGCCAGTCTCAACCTGGGCGCGAACCGGAAGAACACCGCTATTCTCCTGGCGATGGTGTTCATGGTTTCCCTCAACGTGAATAATTTAGGGTGAGTGGATTGAAGAAGATCACCCTCTTCCGGAACCTGGACTCACTTTTATCCCAATTTTAGGATCAACTTCTCGCAGACCAGGTCGGAGCTGTCGACGATTCCGCCGAGTGTGGTGACCTCGCCGAACGTTAGACACGGGAGGAGTCTTCTTTGGACCGGGCCAGACCCTGAAAATGGGGTCGACGAGGGGTTCAACAAGACGGCCAGTTCGCATCCCATGTGTCCGATGTACATTAACCAAACGGAGTCGATTCGTCTGGACTCTGAGCTTCGTCGGTGGATCGGCGGCGACTCCGACCGCGACAACTGGACGAAACCGAGAAAGACCGAGTTGGCGGTCAAGTCGCTGGGCGAGCTCCTCCTTCCGAAGCCTTCTCCTGCCCCCAGGAAGTACCCCGACAAGTTGAAGCTACTCCAGAGGAAGGCCGCCGAGGGCGCGGCCAAAGTCAACGGTGTCGCCCCGGCCAATACGAACGCCGTCGAGGTCTTTTCGCCCATCCTGAGGGAACACGCGACCTTGTTCGAGGCCCTGGGCAGGCGCGACGACACCTTCTACGTGGTCTGGTTCAGCGGGGAACACCTGCTTCTTCCGGCTTCCAGACAGAACAACACTGTCAGGCCCAGGATGTCCCTCGTGCTTCCGGCTGTGCCCGTCAATGGTACGTTCTCGGCTAGTTGTCAATTTTTTTAGCCGACCTTAAGATGAGCTTGATTAAATATTCTGCCGATCCTTCCTTTCAGGGACCTTTTCGACGCCGCCACAGCACGTGACGATGATGCAGATCGACTGCGAGGTGACCAACACCCAGCTCCTGCACCTCCAGGAGTCGGTGATACCGAAACACCTGCGAACCGGACATCGCTCTGGGAAAGACACCTCGAAGACCGACGAGAACGTCTCCCAGGCTGCCGCGAACGTCACTAAGGGATACAAACCGTATTTCATAAAGGAGAACGAGACCGAGACCTTCGAGAACAAGAGTCTGAAGGATCCGTACACCCTGAAGAACCAGGACTCCTTCCACAAGGCGTCGACGTACATGCTAGACGGGAATGTAAAGTACGACCCTTACGAGGTGAAGAGCAAACATTTCGAGGCCAACGTCGAGACCCTGAAGAGCGGGTACGCCCAGGATGGCAAGAGGTCGAGGAGGAAAAGGCGCACGGTGAATTTCTAAATCTTACGCATAATCTCTGCACGCACTCGTTAAGGAGATGCGAAAGTAGCGTTTGAAAGATCTGTTTATGAAACTTGTGTTCGAATTGGGGGCGCCGTGGAATTTTACCCCATGAATGTGGATGGCCCTCGGAAGGTGACATCGATGAAATTTCATGATTTATTAGAAATTAAAAAAATGTTTATAAACAAATTGAAGAAAGGAATTAATTTGAGTGGTGTCGAGACCTTCCTCAGGGCCTCCGTACTCGTGGAGAAGAATTTTAGACGATTTGGTGCACCCTATTCGGAGAGGATTTATAAAGACCTCACGGATGCCACTTTTATGTCGCCTTAAGACTATACTTTAGGCTTACCGCGGGAGAACCAAGGTCGTTGTTACTTTTAACATGGCGTGACAGTCCCATAGGGAACCGGGGGATAGCCAGTTTGGCCTATCTGTTGAAATGACTGAAAACTAGATGAAAGTTGCGAAGACGTCTCGTATTTGTGAGTACGGAGCTGTGGTATTTACGTACACTGAGAGAAAGTAGTTGTGACGTGGACACCAGTCCCTGAAAGGGGTAGAATATACAGCTACGGAAAGGAAAAACTAACCTTACAAATCGTTACTGTACAATGGTCATAATTAATACTATTTTTTCTCAGTGTATACTGAGAATGTCGACGTAGATGTTCAAATGTTTATCATATACATAGATATGTTAATGGCCGATCTCACCCTTCCGGTTTAGAAAAGCTTACGAGGGTTAGTCATCGATCGGTCGAATCAGCTGTTCATATTTCTTAACCAATTTTGGTTCGTTTTTTGAACCACCTCGGTGAGATCACCAACAAAGTGCACATTAGATGTAACTAAGGTATCGTATTTACTAGAGATTTATTACGATATTTACATACACGGTTAATTTAGAAGATTGATATTTTAGATTAGGCAACGACGTTGCGGTGAATTTGTGCATAAATATCGAGTAATGGTGCGTAGCGAATTAACAGTGTCCTTTGGTACTTCAGTATTTCACGGGAACGGGACGATGTGTGCAGCAAAATCATGGTGGCACTGTGTTCGGTGCAAGCTGCAATCGTGCTGCCGTTACTTTCTTTGTTCGTAGCCAGATATCTAAAGATAACTGATGGTGGATATGTGTCTATCCATAAATTGTGCAATGCAACGCGTTAATGTAACGAGTAAAGTTTATATAGAAATCGAGAAGTACGGCGGGCACGAATTTTCACTTTTGTCATGTTTTACAGTGACGAAACTGATCGACTTCTTATCATTGCCAATGAAGCGTTGGTAGTTAAAGAAAAATAAAGTACTTGAGACTATGAACTATGTGTGACAATTATGCTACGATTTTCTAAGTTATGAACGTGAAAAAAAAATTAATCGAGATAAAGTATCAAAGAATTTTATATCATATGAATTGTTATTCGGAATACGGTTAACATGGGTGTGAGTACAAATATCATATCTACAAAGTTACTGTTCTTTGAAAGAACGGTAGATTTACTTCAGGTCTGGCGTCGATGTTCCCAGGTAGCTTCGTAAGTCTGTTATCGTTGATTTTACTAACTTTGCTTTTATCGAGGGCTTACCAAGGCGTTGATGAGCAATGTATCGGTGACATCCTCCGAACGAGTAAAAGTAATCGCCTCCTATACGTTACAGATAGAAAGACGAATATTAACATGTTTTGTAAACCTGTGGATCGGATACCAGTACCCGAAGCCTAGATATGTACTTTACGAGAGTCTGACTTTTATACCTTCACGACCTGTAATCCAAAGAACATCGACAGGTGGTACGGAAGATTCTGTGTCTGGATTTTTTAAGGTCTCCATTAAACTTTTCACTTTTTCCTCGTTTACATCTGGTGGGAAGGGTCTAATGAGAACGCTCATGGGAACCTCATGCACTTCCGCGTTCTCACTCGAATGGATACTGGTGGGATGATTGCTCATAGTCGATGCTAAAGGGAACATAAGCTTATCTTAAATTGGGTCCACAGTATTAGTTATTAAATTGGCATTTATTTTCCAAGGTATAATTCACTTCGAGTAATGGAATTTATTGCTACGATAGTACTATCAATTGTTGCGGATAACAGCACTCACATACTACAGATCTACAGATTTGCATCGGTAGCTGTTGACCTCGTAGCTTAACGCACAGTTCCATAACTAGTCAATCGAGCCCGAAAGAGATAGTCATATATTTTCTGACGAGTCACACTCCCACCAGTGCACGTCACCTTGACTATCAGACTGGAGAGGGGACTCGTACCTGGATACAAAAACCATTAATGGTAACGAGTTTTACAAAACAAATAAAGGGCATAAATAAGTCATAAATTTTTGTTAAATTTAACATGTTAAATATAACATGCAATTTAAGACGAAGCCTTGTTAGAGCGGAGAGAAGTTTAACTCCTTTCATTCTTAATATATGATATAAATTTACCAGTTTCAAGTATGCGAGAACACACTGATCGAACTGTATGTCAAACTACTCGGACACTTATCACTGACTTTTGATTACTCCGAATTCACAGATTGTTTGGCTAAGAAGGAAGTCACGTTCTTTGCTAATTCTTTGAATGCCAAGGCTTGGACCGAATCAGGCTTTGCGAGTACAATTGGCTTTCCTGTGTCTCCACTTTCGGAGACGTCATTATGCAGAGGCACTTTTTGCATTACGGATATTCCTGTGTATGAAATACAAAGTGTCATTGGGTTTGGTCGTGAGAATGGGAAGAGAAGAGTAAAGCAGGGTTACGGTACCAAGTTCTTCGGCCAATGATGCCGTTCCTTTGCCATAAAGAGGAATATCGGAAGTACAGTTCGGACAGATGATATTTGACATATTCTCCACGATACCAGCTAATGGGACGTTCAGTTTTCGGAACATAACTGCTCCTCTCCGTGTTACATCTAAGGCAGCCCTTTGGGGAGTCGTTACAAGAAGTGCACCACTAATTGGAATATTTTGAACCAGGGATAAATGCGTATCACCTGTCCCTGGTGGCGTGTCTATGATTAAATAATCAACCGGACTCCATGCAACCTGTCTTATCAGTTTCTCTAACGCACTCATTACCATGAGCCCTCTCCAGATCACGGGTGACTTCTCGTCTATTAAAAATCCCATTGACATGCTGTAAGCAATGTATGCAACTTGTAAGTAAAATCGTCATTATTTTTCATTAGAGTATGAAAAATAAATTTCGTGAATGTTAAATTTACCACTTAATGCCATGATTTATGAGGGGTTCCATTAGACTGTCTTTGTTTAAGATAGGTGACTGATGAAGATTCATCATCAGTGGAATAGTCGGCCCAAAGACATCTGCATCTAACAGTCCTACAGATTTCTCAGGTTCGAGAAGCTTTATCGCGATTGCTAAATTTACAGACGTAGTCGATTTACCTACGCCTCCTTTCCCAGAAGCTACGAGTAAAATTTGTTTAACACCTTCGATCGGTTTCTGTTTCGGGAGACCTCGAGACATAACTTCCTTACGCCTAGCCTCAACATCTTGCTCTGAGTGACTAAGTCTCGATACCACGTGAAGCTTTGGAGAAAATAAATTATTAGCTCTACTATGGCACAATGTCAAAAGCTGCTACCAATCGATGCTCTCTAGACATCTCCGCTGCGCATAACATAAACCTTACATCTCTAAATTGTAAATCTCTAAATCCAGCGGAGATAACCCTGGACAAGCACGTTCTCGCTGACATTACGATTAATCTCAAGGAGGACTTAAAAGTCGGTAATCCCACTCGTGGCGAAGAGGGCTGTGCAACATAACCTCACTCTGCCACCCGGAACGCATCGAGCTCGTTAATCAAATGACACATATTAAGTCAGTTGTAGGAAATAATGCCAGGAAACTTGCGGGAGTTAACTTCTCGACAAAAATACGTAATAAAACAAACCTACTGGCTGATAAATAGCGAAAAGCGATTCTCGTTAACTTTGACAAATCTCGGTTGCCGGTGGTCGGAAATTGTAGACGATTCTTCGACGGCGAGAAAAGCGAAGCCACGTTTATCCTTCCGAAGTCTAGATACAACAAGGACACATGACGTGCTTGAATCCAAATTTCTTGCGAAAGACAAGGACAAGTGATAAGAGGAATCTAGTGACGCGCTTTCGGAACATAACCTAACCTGCTTTAACTGCAAAATCTGTCACAAGGGCGGCGCAGTGTCGCGATAAGCTCGACACCAGTCATCCGTCATTTCGTGTGTTTCTCCGTGTGTTTGCAAAGATTCCACTCGCCACAAATATGTGACAGTAAGTTATCGTTCGTCCGCGGATCGTTTCCTCGAGAGACGCGGAATTAATACGGCGTGCCGTAATTCGGCTTAGCGCGGCCGAGTTTCTTCTCGGTTCGCCGCTCGCCGCGATACATGATTGGCACGGCGAATCTAACCTATATCCTGCAATTCGACATTACGTGTGCTCGCGGAACTCTCGCGTTTCTGCAGTCACGCTTGTGATTTCTCACCTGGGGATGCTTCACAGCGTCTGGCGCGCCACTTCTTTCCACTCCAGATGAACGGGTTAAAGTAAGGCCACAGAGATTCCCTCACGACGTGAACCGCCTCTGCAGTACCTCAACTGTTCGGTGTGCTTTGGAGGTCTTGAATAAATACTTTAAGAGTCGTTAGTAAGAGCTGCAGTTTTTCGCATACAATGCTGTGGAGCATCTCGTCAGGTCTCCTTCCTCGCTGCAGTGCCTACTCATTTATTTGCATTTAAGTCGATGATTTCATTAACGAGGTCTTAAGTCGGCGACCGAACCCTTGACTCGAGGGATGGGTCGAGAAGATTTTCGTCTTCTGGGTGCTTTTCGCAATGTTTCGTAGGGCTTTACTTTTCTGCATCGCTGTGAGAAAGTATGGCGGTCTATTTTGCGGTGCTTTTATTACATTTCGATGTACCTTTCCGAGTGTTGACTGTTGACGTCATATGTCAGAGTTCTCTAGTGGGGCAAAAAGGATTGTGAATAAACTGTTATATCTGCATGGCCACGATCCTAAGTAAAACTTGCTGTTATGATTGTGGAATATTTTTTTTTATGTTCGTTGAATCATCGTAGATACAGTTTCGTGGCATTTTTTTTCTAGGTCAACCGTAAAAGCAATAATTGCGGGTTTCGCAGAATATGGGCCTAAAAGCAGCTGTCCAAGCTCTGAAGTGAGTCTACCGGAAATTTTTCCTCAATTTTTATATATCGTTTATAACGAATGCATGATTTTCCAGGAAAGCCGAACCATTAAAGGACAAAGTTCAACGCTGCAAAGATCTGTTGAACGACAATGATGCTTGGGTGTGTCAACAGCAGTTACAGAAGATCTACCAACAGGTTCTTATTCTGGATCTGGAATATGCTTTGGACAGAAAGGTTGAGCAAGAGCTGTGGAACCTTGGGTTTAAAAATTACATAGCGACGCTTCAGTCGCAAGCTAAGGACCGGAAGAATCCAAAGCGTGGGGAATCGCAGGCAATGCTCAGCTGGTGTCTAGAGGCGGCTAGTGGCTTCTACTTGACCCTGCTCCAGGAAATATGCACCGCTTTTGACCTGGACCTGCCATTTAGAAGGTACGATATCCCACCATCTATACACAATCGTCAAAGAGATTAATTTGACAGGTTTTTATCACTAAAATCCACTGATTTTAGGAAGGGCTACGTATACGGATGCACCTCACCATGGAAAGCAGTGGAAAAACTGTCGGCTCCCCACAAGTCGTCCTGTTTCTATGCATGCCAATACTGCCTGGTACATTTGGGAGACATAGCTCGGTACCGAAACCAAAACAAGCAAGCAGAACTATTCTACAGACACGCGGTCTCGTTGTCACCATCAAGTGGTCAGCCCTACAATCAACTGGCCCTCCTCGAAGCTTCTCGTGGAGACAAACTGGGGACAGTGTTTCACTATGCGCGTTCAGTGGCCGTTAAACATCCGTTTCCTGTGGCGACAGCTAACCTAGCTAAGACCTTATCATCGGCTCTGAACGACAGTTCTTTCAACGTCGACGGAAAAACCAAGCTGAGCTCTCAGGAATACGTTGCAGTGTTTTTAAAGCTCCACGGTGTCCTCCACAATCTCGGCAATCTGACCGTCGCGTCGACCTACGTGAAGCTTTTGACAGAAACGCTGACAGCTCTGATCGCTACGGAGAGCTTTAGTTCTTGGAGACTCGTTCAAATGTTGGTCATCAACTTGTACGCCTTGCAACACATCGCGGGGAGTTCCGACAGTTCCGAGTTACTGAAGATCGAACAGCTGAGTTCCGACGAAAAGCTGGCCAGGGACTGCATCATGAACCTCATCGCTGGAAATTTGTCCGCTCTGTTATTACCTGTCTACACGATCAAGAATTCTATCATCGACTACTACGCGCTACCAACAAGTGAGTGGAAAGAAAGAACCAAGGGACACAGTATCTGTCTTGGTCTCCGTAACCCATCGATTGGTATATTTCTTATCGGAGAGGTTAACTGTCAAATTAATTAATTCTCCTTCGCAGTAAAACTGTGCCTTGATTGGATTCGTCTGAAACCCACGGTCTTGGAGGAAGCAGCGTTCACGTCCAGGCTGCAGATCTGGCCGAGCCTCTGCGTCCTCCTGAACGGTCTCCAGGGGAGCGTGGCGGATTTCAAGCACGACTGTTGTACGTATCCTAATTAATGTAAACAATTCTTCGAAACAACGGAAACATTAAGTCACCATACCGCGAATATTTCATCGCCGATCCTTTTTTCCAACAGATAACAAAGTACCACTGCCGGAGGACCGCGACCTCCAGGGGTTCTTGCCGTTGGAGAAGACCTTCGAGTCGCTGCGGTTCACGAACACCGACCTGGAGGGCGATACCGCGACCCTGAACAAGTTGAGGGCCGTCCGAATACTTCACCTGGGCCGGAGGCTCGCACACTTCCAGGTGAACGGCTCGACGCTGATCGCCCTGGTCACCGGCGAGGCCTCCGAAGAGAGGTTCACATCCGTTACCGAGGGCACCGGGCCCAGCAACGAGTTGATGAAGGAGCTGGAGGAGCTGACCCTGAACAAAGACCGCCAGTCGACGGTGACGGCTAGTCCGGTGCCCTCGGAATCGGCCAGCAGCAAAGGTTCCTGGGAAGCGGACCTTTCGGAGCACGGACGTGAGTCTTCATTCCGGTCCATGGTACCCAATGAGTGTCTTCGTTGGTTAATTTACCTCTTCTAATTCGCAGTGGAGAAACGAGGAGGCATCCTGAAGCCGCAGGGCTCGCTGGAGCGAAGCCGAGACCCCGTTAACCCTGCGGAATCCAACGTGGAGGCAAATTCGACCCAGTCGACGCGCAAGCCCAGGCAGAACGTCGCCATGCAGGCGATAATGCGCCGCGCCGAGACGGAGCAGAAGCAAGTCACCTTCAAGAACGTGTCCCCGGTGATCATAGAGGAGGAGACGAGTGCAAGTTCGGCGTTGACTTCGCCGAGTAAGGGATCTCAACCGAGTCTTCGGTTACCGGGCTTGAACGGGGTGAACGCGAGTCCAGGGTTAACCGGGAGTGGACAGAGCAGACCAGGGTTGATGCAGGTTGGGTCGGTCTCGGGCCAGCCGATGCCTGGACAGGGTCAGGGCGGATCGATGCAGGGTCAGAACGTGCCACTCCAGGGTCAGAACGTGCCCCTTCAGGGGCAGAGCGTGCCTCTTCAGAGTCAGAGCGCGTCTCTTGCGGGCCAGGTCGTCCAGAAGCCCGTCAAGCTGCAGCTGAACATACCCCAGCCGCCCTCGCAGATGAGCCAGTTCCCCATCGAGCAGCAGAGCTCCAACGTCGCCCAGTACTGCCAGCAGGCGCAAGGACTCCCCCAAACCTGCTACCAGAGTCCCTCCTTCAACGTGCAGAACCCTCAGTTCAACAAGAACTTCCTGACGACCCGGGCGGCCGGCATGCCTCAGTACCAGATGCAGAGTCAGTTTAACGGGACGCTTCAGTCGCTGCCGCAGCAGAGTTCAGCGATGCAGCAGAACGTGGGGATGCAGCAGAACGTCGCGCTGCAGCAGAGCGTCGCGATGCAGCAGAACGTCGTCCAAAACAGGCAGTCCCTGCACCAGAGGATGGCGCGGAACATCTCCCAGAGCCCGGTTCTCCAACAGGGGATGACCTTGTCGGCTGTGCAGGCGAACGCCGGTCTTCAGGACGTGGGGCTGCACCAGCAGACGGTGATGCAGGCCGCGGTCAGGTCGAACGGCGTGGGGCTGCAGGGTCCGATGGCGGTCGCGGGGCCAGGAGTCGCCGGCAGCGGGCAAGGCCCCCAGGCCGTGTCAGGGTTCGGGAAGGGACTGCAGCAGGCTGTGCCCCAGCTGGCGAACCTCCCGGGCGCCTCTATGAGCCCCACGAGCCTGACGGGCCTCCAGCTCGGCTTTGGCCCGGGTTTTGGACAGTTCAACCAGATGACCCAGAAGCAGATGTCGCCGATCGCTTACGGCAACAAGCACGCCGGCCGGTTCGCCTTCCCCGGACAGTCGGGCCCTGGCAAGAGCCCGCAGCCAGTGAACAGCTACCCGATGTTCCACACCCAGGAGAACAAGGACTTCAGCCCTTGGAAGGACACCCAGCTGCCTCAGCCGCCCATGGCCTGGTGGGGTTCCGGGCCTGGGCCTGCCGTCGGACATGCCAAGGACATGCCTGGCACCGACGCCTTCCAAAACTGGGCCAACTCCCCCGGACCCGGTGGCATGATCGGGAGAGTGCCTTTGACCCCTGGGAACAGCTACCAGCAGGCCCCGACCCACGCTGGGCCTTATGCCAGGAATTGCTTCGAGGACAACAGGCCCTTCGAGGTTAGGAGTAGTCGAGTCGTTCGCTTGCTCCGGATTCTCATATGCCAGGACATTGTTCATTTCAGGGGAATTAATTATTAATTAGAGAACATTCTGAAATCCAATTCTTCGTGGAGCCGATTTAATTGAATTTGGGAATATTCTTTACTGGAGTTATTTAAATTCGAAAATGCTCTCGTCCTCTACCATGGAGTAGTCCAGGCCTCTCTCCATCCTCTCTCTCTTCCCCAGATGGAGCAGAAGCAGCCGCACTCGCCGGGCACGGGGAACACGTACTCCCTGTTCAGCGGGAACACGTGGGGCATGGGATCCTCGGCGAGCTCGACCCCCTCCGGCCAGGACCAGGCGAAGGCCAGATTGAGCCAGCAGTCCCTGTGGTCGGGCCCGGGACCCTCGCCCCTCGAGCGGCTCCTGGAGCAACAGAAATCCCTTCGCGAGGGAGGGACCTGAAGGGACGCAGCGCCGATCCTCGAGAAGACACAGGGGAAACTGATTATTCCAAATAGCCCAACACGCGGGTCAGGTAACTAGGGCGAATGGCGGTCGAGGCGAAGGACGAGGGTTGCTCTGCGGAAGGAGGAACTGTCGAGCGGCGACAGAAGCGTTAAATTCATAAGCAGTTTGTAGAAAGAGGCGTAGACCGGCCGGAGATAACCTGGGACGTGTGCCGGAGAAGCCGACTCGGCTACGCCGAGAGGACTTTCCGGTACTTTCCACTGTCGACGAACCTCACGGGACGAGGAGCGCCTTCCTCGAGCGAGACGCATCTAATCTAACCTGGACGCGCCTAGGGACGGGACGAGGCGACGACCGCCGAGACGACCGCCGAAACGAGCCGACCCGGTAGGACAAGGGTGGACTCGTTCGCGATCGGTAACACGATTTAGTCGGCTAACTTATGTGAAATTAGGCGAGATGTAATCGTTAAGCCATAGGGCAGCCTGCGGTAGACCCGGAGTAGAGAGGAGGGCGACGGCGACCTTTTCCTGGTTCTCGGTTCGCGACAAAATCCACGGGACGACGAGCAGCGAGGGCTGGACGCGCGGCCTCCGCGTGGCAGGATTTTATTCAAGGGTCCCGCTCTCTCTTTCCTCCTTTTTTTTTTTCCTCTTTTAATTCGGGGTCGTCACGACGTCGCCTCGGTCGGGACTCGCGTGAATCGGGACGTCGTTGGACTTCTGGATGTTTCTTTTTTTTTCGCGTTAATTGCCACACTTGACGAGCATCGGCATCGTGCTTTGCGATGTGCTTACGTTTCTTTGACGACACCCCTCCAAGTAGTTGTACACGGAATATAACAAAGTAGATTTTATAACGGAACTTACGCGAAACGTCGGAGGTTCGGTCGAGTAGTCCACGTAAAGAAACCCAGACTCGATCGGCGTACACGCGCGGAGACACCTACGGACACCTGTCGGTCGCTGGAAATTAAACTGGTAGACGGTCAGTGACATAGCGATATAACTTAAGGTTTATCGTAGCAAAATTGCTAAATATATTGAACTATCTGCAAATATATTATGTTACGAATGCAATCGAACTTGGCTGCGGTCTCCATTATCCTCGAACAACCTTTGGATGAATTTGAGATGTCGCCTTTGGGACGTCGTTTCATGAACCGATAGATAACTGCGGAAAGCAATTATTAATGCAATTAGTTATGGACTTGTGGTTGGCAGGCACGAGGTATGTATAAGCATTTTACGACGTATAAAAAATCTTTAATTAAACCCTTGGATAATGTCTCTTACGATTAACGTATAAATATCTCTTATTTTTTCTATATTGTTTTACTACGTAAAAAAACTTGGAAAAAAAAACTGGATATCTCTTACGCTTATTCCATAAATATCTCATTGTCTATTACATATTCAGTCTTTGCTTCCTAACCCTTCTGTAAAAAAAAAAAGTTCATAGTTCCCAAGAAAACGGGTAATAAGTATCTGTTTTTTGGTATAAAGATGTCGTACCGTTTTCATAAAAGAACTACGCCTTCGATTGCCTTTAACTTCCTGATTAAATATAAATTTGTTTGCTATGCAAAGATCACCCAGAAAGTCACCGTTCTCGAGAAACTACATTTAGAAAGAAAATACTTATGTCGTGGATGTAAAATGCCTTGTCTAGACAGCTAGAGCATTGGTGTTTTACAGTTAATGATTTGGAAATACTACTGGTATTGTCGTTGAGAGACTCGGGGAAATGAATTCCTCTTATAAGAGAGAATTTCATTCTCAATTTAAACGTAGGAAGCAAGTTTGAATTGACCGCCAAGTGATTTAGTTAGGCGGCAGGAATTTCTACAAAGATGGCGCCACGCGCAGGCGCGAAGTGCGGAAGTGATGCCCTCTTAGCAGTGCGGAGCTCGTCAAGAAAATGTGGGGTATCGTTTTGTCTGCTCGTCTGCTGCGATTTCGACGTAATGGCACGAGTTTCCTTAATTCCACGGTGGCATACACGACCTGCAGGAAAGGCCAGCTGATATTCTGCAGAGGAACCCAATATTATATCTCCAAGTTTACCTGCCCCATATCCGTTACTGGAATAAGGGTAGGTATTCTAACCTAGTTTCTTTTCCCCTAACTTGCCGAGATTGCGACATTCCTCGGTTTTTAAATTAGAACGTCTGTCTCACGGACTCCCAATATGTAATATTTTATAATCAAGATACTTTTGACAAGGACGTCTGTTATAAATCGAGTCACGTCGATTCTAATCAAAAACTGTTGAGTTTAGATTTCATTATCATTAAGCAAGTCATTCAATTCTAACTTGTAATTTTCCTCCTTAAATATCTAGACTTTGTTTGCTTTTTAAACGTAATGTCTTTTTCCTTAATGGCTGAGAAAAAGTGGTAACAGAGATATTTAGAGATAAATAGTACAAGTTGATATTAACGAACGTGCTCTTTTTGTAGATTTGTTGACAGCTGACGGGTAATGGGTCGTACTACAAGAAAGCGGAAGAAAAAGAAGAGAGACTTAAATTTAAAATTAGAGTTTGAGGATATCGCAATTTCGGACCATCTAAAACCTTGGATGTTGTCCAAATGTTGGGTACCAACATGTAATCTGGTTCCTTGTCGCTTTCCCGCCACTGGCAGAGGCCTCCTGACATTAAAAGACATAAAAAGTCATGAAATACTTTTCCGACTACCAAAAGATTTGTTACTAACAACTTCAAAAGTAGCAGACAGTGAAATTATTAATTTATTCATAAGAGAAAAAAGTTATACGGCGCAGTGTATATTATCTGTATTTTTGATATACGAAAAACACATAGGTGTCCAATCGTACTGGAAACCGTATCTAGATACTCTTCCCGATTCTTATTTTAATCCAGATTTCTGTTCTACTCAGGAGAAACAAGTTCTTCCAAATTTCATTAGAGTATTTCTTGATTTTCAATGTCACAAATTCATGGCTGATTATCTTATGGTTAAAGAGTCTATAAATAGTTTAATGCTTCAAAGCAGGCATTCGTGTCCTCATTGCAGTCAGTCGTTAAGCGAAATTATATCATTTTCAGCTTTCAAATGGGCATACTTTACCGTGAATACTAGAGCAGTTTATATAAACGAAATGAATAAGCAGAACAATGTGTTAAATGTAAAAAGTCCAGATAATATCGCTTTAGCACCATTTTTAGATTTGTTTAATCATTCCTTTGAAGCAAACGTTAATGTCGGATTGATCACGGATGATACCGGGAAGGAATTTTATCAGATCAAAACTCTAAGACCTTTCCAGAAAGGCTCACAGGTTTTTATTAATTATGGTGGGCATAATAACATTAAGTTGTACATCGAATATGGCTTTTACATTCCTGCTAATCCACTCGACGAAGTATACTTTGATCTGACCGATGTACAATCGGTACTCCCAATCTCAGAATATGCTCTTAATTTTATTATGTCTCATGGTTTCAATAAAAGTATGGGCTTCACCTCGGAAGGGTTGAATCATAATGCAAAGATGACATTATATTTGGCAACTACAAAGTCTACAAAGAAATCATGGAATTTTACATTGTTCGGTTCTGGACTGGACTCTGAAGATTTATCGACTGTACAAAATCTTGGAAACAAGATACTGCAATTGAAAAAGATCGATTTAGAGGGCCAGTTGTTTAAAATGAAGCAAATAGTCGGAGGGAGTCAAAGTTTTCGCATCGCTTTGAATCTTTTGCAGGAATACATTTTTATATTGGACCGAGCATCAACGAAACTTATTTCAAGAACGTAAAATTCCATGAATTATTGTAACTAGTATAATAATTATTGTACATAAAAATGGAGTGTAACACGTAGCAATTTCTCATTGTACCGATATTAATAAAACGAACAATCGTAAAACCGGGTCAAGGAATATTCATATCATCGAACTCTTAGGCACACGGTAAAGGCAGTCTTATTTTTCAGTGTTGCAGCGGTAATGTACTGGACCGAGCACAGAAGAAAAAAAATGTGCCACAGGTTCAGTCCGTGGTTACACCGGTTAAGTTCGCACTGGTGGTCGCGGGGATTACTGGCGCAAAACCAGGACAACAGAAGCGAAATTGTTTTCATCCTGGAGTATCCAACCTGAGTAGAGAAGGTGTCAATTTTCAGGACAGTCCACCCGTCACTAGCACGGATATGATAAAAGCTATGCTCGCCTACATCTGGCCTAAGGTCTGTCGAGTGCCTTCGATACCTTTACTGTATTTGTAATTACTTGTACTACTATTTTAAGTAATGCCACGCAGCACTAATAATAATCATGAATCTTTCCAGGACGACCCTGATATACGGAATCGAGTTAAAGTCGCCGTTGGCCTGCTGGTCGGGGCGAAACTCTTGAATGTCGGTGTGCCATTTCTTTTCAAGTACGCAGTAGACTTGTTGAATGCGCAAACGATGACAGCGACCGGCGAAGCCGCCCTGAATTTAGCGACAGCCCCTGCGACCCTGGGCACGGCAGGAGTGTCGTTACTCCTTGGATGTACGTACAGAGTAATGGAATTCCCTTATCGACAGCTTTTCATGCGATTTCCGCGGGCTTTCTCGTGAATAGATGGCATCGCTCGGGCTGGTGCTGCCGGCTTCAACGAGCTGCGAAACGCTGTGTTCGCCAAGGTGGCTCAGCACTCCATTCGCAAGATAGCGAAAAACGTGTTCCTGCACCTACATAACCTAGATTTGGCTTTTCACCTGAGCAGACAGACTGGAGCCCTCTCGAAGGTAATTCGACGACAAAGTTCGCGTGTGACGTGAATCGTGGCCTTTTAACGTATAACCTCACCTGTGGCCTGTTGCACGCAACTTAGCCTCAATTTAATGTTCGATCATAGACGATCGACAGAGGAAGTCGAGGGATTAACTTCGTACTGTCGGCTATGGTGTTCAACGTGGTGCCCACGATCTTTGAGTTGGCTTTAGTCAGTTCGATCCTGGGCCTGAAGTGCGGAGGAGAGTTCGCAGCCATCGCAGTGGGTTGCGTAAGCGTTTATACACTGTTTACTCTGGCTGTGACTCAATGGAGAACCAAATTTCGTGTTTACATGAACCAAGCAGAGAACGAAGCTGGGAATAAGGCGATCGATTCTCTGATCAACTACGAGACGGTGAAGGTACTTTGAATTTTTATGGGAGCAGTCGCCTCTACGAGACTCTGGAGGATTTGATTCCCAGCCGAGATTTTCTGCTACAGTACTTCAACAACGAAAAATTCGAAGCCGAAAGATACGACCAGTCTTTGAAGAAATACGAAGCTGCTTCCTTGAAGACCAGCACTAGTCTTGCCATGCTCAATTTTGGACAACAAGCGATATTTAGCGGTGCCTTGAGTTTGATAATGATACTCGCTGCCAGAGATATCGTCGCTGGTAAGACTTGTTTGTGAAAAGTGCATTATGAGCAAACGATGGATAGAAATAAAATTATACCGGACGTGTTTGTGAGTGCAGGCAACATGACCGTCGGTGACCTGGTGATGGTGAATGCGTTGCTGTTTCAACTCTCGGTGCCCTTAGGGTTTCTGGGATCTGTATATAGAGAAGTGAGACAAGCATTCATCGACATGCAAACCATGTTTACATTAATGACTATGCCGCCTGCTGTTACGGTACAGTAATAATATTCATCGTTCACTTATCATATTTTATAAGAAACTAACTCGGAGACCCTTATATAATATTTCATGTGCAGAATAAGCAGCATGCCGTTCCATTCTCCATAAGCCCGAACAACTCCGAGATAAAATTCGATCACATTAATTTTCAATACGTCGAAGGCAAGAAAATCTTCGACGACATGACATTCACGATCCCAAGTGGCAAGAAGGTAGCCATCGTGGGAGGTTCTGGCTCGGGGTAAGTTGACATTGTGATATTAATGATTCGTACGATGAGGTGTATACAATCAAAGACTTTTTTAATGGGCACAATTATAGGAAGACGTCTGTGGTGCGATTGTTGTACCGATTTTTCGAACCTCAAAGTGGATGCATAAGTATCAACGGTCAGAACATCGAAGAGGTCGATTTGGACGACCTGAGACAATCTATCGCCATTGTGCCTCAGGTATGAGACTAGGAAATTCTCAGAAATAGTTTGGTCTGGTTTAATAGAAACTATTCGTTTGACGAACGACATTGATTGCAGGACTCGGTTCTATTCCACGAGACCATATTTTATAACCTCCATTACGGGAATCTACGCAAGCCGAAGGAAGCTGTTTACGAAGCCGCGAGAATGGCCAATTTACACGAGTCTATTCTGAAGTGGCCAAAGGGCTACGACACTCCGGTTGGAGAGCGAGGATTGAAATTAAGCGGAGGTGAGAAACAAAGAGTCGCTATTGCTCGAGCGATCTTGAAGGGTAGTCCGATATTGATATTCGACGAAGCCACGTCGTCCCTGGACTCTATAACGGAACAGGTACGATATTCGTTATTAACGCGTGTTAAAAAATTAATCTGGAGTGACGTAGACTACGCTTTAACTTTGTAGAATATATTGGAGGCGCTACGTCGAGCGACGAGCGGCAGGACTTCCATTGTCATAGCGCATCGTCTTTCGACGGTAATGGACGCTGATGAGATTCTGGTCCTGGGAAGTGGGAAATTGGTGGAAAGAGGAACGCACACCGAGCTTCTGGCGATGCCGGATTCGATGTACAATAAATTATGGGAAGCTCAGCATGCAGGAGTCACGAAGCACAGCGAGGGACGCGATAGTAAAATCAGGACCGGTGGCAGTGCATAAGACCTGTGATAATGGTAACACATTGTTCGTTAGTAGCCTCGGTTATATATTTTAAACATGGAACGGAAATTACTTAGATTTACGTAGCTGTAAGATGAAAGTATTTCGATACGGATTAGGGTAAGGAATCTGAGGACGATGGATTTATTTTTAACGGTACCTTAAATTATTCACATAGTTACACTCCGAGTCAGACTTTGCAATAATTTAGCTGGCATGCATTGCAAAAAAGTGTATATAGACCGTAAATTGTTAATGTTGACGCTAACATTGTTATTTCGCGGTAAGGCAGTGGCGTTATTGTAAATATGTAGACATCCTGTTAGTAGCCGATAAGTTGTACCACGACTGTAGTATTTTCAAACTACCAATGTTCATCGGTGACTCATCCTACGACTCTATGGAAGATGCTGGCATCCTTCATCTATTTTATGGCATTATAACGTTAAAGTACTCGCAAATATCGACATAACTTCCCTCAAGCTGACAAATTTGAAAGATACTCTGTACACATAATGCTATGTTTATGCACCGAAAGGTGACAGTCTTCGGTGAATACTGCCAAGGCGGCTTGCCATGATACATGTACGATTCCAAGAATAAATGCAGTTGCAAAACATGACCGTAACGAGGATCTGGAGACCGTAGAAATTAGGAATTACATGTTGGAGCAGTACGGTGCATTCTCTTGTTAAAATGATTATAATACTATCGATGGATAAAATATTCTTGTATTATTTTTAACTCACTAGCTGGAAAAGACGAGAGTACAGAGAGTACAGTAAATTAAAAACTCTAATATTAATTAACTGTTCCAATAGCAATTAACTTAACTGTAAATCGTTGGAAAAAAAGACATATTGATTCATGGCGACGCTTCCTGAGTTGCCATGACGACCGCGTAAAAACAATCATGGATCCCAATCGGACGGAAATGTGTTTCTGACAATCATAAATGTCGCTGCGAGTATTCCTCTGCTACATTCGGGGAATGTCCATTGGCAAGCGTAAAATGTAATTCAGACGGTGGTGGCTGCAAATGTAAAATGCAAACTGAAGCGCCTCAGAGCTCTGCACTGCCGGAAGTGTCTCTTGACGGGCGCAAAAGTTTCGCCAGGTAAACGTAAACTATTAATGGAATGTCAGTCATCTGGGGGGAATGTCACTGGTGACACGCTTTGGCGAGTTATTTTCCACCGCGATAATTGTTATCGACTTCGACGCTTTCCTGTAAATCTTCCGCTTATAATGTCTATTGCGAGTAGGCTTCTCTTGAATTATTTCCATTTTGTCAATTATTTATATTTGTTGCATTGGACATCGTTGTCTGTATAGTTACATTTTTCTAGGAAAGAAGTCTCCGACACCAGAATTTCACCTGCTGGGATCACAAACCATTCGACATGCAAGAGCGCTGCGTACCTCCTGTCCAATCGAAAGCAGCTACACCCCATTGTTGGTAAGTTGAGGTTATCGAGTGGAATGTAAATAGTGGCACTGCTTTTTAAACCTGGCAAACTGTAGTCTTAATTTAAATTATATCGACAGGAGGTCCATATAGAAGTAGCATGAGGATGTATGCAGTATCGGAGCCTGCGAAGTCTGCCAGTAAAAGTGCCATCGGACAGAGAGTCATGTCTGCAAAGATGCTGCGGGTCAAGCAGCTCCAGAATCAACTGTCCGATGCGCATTATCATCTGAACGTGAGCGAACGTTTATTCATTGTTTATTAAGGATTTTAATTACCATGACGAGAGTCCTTGGAGTGACTTTGGTCGATGGGGTCTCCAGGAACTGGCCAACGAGAACAGATTGCTGAAGGCTTTGCAGAAGAGGCAGGATACCGCGTTAAGGCGATACGAAGGTACCAATGCAGAGCTGCCGAGGATCATTCATTCCCACCACGAGGAACTGAGAGTGTTGCAGACGAAATACAAGAAGCTGAAGGCCCAGCATCACGCCACGTGCTGTTTACTGAAAGACAAGGAAAACGAGCTGCATGCGTTACAAGTGAGTGGATAAGAAAAAAATGGTAAAGCTTGCAACGACTGCTCCAGGATCAAGATTTCCTTCTAACGATAATTTTCAGTCGCAAAACAGACACCTTTTGCAGCTGAGCAAGGATAGAAATCTGGGGGAACGGGAGAAATTGCAGACGGAGGTTTCCGACTTGACCCACAGAATTCAGCAACAACAGGAGACGATCCAGGTGATTCGTTACGCGTTGTTCTATATTTTGTCCAGAAGTTTTAATGTGCGATTTTCTTCGACAGACCCTGAACAGGAAGCTGACCCTCGAGACGAAGAGCTTGAAGCACCAGCTTAGCTCGGAAATTGCCAAGCACAAGGAGACGCAGAAAGTGCTCGGCGACACTCTGGAGAAGATGAAGTTCCTGGAGGAGATGCTCGACAACAGAGAGAGGAGGTTGTTCGCTTCTGGACAGCTGCCTGTTTTTGGAAAAGCCAAAAATCTGGCCAGCCAGTCCCTCATTAATCTCGACGGCGGCAGGTGAGCTGGTCCGAATTAAAAATCCGTAAATGACGCTACAATTGTTATGTAAAAATTATGTCAGTCGTATATATTGCTGCGGTTTTTCAGTACCACCATAAACATTCTGAAACCTACCAGCAGAGGTAAAGGAAATCAAGGCGAAGCGCAGAACGAAGTCTTGGTAAGCTGGACCGATATGGTGTTTATTTTTTATTTTATTTTTTTTTTATGGTAGATATTACGGGAAATATATTCGTAATTATGAGAGTATTTTCTAAATTATATTTTCCGTCATTTGCAGCCGACCCTTGCAACCTCGGACGTCGCCGATGGTAATAAACTCGGTATGCCTCTTTCGAGCTCGACTTCGGAATTTTTGTCGGTCTCGCCGAAAACCGAGACCATGGCGAGTTTTCAGCAGCTCAGGAAGTTCCGCCTGCAGAGATCATCTCCGGGGCGAGAGGGTTTCTCCGTGGAGAAGCTGAGAGATCGAACGGAGGAGTCCAACGCAGGGAGTCCGGAGGATTCGAAGAGGTCGCAGAACGTCGGCGAGGGCGATCGACTTACCCTGAAGGACTACGAGAGAGACGTCAAGAGGTTCGAGGAGAGCCTCGAGGAAAGGCGAGGCAAGGGTGTTTACGAGCTCCCGAAGGAGCTGAAGAAGGAGTTCGGATACTCCAGCGACGAGAGCGGAAGCGAAGACGAGTCTAGACCTTTGGAGGAGACCTATCCACCTCTGGGCTCGTTTAGTAGGTCCAAGGAATTGTACGCCAGGTTTGTAAATTAAATTCAATCGTATAGCGGGTGCAACGAGGGTTGAGCGCAGGAAGCTATTTACTCTCTGTGCGGATTAATAAGCGACTCTTCTTTTAGCGCTAAATAGATTGACCCTTTCGTAGCACCTTGAAGACTACAAACGACACTTTTTTTAACGCTTTTTTAAACAAAAGCGTGATACGAATGTGAAATTAAATCTTCATCGCAGAGAGGGAGGGTAACTGGAAATGTTTATCTCCTCTTCAGGTTAATAAGCGACAAGGATGGCAGTAGAGGTACCCAGGAGTTCAGCTCGACGAAGAAGATGCCTCGGTCGGTCACGGAAGAGGATCTGGAAAAATTCATCAGCCAGGAAGTCAGACTGAGCCAAAGGTCCGTTGTCAAAGGGACGAGTCAGCGGATATTCTCGAGCAGCGAGACCAAAGTGAGAGCGCGGAAAGCTGGGGATGCCGAGACTTTTCCTCAGGGTGATACGAGTGCCAACGAGTTTTCGAGGAATCCTGACGAGATGGACTTCATGGAGGAGCGAGTCGAGGTCTCCGAAAGGGACGCGACGAGTCCTGGGGAAAATCTTGTACGGCTCAACGTAAATGCGTCCGATTCCGATTCCGAATCCGAGAGGTCTACCGTAAGGAAAGGAGGTCTATCCTCCGCGACCCAAAAAGACAAAGTCGTCAGCGAAATCCCAGACAATGGCCAACTGCGGTTGGTAAACATCACCAAGTCGTGGAGCGAGCTGCGAGAGAAAATCATGAAAGATCGAGAAACTTCCGAGCGTCAAATTAGGGCTCTTGAAAACAGCATAAAGGAGGATAAACTGGCCAAAAGTGAAACGAATTTTCCCTCGATCTTCAAGGACGACTTCGAGTCTCTCTTGTCCTCCAAAAAGGACTCCGAAGCGCCCTCGAGGAACCTCTTGAAGGAAGACGAAGACGCCGTGAACGAGGATGATGGAAAAATTCTGCTGGACTCGGAAATTAATTCTGAGATATTAGAGGTCTCGCATGAAAACACGGAATGCGAGGATAAAGCGGAATTAAATGGTTTGGCCGAGTTGAAGAGGGAATTGCTGGTGCTCCAGAAACCGAGAAAATTTAAGGAAGAGTCGCACCCAGGTGGAGAGGATTTTCTTTCCACGGTGGAAGAAGAATTACTCAAAACTGACGCTGCCCATGAAAGACTGAAGAGTTTGGTGATAGGGACCGATACGAGTGATGAGAAAATTGTGAGGAATCTCGACGAAGAAGTTAGAGAGAGGTTAGATGGCTCGGGACCTGATAGCTTAGGAAAATTGCAAGGTGAGGTGCAATATTCTGTTAAAGCGAAGATAGACGAAGAGTCAATGTTGGAAGAGCTCAAGGGGGAGGTTTCCAAGGACTCGAGGACGATTAATTATAACAAGGAGAAATTGTTGGCTGCGATGAAAGCTATAGATGATAATGAAAATATCGAGTTCATCGATCAGAAGTCTAGGAGGAGCATCTCCTCGAACAGGCTGCAAATTACTGAGAATCTTTACAGAGGCCTGCCGACTCACTCGAAGAAGAAAGACGATCTTATAAAGGAGATATTTGGGGAAGGAAAGGCGGATAATAAAGTCAGAAACGGTTGCAGCAAATTGCATTAACCTCGGATAGCGACGTTCCTGGGGACGTCTGAGAGGTTATGTTGAAAGTTGTCGAAAGGAATTAAAAATAGGAATATTTGTAAATATTTTACATGGAACCTGCCGTGGAAAACTATCTCGTGATGTTCGATTTGGGCAAAAACCAATTAGTTGTAAATTAAAGGATAGTGGATGAAGCAACGGCTGCACTTTGCGTTTTAGATTTCAGTAATTTACTGGAATCGTTTTGAAGAATGATATCTAGGAAAATCGTGTCTGTACAAAGTGTATTTAGTCGACGAGACGTGTACAAAATGTCGATGTACGATGTTCTACTTCGTTGTGACTTAAGTGGGAATAAATAATTTTCTTATGTAAATAGGATCGAGAACTTCGGCGTGCCAGAAATTAAATGTGGGATAGGACATCGATCCGCTGAGGAATGTGAGCAAACAATTTAGAAAAGTACAAACCCTTTTTATTGAACTATGAACTTACCAATTATTTTAATAGTACATTATCGTTCGCATGAGCAAAATATAACATACGTTAAATCTTTATTAACAATACGTCTCGACGTATGACTTATCTGTACAAGACAGCACCGCAATGTTAATTCGATACATTTTCTATACGTAATGTCAGTGACTGGAATTTTACAGGTTACTTTATAAATTAAAGAAGGTTTTAAGAAATACTGCCATGGATCGGCTCTTAAAATATAAAAATTTTAATAGACGAACGAAGGTGGAATTCGGCTGAATAAATTTACGTTAGTTAATAACAAGTTTGCACGAACTTGGAAAGTTCGCCAATTTAAGTTAATCTCAAACCGAGTGGAATATTCAATAAAAAAAAACTTGGCTGTAACATTTGATAAAACGATTTGCAATATAATCATTCATTCGTACGTTCACTCTTAGAATATACAGTAATAAACGACACATGTAACGTGTCAGTATAAATATTTACCAATCGTAAAACTTAATACAGGACGGATCATTCGAACTGATATTTGGGCTGTTTAGCGTTAACTCTGATCAGTTCGCAGTACTCAAGCTTTGCTAGAAATCTCCCATTGCTGCTATTATATTATACAGTGCAGTCCTTGCGTCACTGTCTTGGAAAACTGTTAAAACCTCCATGGCTCGCTGAGAATGCTCCTTTTGTAATTGTTTCGTGAGTTCAATTCCAGGGCCGGTCATTACAATGTCATAAACCTAGATATTGAATATTTAATGAAGTGAGTCGATCATCAAACCTGTAGCATTTAATTAAGAAATTAATTAGAACCGATCGAGAAACTTACCTTGGAATAGTCTACGTTCTGAACGGATTCCAATCCTTTATCGATTTCAATTAGAATCGATGGATCGTGTTCTATATGAAACATTACTGGTGCCGAACATAGATTGAACTGAGCGGTAGGATCTTTACTAATAAATGGTCCCAGATCAAGACAAGCCTACAAGAGAAAAGAAAGCACGAATTTAACAATGTAAATATTTTGATATTAGTTTCCAGATGCATTTCTTATCTACCTGCCAAGCCAGAGCCAAGTGCTTTCCAAATTTATAGCCTTGCACTTGAATGTCATCGCTGTGTCCTGCCAACTTCAATGTTCCTTGACAGGATTTTCCAAGTAGAGCACCGGCACTTAATACATTCCGGAGTGTCCATTCCTTCACTGCATAACCAGTGCGATCTACAGGAGGAATGGATGGCAGTGGATTGTTTTGACTATCTCGCCGTCCAATAAATTCTGCCTCTGCCAAGTCACGAACGGCGCTAGACATCAGCTCGACAAGCTAAAATGGCAGGTATTTGATATTAACGTCATGGTAAATCGAGCCAAATAATTTCTGTTACATTTAAAATGTATAAATATTATCGATGGAGATAATTGTACTTACATCTTGATTTCTAAGAGCAGCTAATTCTGCACTACTATTGCCAAGGAGATAATCCCCACTTAAGAGTGCTATTTTGTTACCAAAAGTCATGTCATTCAGTTCAGAAGTTTCCGAATAGACATCCGGCTGAATGTTTACGAGACCTTTGTGGACGACGTGACTAGTACGTATCATTTCGGTAACTTCTGCTAATGCTCGTTGACTAAAATATAGTAATACATGTTCACAATAATATTAATAATCGTTAGCTGCACTTGTCGGTTCCTCGAGCTGCTTACCTGTGCAGAACCCCTGCCGCTTTATCCTCTTCCATGTCGTCGACATTTAAGTGGCCAGCTGCTTTTGAAATCAAAAGAACAATTAGACCCCACGCTTGCATGTTATTGCGCCCATTGTATATTAAGCTCCTATCAAGTAAAAAATTCACAATTGACATCGAGTATAAGTATTCGAGACACGTTCAAAGACATCTTACTCACTTGGCAGTTTTCAACAGCGGGTGATTCGAGCCGACCAACTTCCTGAGATGCAGAGCAACATTGGCGATTTCATCGCTGAGCAGCCAACGAAGGCTGAGAAACGAAGTGGGATAACCCACGATCTTCTCAGCCTCCGAAACCGCTCTGTTCCAATCGGGCTTCTGATTCGTCACAGCCTTTTCCACGAACTTGCAGGGCTCGCTGCAGTGGAAATGTCTTCGATCCGCAGAAGGAAGCCCATATTTGTTGCATAACAACGTCGCGGTCGCGTTGCTCCGTTTCAGCATCAACAATACCGCATTGTTGAAAGACATTTTCCAAGAGCAACGTTTGTCACGAGCGAATCAGCTTGGCGCACTGCCAACAACATCGGTCGTACGGACGTCGACAAATATTTCTATATAACTGACGTTTCAAAACTTTCTCTTTTGCCCTGATTTTCTACGGTAACCTCCTTCAAACGGTCCGCCGATTTGCCGAAGTGTCGGGACCTGGAATACTCCGACTCTCGACAAGCCAACGTGGCGATGACACCCTTGCCAGCGGCTGTCATTCTATTCATTAACGAGCCGCCTGCGATACTTCAAGGTTTCTGAAAGAACTTCATGAAGTTCCTTGCTTCCAATTACACATTCATAAGTTCATTAACGTCGAGTAACTTTCACATTCTTCCTTTCCTCCGAATTCCTCGACAGCTACTCATCAGAGATGAGTTCGGGGATTGCTCACGCAGGATCGCGCGTTCGCATCTTGTGCTGCCCCCAGTGGAGGATGCGGACGGCTAACGCACTTGCCACCTGTTACTCCTCCGATGGTAAGTGCGTTAGTCGTGCGCATCCTCTATCTGGAGGCAGCACAGGCGAGAACGCACAACCCTGCCCGTGAGCAATCTCCCAACTCATCTCTGCTCATGATGGGAATTATGCTTAAAAAAACAGGAGACGATTGCGCCATCTGTCGACGGAATATAGAGTCAGGTTTAAAGGTCAGTGATTTTTCTCCATAACGCGATTCTTAATCGTGTATTATTAGTGCCCGACAGTTTCCTGATGATTTTTGTTTCGGTTTTATACCGGCAAAATGTGGGAATACTAGAATGCTAATGTCAAAATAAAAATGCAATTGTGCTTGAATTTAATATGGTTATTCTGTCTTTTATAACCTAGTAGGTTTTTCTAGTCGAGCAGCTGTGGACAAGTAAGCAAACTGTTTCGTGGGTTTTCTAACCTATTACTGGAGGGTACATTGTGTATATTTCAGGTATCTTTTATATTTTGTAGCGTTAAAATGAGTGGATTAAGACTTTTATCGAGTCGTGTCGGGGTTCAGATGTTATGTAAATTGTTTTCTAAAACATCCACTCATACCAGATTTAAATCCTGTCTCTCCCATGGAAGTACCTTTAATGTTTACGACCACAAAGAGTACAGCACTGTTGAGAATAAGGATTTAAATGTAAGCGGTCAGTGTGCTGAAGTACAAGTCGGAACTACAGAGGCACGCTCATTAAAACTGGACATTTCGTCAGGACCTAGTCTGATGTCATTTATGGAACAACCTTGCTTAAATATCCCAACGAGCGAGAAAGTACCTTACTTGCCTAATGTTAATGGCAATGGTCTTAACGGTAAGTGGCAAAGTGTAGGAAGAGACGCAGTATTTATTAGATATTATTCTTACTCTCTGTTGCAGTTTATTTTGAGGTATACGGTTGTCAGATGAATGTCAATGATACCGAAATAATTTGGGCCATACTGACACGTAAAGGATACGTGAAAACCGATTCTTTGTCAAAAGCGGACATAGTTCTACTTATAACTTGTGCAATTAGGGATAATGCGGAAAATAAGATTTGGGCTAGAATAGGTCAGCTCGATGCCTTGAGGAAAACTAGAAACAAGTCTATGAAATTAAACTTTAAAATTGGAATCCTAGGTAAGTGTCAAATAAAATATGCGATCGCTGTTTTAATATAAAATGCATGTTCGATAATACCGTACATTCACAGGATGTATGGCAGAACGTTTAAAACATAAGCTCATCGAAAAAACCAAGGCAGTCGACATCATAGCTGGTCCAGATAGTTACAAGGATTTACCGAGGTTACTTGCAATTTCTGAGGACAACGTCACTGCGATAAATGTTCAATTATCTGCAGACGAAACATATGCCGATATCACACCTGTGCGACTGAGCCTGAACAGCAAATCTGCCTTTGTGTAATGCCTCTAAATTTTCAATCACACCGAATAGATAAAACCATTTGTTAATCAATTTATCTAATCCAGGTCTATAATGAGAGGATGCAACAATATGTGCACTTACTGCATAGTTCCGTTTACTAGAGGTCGGGAGAGGTCTAGGCCAATTACCAGTATATTAGACGAGGTCAAACACTTGTCCGATCAAGGTGTAAAAGAAGTAACCCTTCTCGGACAAAATGTAAATAGCTACAGAGATACATCCGAGTCAGCATTTTACGTGGACAGCCGGAAGCAGACGAAGCTGGCCAAAGATTTCAGGACAGTATACAAGCCTCAGGTTGGAGGGCTGCGATTCAGTGATCTTCTCGACAAGGTGTCACTTATCGATCCAGAAATGAGAATAAGGTGTGTTGAAATTCTGAATATAAATAAATAAAGATCCTTTATGAAGCATTACGTCTTAACATTTTCCACAGATTTACATCGCCACATCCCAAGGACTTCCCCGATGAAGTCCTGCACCTGATCGCAGAGAGACCGAACATCTGTCGACAGATTCACCTTCCAGCCCAGAGCGGAAATTCGTCCGTCCTGGAAAGGATGAGACGTGGGTATTCAAGGGAAGCTTATCTAGACCTAGTGGCACACATTCGGGATCTTCTCCCTGACGTGGTTCTGTCTAGTGACTTCATAGCTGGCTTCTGCGGAGAAACAGAGGATGAATTCGAGGACACCTTGTCTCTGATACGTACCGTAAAATACAATAGTGCATTTCTATTCGCGTACAGCATGCGAGAGGTAAGGAAGCTTCAGCAGAGAATCTAGTTCTCCGATGACAGGATATTTCTTTTTATAAGAAAACTACGGCACACCATCGCTTGAACGACGACGTCCCGCGGAAGATCAAACACAACAGGATGCAGAAAATGACGCACGTGTACAGAACGGAAGTAGAGAAATTGAACATGGAGCAAATCGGTCAACACCAGCTGATCCTTATAGAGGGGGTAAACGACAGTAATATTCACATGGGCATAGATTTTAATTATAAGTCATGAATGATCTTCCTTGGTGTTTCCGCAGTCCAGCAAAAGGAGCCACTTGGATCTTCAAGGACGGAACGAGGGAAATATCAGAGTAATTATTCACAACGAGATGCTCTCGAAGAACATCCACTACAACAATGGCTTCAAAGATATCAAGAGCGGTGATTACGTCGTGGTGCAGATTTGTCACGCAAATTCCCAGACCTTGATCGGCGTGCCGCTTTATCACTCCTCGATCTCCGAATTCTCCTCGCGGATGCAGAGATCTTATGTCGGTCGTATTTAAGAAAAACTAGGAGAAAAATATCCGCGAAGCTCTGGTCCGTTGAGACTTTCAGACTCGAGTGTATAATGTAAATCTTATATTATTGTACATACGTGACGTACGGAGAATATATACATATTCACACGTAATAAATAGCTTCCAACGAGGTTTCGTACATCTGTACACGGTATCGTTTCTTACACGATTTATATGTTACGGAAGGTCGACACGCAAAAGAGCACTTGTCTCCCTCGAAGTACGAAACGAGGAAAGAAAAATCGCGAGTAAGGAGCAATCCAATATCTTCACGGGATAAAGGCTCGTAAAAGTTGGCCTGAATCTTCGATTTACAGTCTCATAGTCTTCGCTCATTTTTATTCATCCTTTTTACAAGCGCAGATACGTCCGGACGGGACAACTATTTCTGTCATTTCGTGAAGTATTCTGTATTTTTGTACCTCATGAAGTATTCTGTATTTTCATACCTCATGAAGTATATTTTCATACCTCATGAAGTATTCTGTATTTTCATACCTCATGAAGTATTCTGCATTTTCATACCTCATGAAGTATTCTGTATTTTCATATCTCATGAAGTATCCTGTATTTTCATACCTCATGAAGTATCCTGTATTTTCATACCTCATGAAGTATTCTGTATTTTCATACCTCATGAAGTATCCTGTATTTTCATACCTCATGAAGTATCCTGTATTTTCATACCTCATGAAGTATGACCAGACTTCAGAATTGTACCCATCTCCGACTTAGGACCCACGCACGCCCACGTATATCCGTTTTTTATAAATCGAGTCAGCTGGAGGTCCTATTCACGTGGAACATTCTAGGATAGCTTAATCGGTTTAGAACCCCCTAATCCGATTACCACATACCTCGTCCTCGAGAACACGGAAGCGTCGGGTTTGATTTGGTAGTACGACGTCTTTGGAGATCCCTACGGTAATTCCTTACCCTCCTAGTTATGGCGGACGTGGATGCCTTCTCTGCGGATGCTCCATGCCACTAGCTATGACACGTGACAAGCTTAGCTTCGAAGGCATTCCCGGGCACCAGTGGACATTTGTGTCGTTTCTATAATTTCTATCATTTCTATTATTTGTATCGACCCGCTAGACGAGACTCGCGGTCCCTATATTAATTACAACGTTATCGGCGCCTCTTTCGTACACGGTGAGGTCGTGACCCCTGGGGTGTTCCAGGAGCGCGGCAAGCTGTTCCCCGTTCGGAAACGCCCCGTGTGAAGATGCCGGCAGGATCACGTCGCACTCTAACTGACCTGCGAGCAGGGATCCATTTTTATATAACTATAAATAATTATTAAAGGAAATCCAGGGCGAATGCGTATTAAGATGTATTAAGGTGAAGTGAAACACGTCGAGGAACTTGATCAACGTCGATAAAGAAGATTTTTCTAAATGCCTACGTTGCCGACGTTAGTTTTTATATCGACAGCTGGGTCGAATTATATTGGATATCGTACCAAATGGCATACCCCACCTGTCGTTTTCGTACAATAAATATCAAGAAATCCAAGTAAAACTCCAGAAATCCTCTGGATTCATGCCTTCTGGGGCCCTAATTGACTGCGGAGGGACCCCTTGCGCCATCTGTGATTTCCAGGTCAATTAAATTTTCACTCCGAGACCTCGTATTACCATCGTTTCAGCATAGAAGCGCATACAACACTTGTTTTGCCTTTATCCCGTTCAAATGCGAGTTTATCGATTACCAGAGTGTTCTAAATTATCGTAAAATTGTCCTGACCCTTTCGTTTCTCATATCAGAGCCTTCGATAATTGTATATCGATCGAAATATGAGAGCTCGACGCCATTTTGGTTTTGGTCTGGGCTGAGTTAAAAAATTTTGTTAAAAAATCCAAATTTTGTATGTGTCAGGACAATTCTTAGATGATCAGGAGTGATGTGTCAAAGTTTTGGATAGTTTGGTCTAATACCCTTAAAAAAAAGTGTTGTGTTCGAATCGACCGATTTGAAGGGGGTTTCGCTTCACCTTAATGCGGATGTATGAAATGCGATCGTTTTTACCCGATAGCGAGGGAGAAGCGCCCTTGCTGGAGCCGTACATCCGCGTGCTGTACCCGGAGTCGTTGTGCGCGTCGTGCAGTGGCGGCGTCGGACTGTAGACGGTGTTGCGCGTCCTGTAGGGCATCCTGGCGATGGTCTCGTAGTGCACGTTCTCCGGCACGCCCTTGCCGGGCGCGATTCCGTTCAGCTGCTCCTGGGGGTCGGGGCCGTCCTCGCCCTCGCTGCTCTCGCTCTCGTTACCTGGGAGGATTTCAGGATAAGTGGAGACGAAATCTCGAAACAAAAAGTCCAATTATTTTACTTGAAATACATTATTAATATACCCCGGGTATTTTCCTAGGGAAAACCTCTAGACATTTTTGGTAAAGTATTAGAGATTAATTTAGTAGTTTTCCACCTTCCGCGCGCGAACAGACGAAATCTCGAAACAAAAAGTCCAATTGTCTTACTTGAAATACATTATTAATATACCCTAGGGAAAAGGAAAAAAAAAATTAATATACCCTAGGGAAATTAATATACTCTAGGGAAAAGCTCGAGACATTTATGGCAAAGTATTAGAGATTAATTTAGTAGTTCTGCACCTTCCGCGCGCGAACAGACGAAATCTCGAAACAAGAAGTCCAAATATCTTACTTGAAATACATTATTAATATACCCCGGGTATTTTCCTAGGGAAAACCTCTAGACATTTTTGGTAAAGTATTAGAGATTAATTTAGTAGTTCTCCACCTTCCGCGTGCCAGCCGTTTCCTAGGGCCCCCTGCGGCTGCAGCCTCTGTCCTTGGGAACACTGGCTGTGGTCCGGACTGGTGGGCTCGCTGCTTCCAGGACGAGCACCCTTCCATCCGTTGTGCATCCCCGGGACCTGCTGGAACCGCTTGATCATCTCGTGGACGCTGCGTCGACCGGGCGAGGAGCGCCAGTTGTCCGAGTCCTCCTCGTTCTTCCCGGACCCGCCGCGCTCGTCCTGGCACGAGGGGCCCAGGTCGTGGGACAGCGAGCCCTGCAGGTCAGGATTCACGAGTTATTCCGGCACGGGTATTCCGCAGGGAGAATCTAAGAGACAAAGAACTCGGTAGCCTTCGCGCGCCCACGTGTCTCGTGCACTTGGCGCGGAACTCTGCCAAGTACCGTGGTCTCGGTTCCTCGTTGCGACCTCCTGCCTCCTCAACAAATGCACGTCATCTCTCCGGATAACTCATTAACTTTAATCCCACTTATTGGAAGAAGAAGAAGAGGAGGAGGCGGCTACCTTCCCCTGGAATCCCTGCGTCCTGGACCCAAGTCCCTGGGAGTTGGCGAGCCCGGAAGGAGACCCCCTCGCCCTTCCCAGAACGCCGTCGAAGGTTTCGTTCAGCCTAACGGGGGCGTCCAGGACTCTGAGGACCGGCCTGGAGACGCCAGACCCTGAAGAAGGGAGTTCCCTGAGAGACTTGCTGAGCCTGGGGATGGCGGGAATATCCAGGTCGTCGAGACTGCCCCTATGGACGGGGGTCTCTCCAGGGATTTCGAAGCTTCGATCCAGAGGCTTCTCGTCGAGGAGGTCCTCCAGGGACCGGGCCCTGGCAGGCTGATCCCCTGCCAGGGTCGACCTGGAGGGTCTCTCGCTGTGCCTGCCCCTGGCGCCGCGCGACAGCCACTGCTCCAGATGGAGATGTCTCTCGTCGCAGCGCGACCTCTCGGCGGCGACGCACCTGGACAGGTCCGAGATCTGCCCCTTGGTGCGGCGTTCCAGATTAGCGACCTTCAGGTCGAGTCTTTCGTGCGCCTGGTCGATGTGCGCCTTTAGTTCCGCCTTGTCGCGCTCCAGCTTGGCCTCCATGTGCCTGAAGAAGGGCGCGCAGTAGCAGGTGTACCCCACGCCGACCGGGCCCTTCCTGATGTTGCCGGCCAGGTCGAGGTAGTACTGCTCCCCCCTTGCCAGGGGGGCGGGGGGAAGCGAGTCCAACCTCGGCTGGGGGAAGGCTTCGGGGTCCGGGTAATAATGGCATCCGTAGGGCGACCATTGCCGACCCATCATGGCCTTCTCGAAGTGCACCTTGTGCTGCTTCCCGACCTTCGGCTTCTTCTTCTCCTTCTTCGAGCCTCCGTCTCGGCTTCCGCTGGTCCCGCTTCCCGTTTTCTCCCGCTTCTTCTCCCCCTTCGTGGATTTCGTCTCCGGCTTCCCCTCCATCGCGAAGTCCACCCTGTCGGGCGCCTCTTCCTCTCGACTTTTGCTCCGCGCTCGACTCCTGCTGCGCGCTTTCCCGATTATCTCCAGGATCTCCGCCAGGTTCTTCCTCTTGGCGATGTCCTTTGCCGTTTCCGCCTGCTTGTTCCGCAGGGATCGGTCGCAGCCTGCTTCCAGCAGGATCCTCGTCAGCTTCCGCCTCCCCATGGCCGCTGCGATGTGCAGAGCCGTGTCGCCGTTCTGAAAGGAAACCACCCTCTGAGCTCCCTTTTCCTCCTACTTTCCTCCTCTTCCTCGACCGATACCTTGTTCTGGTCGGAGACCCTGCACAACGCCGAGATCAGGATCCTCGTCACCCCCGCGTGGCCGTAACGCGCCGAGGTGTGCAGGGGAGTGTCGCCGTACTGAAATGGGGTAGAAAATTCCGTCAAGAGGATTTTCCGGATTTTCCGGATTTATAAATCGCAGGGTGGAGGTACTCACGTTGTTCCTCAGGTCCGGGTTGCAGCCTGCCAGCAGAAGCTCCCTGCAGCTCTGGTTGTGCCCGTTTTGGCAGGCCAGGTGGAGCGGGGCGAAGCCGGTCAGGTTCCTCGTGTGCAGGGGTGCTCGTTGCGTCCCTAGGGCCTTCGCCAGGGCGGCCACTGTCCGGCTGTACCCTCGCCACGAGGCCTCGTGCAACGCAGAGTTCCCGTGCTGAAACCGGATGAGATTTTCTAACCGAAATATCGAAAATAATTTCATGCCAGGACCTCCGTATCCTTCGTATTCGCGTTGTCAATTTCTAAAAGTTACACGACACATTTTTTTGACATTCACTGGGGTGTAGCCCCTTAAGAAACGCCAGGAATGGCAACGTTTGATATTTCCAGGACGATTTCATAAAATCGGATCCGAGAAGGTCGCATCGATGAACATCAAGGATGTCGATGAACATTTTTTCGACGTTCACTGGGGTGTAGCTCCTTAAGAAATGCCAGGAATCGCAACGTTTGATATTTCCAGGGCGATTTCATAAAATCGGATCCGAGAGGGTCGCATCGATGAACATCAAGGATGTCGATGAACATTTTTTCGACGTTCACTGGGGTGTAGCCCCTTCAGAAACGCCAGGAATGGCAACGTTTGATATTTCTAGGGCGATTTCATAAAATCGGATCCAAAAAGGTCGCATCGATGAACATCAAGGATGTCGATGAACATTTTTTCGACGTTCCCTGAGGTGTAGCCCCTTAAGAAACGCCAGGAACGGCAACGTTTGATATTTCCAGGGCGATTTCATATTCAATTAAATTCAAGTCAAAGATTGAAATAAAATCGGGTCCGAGAGGGTCGCATCGATGAACGTCAAGGATGTCGATGAACATCGGGGGATGCAATGACGCGATTCGGAGACCTGGGTAATTTAATTATCGGAAGGATTGAGCGGTCAACCGTCGCCCGGTTCCGCAATTTGCTGGAGGTAAAGGCAGAACCGGCCGACATCTAATTAGGAAACTTTGCACGGTAATGACAATGAAATTGCGCCGACTAAATTGCGTCTCGCCCGGCCCATCTCACGCTAGACGTCCCGACTTAATGGACCGGGATAGGCGAGCAATCATAACGGCGTCGTCCCGGTCCCAGGGGCGATGTTTCACGCCTCCTTACCGGCCTCTATCGCGAGATACCGCCGAGGACGTCCTCCTCGTGGTCCTCCTCGAGGTCGTCCGTAACTCCGTTATCGCGGCTCCCACCTTGCCCTTGGTAATTTATCGCCTCGGCAACCCCGACGTCGCCTAACCGGTTCGAGCCAGGTCGGAGGCAGGAAGGGTACCTTGGAATACCTCCAAATATCCTAAACGTCACCTACAAGGTGTCCTTGTTTGGAGGAGGATGCATTTTCTCGATCCCAATATTTCACTTTTAGGAGAAAATTCGTTACTTTAGGCGGGAGGCAGGAAAACTCGCTAAAAGTCTCCGAGTATCGACCACGTGGTCCTCTTCTTTATGAGATGAAAAAATTGCAATTTCCATTTTACAAGGTGACTCTCGATATTAAAATCCAATTTGTAATCATCTAATTTAAAAATATGATTTTCAGGTCGGAGGCAGGAAGGGTACCTTGGAATACCTCCAAATATCCTAAACGTCACCTACAAGGTGTCCTTGTTTGGAGGAGGATGCATTTTCTCGATCCCAATATTTCACTTTTAGGAGAAAATTCATTACTTTAGGCGGGAGACCGGAAAACTCGCTAAAAGTCTCCGAGTATCGACCACGTGGTCCTCTTCTTTATGAGATGAAAAAATTGCAATTTCCATTTTACAAGATTAAAAAATTAGATTTTTAAAGGAGGATGGATTTTAGGGCGAATTTTTAAGGAAGGTAAATTCGAGTACCTGAAGTACCCTAAAATATCACCTACACGAACGGTGCGGGGTAATTTCCATTTTACAAGGTAACTCTCGATATTAAAATTCAATTTCTAATCATCTAATTTAAAAATATGATTTCCAGGTCGGAGTCGGAGAGCACCTCCCAGGATGATCGAAGAAAACGGGTGCGCGATGTAAGACCAGGGCAAAGAACCTCTCAGAGGAGCTCGGATAATGGAGACACGAAGTGTCCCCCGAGGAAGAGACTCCCTATCGTAGGCGGTTCCCTGCGGGTAAGTTTGCGCACTACATCACGGACCGTCTATTCAATTTAGATCAGCCACCCTGGACCGAGGAAAGAGAAGCAGAGAGGGGATCCGGTCCACTTCGAAGGTGCCAGCTCGTGCCCGAACCGGAGATATCATCATCGGCCAGCTTCTGCTGGGAGCCATCCCCCTCCTAAATGGCATAATCGAGAAAGTGGCGAAAGATGCCGATTGCCGACTCTTCAAGGTACTCGAAGATGACTGGGGTCATCTTCGTTAAAGGCCATGGGCTTAAAAAAAATTTTTTTTTAACGATATTTCCTTGCAGAGGTCGCATGGAGTCCATGCACGATCGGTGGTCCTAGCTGTTGAAAGCCCTGAAGCGGATCCCGAAGAGAACCACGAAGAGGACCCCGAAAGGCACTCTATATCTCATCCAAGGTCCGGTGATGCGTTCCTCGAGGTTCCTCGAAGCCATGGCCATTTGTTTCCCTTTGCTCGGCATAGATTAGTTGATCGTTAGACGCGCTCGGCCGCCTTCGCAAAAATGGCGGCCGGTTTTGAAGCCGACCAATTATGAGCCAACGACTCGCGATAACGATCCCGGGAGCTCCTCCAGCGGTCCAGGACGATCCCGCGGAGGTTCCAGGATCGAGTTCAGGACCCTGAAGGACCCCGGTGTCCGGAACTTCCTTCGGCTAGGCGGAATGTCCTGTAATCACGCGTATGTAGATGCGCATCTCGGACCAATGGCTTGGTTCCCGATTAAATTGCAACGTGTTCCCTTCGTCTGGTCGGTCTACCAGGAAATTTCCCGGGGACTCAAAATGTATCAATATTTGTAACGGATTTCACGTTTCTTCGGGGTATTTTCCTATGGTTCCGGATACTAGATCGACGCCCTTGGTACTGTTCTAGGTCCTCTAGAGGATTCCGTTGGACGGTTCTCGATTTTCTCTCTTGGTCGGCAATTTGCCAAAGATGTCCCGCGGCGAATAAGCCAGCTCCTCGCATCGTTCCATTGCGGCCACGTCGATGATCCCTCGGCTGCTTATCGCTCATTTTATTTTTCGCTCCCCTACGCGAGGCGGATCTTTTCATCCCGAGGGAGCTGCGATTACGATCCCGCGCCAGGGGACGCCATTTTGGAGAACCGAGGAGATTCTTCCAATCCGCCGATTTATTCCTCGAAACGCGCGTGAGTGTACATAGAGCACATTTCAATGAACGAAAGAAATATTTTCTTAACTCAAAGAATAATTATTTGACTCGAGTAAAGTCGAATAAATCATATGGAAAGATTTTTATTTTTTTGTTTCTCGAAATTACGACAATTTATTTCAGTTTATTCCAGTCAAATTAATATTCTTTGAATTCACTGAATTATTTCCTTGGTACTATTGAAAGAAAGTTTCGATGGTTGAATGGCATTCTTTTTTCTCAGCGTATGCACCGCGATGCAACCCACGATCGGTATTACCATTTCTATGCAGAATCGGAGAGTTTGATGCCTGGAGGACATCCGCGTACCAGGACTCGCTCGAGGACTTCGCGTCCACTGGGGATCAGAGGTCCTTCGCCGCGGGTCTTGGATGCACTTCCAGCGAGCAACTCGAGCCAAGACGAATTTTCTGTCTTAGAAGGAAGATCATGGTAATGGGCATGGACGCGGTGGAACCGAGAGCCACCCTCGAGAACGGGATGCTGATCTTATCCGCTGCCCACGGCGAGAACCCCGAGGACTCTCCTCCGCGGAGTATCTCGTAACCGAGAGATTCTCAGGTGACGTTCCAACGTCCGCTGCCTCCTGATTAAAAAAAAAAGGTTTTCTTGATCCTTTAAAATTAATTCTTGGGATTTTAATACATCCAAGTTTCACGTTAACGGAGAGATTCTCAGGTGACGTTCCAACGTCCGCTGCCTCCTGATTAAAAAAAAAAGGTTTTCTTGATCCTTCAAAATTAATTCTTGGGATTTTAATACATCCAAGTTTCACGTTAACCGAGAGATTCTCAGGTGACGTTCCAACGTCCGCTGCCTCCTAATTGAAAAAAAAAAGGTTTTCTTGATCCTTTAAAATTAATTCTTGGGGTTTTAATACATCTAAGCTTCACGTTAACCGAGAGATCCTCAGGTGACGTTCCAACGTCCGCTGCCTCCTGATTGAAAAAAAAGGTTTTCTTGATCCTTCAAAATTAATTCTTGGGATTTTAATACATCCAAGTTTCCCGTTAACCGAGAGATTCTCAGGTGACGTTCCAACGTCCGCTGCCTCCAGATTAAAAAAAAAAGGTTTTCTTGATCCTTCAAAATTAATTCTTGGGATTTTAATACATCCAAGTTTCACGTTAACCGAGAGATCCTCAGGTGACGTTCCAACGTCCGCTGCCTCAAAATTAAAAAAAAAAGGTTTTCTTGATCCTTTAAAATGAATTCTTGGGATTTTAATACATCCAAGTTTCACGTTAACCGAGAGATCCTCAGGTGACGCATCAACGTTCCAGGTGAAAGTGGAGGAGGAACGGAACCGGCTACGCGTTCAGCACCTCGCCCTGTTCTTCGGCATCGGGTCGCACGGTTCAGGTACAACTAATAATCTCGCCGAGAGATAAGTGATGATTAAAACCGGCGATAACGCCGCTCCGCAGGTGTCTGGACATCGCATGTGCGAGGGTTTCGCTCGTTACGTCGTTTTACGGCCAGTTAAGTGCCGGCCCGCGATTCCGCCAATTGTCGCAACACGAGGTATTCCGAGATCATTCAATTACGAGTGCATCGAGGGCATCGCGTGCTGGCCAGCTCCCCTCTGACCCGCCGCGGCGTGCAATCCGCAAGGTACAGAACGTAATCGTAACCGCCCATTAGTCTTGGAAAAGGTAATCCAGGAGCTACAAAGTTCCTTGAAACGAGTCATTTCGCGGCCGCGATTCGATATTTTAATTTTATTTATTTGCCATTTGATATCGACGCCAGTTTATTGGAACGCCGGATTTCTTATTACAAATTCATGTTATAGGGTACATCATTAATGAAACATTTTTGGGATGCTTCTGGAATTAATTGAAATTTCAAG